GCCCCGGCGAGCCCGAGCCGGCCCCGCCCCCGCTCCCGCGAGCCCGAGCCGGCCCCGCCCCGGCGAGCCTGAACCGGTCCCGCCCTGGCGAGCCTGAGCCCGCCCAGGCGAGCCGGAGCCGGCCCCCGCGAGCCCGAGCCGGTCCAGGCGAGCCTGGTCGCGCGCGCGCCTTGTTTCGCGCGTAACGCGCGCGCGCGTAACGCGTTATAACGCGCGCGCGTTACAGTTTTCACACCTTAAAAAGATGAAAAAGTATAGCTTAATAATAGATTGTTGGCTTTACTTGCGCTTCGTGCGTCCTCTGCCTGCCTGCTTCGTTACGAGAGTGAGCGTTGAGTGGTGCTACTTCGGTGTCTGCCTGTACAACCTGCTCAACAAGAAAAGATCATGGGTTTGGGAATAACAACGATTCTATTATATATCCAAGGTGCAAACACGAGATTTGCACGCAGTTGTTATATCATGTGATCCTGAATATGAACCTGTAGTGATAGATGATAGTGGTAAAAATATCCTTTGAAGGACAAGGACGACCGTGCAACGTCTTCAACCCAAGAAGGTTCATACATTACTCTCGTTACCTCGTTGTTTCGTTCCTTTCCGGTGTGGGTCAGGAAGAGAAGTGACAAGAACAGCAAAAAATGGCGAATTGCATGTCGAAGCTCTCTCGCCCAGCCATCCTTGCGGGATGTCTGGGGACTGGGCTGGTTGTTGCAAACGAAAAGAAGTACATTAAGACCGAAAGGTTTTTGGATGAGGCGGAGAATAGCGAAGAAGCAGTTGACGCTGGTGTGATGACGAGTATGCGCGAACCCCCCCCCCCTCCACATCAGAGATAGAAGACGAAAAAGCAACAGAAAATCGAGTCGCCACTGCGTTTCTGGAAGTCAGTCTCGATTCAGGTGATTTGTGTCTGAGGGTGATTTTGTCCCATTTGTTTCGCTATTGATATTCTTGACCTCCAAACAATTACATCAACCTCCTGTTGGTATGCACTCTTAGTCTCAAAATGATCTACAAAGACTTAAAACTCTCAATTTTCATCAGAACACCTCTTTCGTTGTTGTGCCATTAGATAAGTGATCCATCAAAATGTCACTCTTCCTCAGTTCAATCACACGCGATACAGCGCAATTTCGAATGAATAAATACATCTGTTGCGGGACGTTTCAAATCAAATGTAAATGATTTTGTCAGGTCAGGGAGAGAGGACATCTACTACGGCGGATGGTGAGCAGTCGCATATTCACGATTATGGTGCAATTAGTGAACCCTCAGGAGCAAAAGGCGATCCGAACGTCATGGTGGATGGTGATTTGCATCTGTCCAAGGGCGCTGCGGTTGACCTCGCCATTTCAGAAGCGTCCAGAAGTACTAGCTTTAATACGTCTATTGGTATGACGATGGTTTTTCACTGTAGAACGTTATCTCTTATTCTCACCTCAAAATACAATCTTCCATCGTTGTGCACTTGGTCTCGGTACACTCTATCATGGAACAATCTCATAAGCAAAAAGTTTTCAGAGCACGTTGTGCTTTGTTGTCGTAAACTCTGTTAGCTAGAAATTAGCGTTAAATAACTCTATCCTCCACCACATTACTGACTTGGTAGAGCATAAAACTATCCAAATACATCACATGTGTTAAGTGACAAATTTACACGGATTTGCAAAAAATATGAATTTTCTTTCACAGGGGAGAGGAAGTTCTTCGAAGAAGTTCGAGAAGGGGAGCCGGTAAGTCCGGCCGAAGTCGCCGAATACGTCGGCTATCTCCGCAAACGCTACAAAAAATATATCGCGAAGACTGATCCCCTGGGGCCGGAAAGCTGGGAGTGGGAAGCATTCGAAAGAGATCTAATCGAAAAGGTGCAAGTTTACCTTTTTCCAAAACTTCTTTTCCTTTGAAGCCATGTCGTTCTACCTTTTTCATGTAGAGAGCAGCTTTTGTCTTCTACTCATTTTTTTGTTATTTCAAATTTGTTTTTCTTTGTTCAACAACTTTCATCTATGGAATTTATATATCATATGAAGTGGCTCCCTATTGCTGCATACCTCCTTATCCTCTCAAAGGTACAAGTTCTTTCCAAACTTCCGGTAGATCAGATACGGGAGTTGATCACCAATATGAAAGATCCGGGAAGAATGAATAGGCCAAAGGATTCTCGAGAGATTCTGTGGGGCAATAGGGCGCGTTTCACGATCGAGTATAAGATAACAGCTTGTTTTCTCGTTTGGTTTTATGGCTTTTAACTCTGACGTGTCTGTCTTGCGAAAGCTCAATCGCTTTATTCTGTTCAGTAGGCTTTGTGTTTCGTGCTAGCTTCATGAACATTGGGTTTATCATTATTCCTATCCACATGCTTATCATTCCAATTAATATCATCACCAAGTTCCGACGCGTTGGCAAAATTACCCAAGGGTTTTAGGAGTCTCTTCGGGTTAAAAGATTTCTTCAACTACTATCCCGAGAACAAGGCCGGTGGAAGGTTTTTTTTCATTCAACCGGTTTTTTACGAGGAGAAGGTCAGGATCGTTGTCCCGGATCAGAATTCGAGGTTATTTGAAACTGATTCGCCGCTTTTTTTTTGGGTCTTCTACGTTTTCGAGCTTCTCTCCATGCAAGATATCAAGTTCTCCATTTGATTCGCTGACATCATGGAAGGAGTGGTGGTAAATACTCTACATAGACCTGACCTTGAAATAATTTATTCATTGTACCACCAGCGTTACTGTTTAGAGAACAATGGTCATGCTGATAAGACTCTTAAGAGTCCGTCGGCCGCGAATAACCTGATTGGGATGTGAATGTATAACGAAGCAGTTTGTTTTTTCATGAAGTTCTTGATGTTGGACCCGAAAACATCCAGGTGAATTGAACACATTTTGGGAGAGGAGCTCATTTGCGGACTGTTTTATCGGTTTTATTTCGGAGGTATTGGGTGCTTGTCTCCTACATATTTTTCGGTGGCGGGGCTACCTTCCTGTATTGTCAAGTGTTATGGCAGGAGGGTCTCTGAACTCTTTCAAATTCCAGATGGTCACGTTTGTTTCGTCCTTAGTGCTATTTTTTATGGATGTACTTAATTGATACATATGCACCAGGGAGGGAGGCCCCCCCCTGGGGATGGATAGGTGGCGTAGCACATTGGTGGAAGAGCGACGACAGAAGAACGAGGGATGAGCGACGAGAAGCGCCCAGCCGTGTCGTGGTAGCCTGTGGCGCGGCACAGTGGTGGAAGAGAACGGCAAAAAGAACCGAAAGAAGGGAGGGACGCGCCCCCGATCTGTAGGGCACACGCAGCGGGCCGGCCGCATAATGTCAGACGCCGCCCGCTCCTCTTTGTTGCCTGATGGCGTTACTTGTCGGCTCCCTTGTGTCTTACGGTCTTCTTGTTTCTTCCCGAACGGGCAACGAGCGACGAGAGAAGAAGGAGGGACGAGAGAAGAAGGAACGAGCGACGAGAAGCGCCCAGGGCAACGAGTTACGACAGAAGAACGAGGGACGAGAGAAGAAGGGATGAGCGACGAGGGGCGCCCAGCTGTGTCGCGGCAGCCTGTGTCGCAGCACAGTGGTCGAAGAGAGCGGCAAAAAGGGCCGAAAGAAGTGAGGGACGCGCCCGCGATCTTCAGGGTACACGCAGCGGGTCGGCCGTATAATGTCAGACGCCGCCCGCTTCTCTTTGTTGCCTGAGGGCGTTTCATTCTTGTCGGCTTCTGTGTGCCTTTTGGTCTTCTTGTCTTTTCCGCGATGGGCAACGAGCGACTCAGGCGGACGGGCACCCGGCCACCAATGGCGTTAAAAACTGGTTAAAAAAGTCGGCTTTTTGGGATCGCGGGGCGCCTGCCCTGGGCCGTTGTGTGTCTGTTTCGTTTCTGGGGTTTTTCTGCTTTTCTCTTGTTGTTTTGTTGGTATATTTGCGAGTGACAGGGGGGGCGCTTCTGAGTGTGTTTCTTTTCTGGTACTCTACAGAGGTCCTGCGGGTCTTGAAATCTGCGGCAGCGGATCAAAAAAGACGACCGAAAAAGTCCCTGTGCTTTTTCGGTCGTTTCTTTTTTTCGGTCGGTTCTGGTTCTGTATGCTTTGGCTGAGTGACTCGGCTTGGGGGTGCATGTCTTAGGAGTGTCGACTGAAGGGGGTGCATCGCTGAAGCTGGTCAGGGAGGCGATAGGCCGTCGGCCTTCGGGTGTGATACTTCTGGCCCCCTGGGTGTTTTCGTGCTGCTTTTCAGTGGGTTGGGCTTGTTTGTGTTTGTCTTCTGTTGCTTGGTCGTCTTGGTCCGCCCCTTGTGGAGGAGGGGCCGGGGGCATTTAGGGGAGTGCCTCTGCCATTGGGTGCCCACACTGAGCCACGGCCCCGGGGCTTGACGATTGGCGCAACAGCTCGCGCGGAAGCAAGTGCTGGGCCTCGCACTCGAAGGGATGGGGGGACCCGGTAGGGGTCTCGTCTGGGCTTGGGGGTGGGGTCCCGGTCGACGGTTAAAAACCGGTTAAAAAACGGTTAAAATTTTCCGACCCCTTCCCGGGTTGGAAAAAAACGGTTAAAAAAACGGTTAAAAAACGGTTAAAATTTTTGGTCTTTTTCTCGTGCGATTTCGCCTAGAAGTCGGCCGCTTTTGCTTTTGGGGTCGGTTTAGAGCAGTCCCGCCGAGTTTTGGAAGGACCTGCCGCCGACTTTTTTAACCGTTCCCAAATTTGGCGCTATTTTAACCGTGAACTTTAACCGTTTTTTTAACCGTGAATTTTAACCGTTTTTTTAACCGTCAATTTTAACCGGTTTTTTAACCGGTTCCCGCGGGGTCTTGGGACGCTTGCCTTCGGGCTGCGCAGCCGTGACGTAGACGGGGCCGCATCTGACGCACCCGCCGCATTCCGCTGGCAGGCCTCGAAGCGTGGTGTGGTGCTCGTGCAAGCTCCGCGGGGTTGGCTGGGTGCTGCGCGTGTGGACGTTGAGGCCCCGCGTCGAGCAGTGTCGACCCGGAGTGGGGCTGTAACGTCTACGCCAGTCAGGTTGCGTGGGTCGGGTCGCGTGATTCTGGAGTGGGCGCCGGGGCCACAGTTCGCTGGCCCCTCGAAGTGTGGCCTTAACGTCCGCGCCGGTGAGCCTCGGGGGCTGGTGTGGTGTCGGCTCTTGGTGTCGGACCTTTTCTTGGGGTGTCTTTCTCGAAGTGTGTGGGGCCGCTTGCTGGAGGCCGGCCCAGGTGCATGCGCTAGACCCGCGGGCGCCTGCTATTGCATTGCGGTGACACGGGTTCGCCCGGTGGGGTCTTTCGTGGGTCTTTTGTGTCGGGTCGGTTGTTGCCCCCCGGTTGCCAGATCAGCTGACGCGGGTGCGTTGTGGTGTCTTTCGGTCGGGATTTTCTCAAAGACCGAAAATTTTAACCAAAGTTTAACCGTATCTGTTGGCTCGGGATGTGTCCGCCTGAGAGCGACGAGAGAAGAGCGAGGGACGAGAGAAGAAGGAACGAGTGGTGAGAAGCGTCCAGGACAACGAGCGACGAGAGAAGAAGGAACCAGTGACGAGAAGCGCCCAGCTGTGTCGTCGCAGCCTGTGGCGCAGCACAGTGGTGGAAGAGGACGGCAAAAAGAACCGAAAGAAGGGGGGGACGCGCTCGCGATCTGTTTGGTGCACGCAGCGGGCCAGTCGCATAATGTCGGACGCCGCCTGCTTCTCTTTGTTTCTTGATGGCGTTTCTTGTCGGTTTCTTTCCCTTTGTCTTTCGGTCTTATTGTTCCACCCGTGACGGGCAGCGAGCAGAGACGAGAAGAACGAGGGACGAGAGAAGAAGGAACGAGCGACGAGAAGCGCCCAGCTGTGTCGTGCTAGCGTCCCTCACTTAGATGGGAACTGAACCACGAGAGGGCCCGGCGCCAAGGCCGCGCTCTGCTCTCTGCCCTGGTGAGAATCGCGCGGGGGCTGAGCGTATGTATGAGGGTCAGCCGGGCGGGGTTGTGTCGTGGTGTGTGGTGTCTCCCATCTTCTACGAGGAGCTGGCGAGGGCCAGGGTTTTTGTTTCTTTCTTCCAAGTGGGCTCGGTAGCGAGTTTGTTAGGAGTGACCTGTCGACCCACTGCAGGCTTGTGATGTGCAGCGAGTGGCGAAGGATGGAGCGAGACGCACCCACAAGCAACGAGGGCGGGGGGCCTGCCATGAGTCTGCGTGCAGCTTTGCTCCCACAATGAGCGCCGAGAGACGCTGCAGGAAGGCTCTTTGCTGCAGGCTTAGGCTAGGCGTGAGGAGCTCGGCGCACTGACTTGCAACGAGTGACGGGGCAGACAGTTGCGAGCTGTGCTTGTGTGGCTGGGTTCCTAACGAGAGACGAGAGGGAGAGACCCACCCTACTCCTACTGGCTGCGCCGGGGTTGTGATGTGCAGCCATCGCACGCATGACGAAGGACGGACAGAGATGAGACGGACGCGGAACGAGTGGCGCGGGCTTGTGACGAGTGACGAGAAGAGACGCGGGGCTGCTTGTGTAATAAGTGGCGAGAGGCTTCCAGGCTGTGGGCTCTCTCTTTGCTGAAAGCTTAGGCGATCTGCGTCGACTTGTGACGAGCGGCAGCGCCTAGTGATCATTACTGACGTGCGCCGAGGGATGAGCGAGGGGGCCTGGGCTGTTGCTGGGTTAGATATCGTTAGGAGATCATAGCCGAAACGTAGCGAACAACGCGCATCAGCGACGCGCGGCATTGTTTGGCGTGCTTTGGCTTCGTTATCCAGACTGCATCTGGATGCTGTTGCTGCGCTTTCGTCTTGTCTACACTAGCAGACTGCTGAGCTTCTTGGCTTTTGTCTAAGTTGTTGCTGGCTGGTTCTGGTGGGTCGTTGCGCGGTTCTTTCTCCTTGTGTTTTTTCATGTTTCACTTTAATTTGGGGTCTACATCTACTTCGCATGCAATGAGTTCGCCCCCCTTCTCTTCTTCAGGCTAACCACAGTAGGGCGGTAGCTGCCTTAGTCCCAAGGGAAACGCTTGCGCCCCGAGTAGAACGCGACGAGGCACGCGGTCACCTTCCTAGGCTCAATAGAATAGACGCTGGACGGCGCGCGGCTGTTTTTTCTTTCACAGTTTTCCCGGAGCGAGCGCGAGGCGCCTGGCTGCGCATCGTCGACGTGGGTGGGCTTATGGCTGGACTCAAAAAAGGTGGCGGCTTTTTTTTGTAATTCCACCAAGTAGGACAGCCCCCGGCACACTCTTGGAAGGCTAGCGGGGTATTGCGTGGCTGCTTTTTAGAAGAGTGGCGCTGGCCTGATCCTCACAACGAAGACGGCGCGTGTGTTCAGTTTTGGAGGTGTGTTTTTTTATAGGTATGCTGGGCATGTGGGTAGTGACTTTTTTTGTCACTATAGTAGTTAGTGACTGAAGAAACCGAAAGGGGGCCTCATATCCTTCCCAGCGGGACTAGGTGGAGAGGGAAACGAGGAGGACGGAGGGCAGCGGGCTGAGATGAAAGGCTGAGCAAGGACCCGCGTGGGCTATAGGCAGCCCCCCAGCGAAGTGAAAAAGTCAGACGCGGCTGGGCTGGCACACACGCGGCGCCACCTGGTGCCACATGTGTGCAGCGAGTCTTCGCCTTTATCTTTTCGCTGGGCGATCGTCTACAGTATGACTCAGAAACTCCGCCCCATCGCCTGACAGAGCACATTTTGGCGCGTAGCCTCGCAGACATAACGCTCGCCACCATCTCGGAAACCGCGCCGCAAGACGAGACCGGCGCCACCTCGAAACGCCCCACGAGGGTCGAGAAGGATTTGTCCGCAAGAGAGAAGAATAGAGAGAGAGAGGTGTGGGAGACCGAGTAGGGGACTCGTCTTGCCACATTGTGAAGAGCAAAAGCGAGGGCGAAAAGGAAGAGAGAAAGCAAGGACAATCAGGGAAAGGGCCCACTTCAAAGTAGGCAGGTAAGTGTAGAAAGAAAAGCAACGACAAACAAGATGCAAAATGGCCGACCGAGTTTCCTAGTCACTGTTTCCCTATGTTCGTCGCCTCCCTCATCTCTCGTCACTTCATTGCTGTGGCCTCATCCTTTTTTAGCGTCGCAGGAGATGGGACATAATCCACATAAGATCGAGAAGGAGCTTGGTGGGCATGTTTGCAGTATACTTAGTAAAGATTTTGAGATAAGTAAATGCCTGGAGTCCTCAGCCGACCTAGCGATCAGGCCGAAAAAGAGCGATGGGGGCCGGGGATGGCTTCCCATCCAGTTGAAAGTTAGTAGCCAGAGGCCTGCCCCTTGGTTGCGCTCTTTGAGGTTCCACCTCAAGGCCAATCAGACGGCCTACCACAGTGACAGTCTCCACGTACTCGGGTACAATACCCAGATGGAGGGCTACCTGCTCCTGCAATGCAACCGCAATACGAACTACGCGACCCTAAACCTAAAAGCCCCAGACTTGTGGTTTTCCGGCCAGGAAATGGCGCAGCGACTCCGAGAGCAATACAACACCCAGAGCACCGCCAGCCTCGAGGCCATCCATTTGGCGGCGTCAACGTCACCAAACCAACTAACGGAGCTCACGCTACGCAGCGCCTTTGTGCGCTCCTGCGCAAGTGCTGGCATCACAACGACAGCACCCACAGAGGAGTTCGCAGCGGCTGACCTCATCTGGCACCCACGCAGCGGCGCTTCGGCCTACCCCATCCAAGAACGCACACTAAAGCGCAAGACGTCAAGTGGCAGAGAAAGCAATGGACACCAGTGCAGCCTCAGCAGGTATATCACCCAACCCACTTGCCCTCGCCTCTTATCCAGCGAAAACATTTCCTAACTTGCCCCAATCACCAAACAAGAAAGGCGGCAAGCTGTTTGCAAGCGAAGATGTGGCAGCGTTTGCGTTTCACGTGCGCGACGAAGCTGCCACCGGCCAGACAGAGCTACGGGCGACATACATAATACCCCTGGACACCATGCGCGAGCAGGGCTATGCCGTTGCCGGGTGCAGGTACTCACTACCCTTTTGCCACCTAATGAAGCGCCGGCCCTAGGCCCTACCTTACTCACCACCAACGGCCCCTCCCCTAGCTATCCAAACCCGCCTCCGATTTCCCTCGACATCCCCAAAAGACCTGAGTCAAATCCTGCCAAAAAATTATCCAGGTCAGGCGCGCCGCACTATTTCGCCTGCTATCCCCCACGACCCGACAAAAGAGAGGCGGGTCGGCTGACGCATTGGGCCGACGAATATCTATGGACACACGGCCAAGAAATGCCCAAAGCGGTCACAACCTGGCTCACAGCTAAAAACATACTACCCCCAGACGCGGAAAACAGCAACCAGGCTGCGCGCAAAGGACTAGACCCCCAGCCAGATACGAAATCCACGCGCGCAGCAAGTGGATCCAAAGGTGGGGAGCCCAAACCACGCACCTTGAGCTCACCGAAGCGGGCAACAAGCGCGACCCCCCACCTGGAAGCCGATACGGCTACAAGCCCCCAAAAGGCTGCGAAACTCAGTCTGAAGCCAAGGATCTCCAGGCATTGCATTATACTAACACAAAAAAGGACTCTCTTACGTTTCTGGTGTGCATTCTTATCCACAGCTTTACACTTTTCCAAGGGTTTTGGGGACGCCCTTGCAGAAGGTAGAGGCAAAGTGCAGCATTTGAAGCGTGTGACTCTTGTACATTTCAAGTCCGACCATCGCTGTGCATATACTAGAGGAGCTACTCTCCAAGACCTGTGCAGGAGTTCTATTATTTTATGCCTGCTCATGCGTTTCCACTTGTGAAGAAATAAGATTGCCAGACGTTGCCATGATTCAAGGGTTGATGTGTTGAAATATACTACGCAGATTCTGCACATTTGTCGCGCCAAAGTGTTTCGACTGCTTCCAAAGTGAGTAGTTTCTTGCGGTATGTCACTGAATGTATGGACTCGTAAGTGCATCAAAGTAATTTTTTACAAGTTGGTGAGTCTATGCATATCATTGCAGAACTATGGGACTCGCTATGTGTGTAGAAGTTCACTATGCTACTAAGGGACTCTACTCGAGGAGCACCTGCTTCCACTTTAGTTTATGTGGCCCCGATGTCATGCCCTCACATCGATGATTCAGCTCAAACTTGTGGGGCCAGTTGCGGCCCCACGTCTCCTGAACAGACCCGCCAAGTGGGGCGCATGGATTTACTCCACCACGCGGCTCCTCGTTGTTGACATAGTGGAGCTTGCACTTCTTTTCCTCTTGTAGTTTTGCTCGGCTCGTGAGCACGACTATCCTCGCAAACCTTTCCCTACAGTAAGGGCATCGCGACACCCAAGTCTCTGTAGAGTTTCTCCCCTTGTTCTCCCGTTGTTTGCGGTCGTTGTCTCCAAGTTGGACTTCTGCACGAGGGCGCTGCCCAAGATCATCCACAGGCTGCTCTGCATCAAAGTCGGCAATCTCGTTGCCAAGGCGGCGCCGCTTTTGCGATCGGGGGCAGCCTGGCTCGATCGCATCCAACTGCAGCCGATTACGCTTTCGGGCGGCGTCTTCGGCTTCCAGGTTCTCATCCGAGAACTCATGGGCGCGACGAATCTCTTTCGCCAACATCAGTCGCAAAAGCTCCACGCTGTTGATGTCGTTGGCAGCAGGGATGGCGTCCCTGTAAGCCAGTGACCGCTGCAGATCAGTCGCGGACATCTGCGACAGAAAGCCACAGAGCTCCTCCTCCAAATTGATAGACTCTCCCTTTTCGTGCACAGTGTAACCACTAGAAAAAGAGAGCTCGCCCGGGCCTAAGCAAGCTGACCTCCAACTCCGTGAAAAATCCACAACAGAGGACCACATCCGTGTGCAGGAGTGGCTGAAGCGAGATAGTGCCATCGATGCGGCTGCGCAAACGGCGAGCCAGATAGACTCCGCGAAACAGGACGAAGACACGCACTCGCTGGCCATTTGCTTTGTCCGACACTAGAAGGGGCTCAGCCAGCAAGTTCCTGCGGCACACTTCAAGGGCGGCCGCGCAGATCTGTGCCTCCTTCCACCTAGCTCGGACGTCGTCCTCACTGAGACCGCGACGGAGGTCTGAAAGGATAGCACGATAGACCATCGCCGCACCCTGGTAGTCTGCCCAAGTCGTCCCAGTGGTCTCCGCGTCGAAGCTCTTCAGCAGCTCTGCCACCCGCTCGTAGTTGCTGCTGCCTCTGGGGAGTGTTGTGGTCGCTATGTTCTCCATCCTCTTGGGAGTCTCAGGGTCTGCGCGTGCGTCTGGTGTCGTGTTCTCGTATGCTTCGAGCTTTTGCTTGACTGAGCTGACACGACACCCGCGCGCCTTCTCGATGTAACTACGAGCAAAGTCAGGCCGACGCGGCCGCACGTTGTCCGCCTCTAGCATTTTCGTGGCCACTTCACCACCTGGCAGTCTTGCCGCCCACTCCACCCGGCGCGCAAAGATTCCACGATCAGAGTTGCGGCCTCCCTGTTCCTTTTCTCGCCTGTTTTCAGATGCCCAGTGGTTCTCGAGGTAGAACTCGCTAAAAAGCCGAACCCCGTTGACACTCTCGAGGGTCTTCCGCGTCTTCTCATTCCCTCCAGGCTCTTCCGTGTACTTGTGTAGGAGTGTCTCTACTTGTTCCTGCTTGCGGTCCATGATCTTCGTCGCCGTCTTGAAGTCGTCACTATGGAAGACAACTCCTCCCATGTAGTGCTTACACGCCCAGACGTTGAAGAATGGCATGGATCATACATCTCCCAGATCCAATGCCGCAAGTAACCCGATGCCATCATCAAGCAAAATTCGCGAAACTGCTCTGGTGTATTCATCGTGGTCAGCATCGGCAGCGCCATGGGCTGAAAGATGCAGTCTATGCACTTGCACCGGTGGGCATAAAAGTCCACCTTAGTAGGGACGTCCGACTGCGCCAAGGTCAGCTTGCCCCGCATCGCAAGCGGCTCCGCCAACGCTTCTCCGGGTTTTCCTGCCTCTAGCTTCATCACTAGTCTGTAGTACTCGCACAGGCCTGCCGTGACGTTGCAGTGTGCTTCTGCATCAACACGCGCAGCAGGTTCCTCAGTCTCCTTCAGCAGATTGCTAGCGTAGAAGCTGGGCTTTTCTGGCACTATGGAGACGCTACTACTTTTTTTGTTTTTCGAGATTCTCAATGATGACGGTGCTGAATCTCTATCAGCCCCCAGGTCCTCCGCGTTGCCAATGAACTCGATGTCGGGAGCTTCTGGACCATCTTCGTCATCGCTAACGAGTGCGGCTACGTCTTGACTGCCACCAAGAGGAGCGTCGCCATTCGCTTTCATGTCTATGATCTTGCGGGTAACCGCGATGGCGTGCGCACCATGCTCGAGAATCCAAAGAGCGCCCACGCGAGTCTGAAGCCAGCGACTGCTGTCAGCTTCTTCGGGTGAGCAAGCTGTTGTTGGGTTGTTGTGATTTTTAGAAATAGCAAGGAGGTGGGTGATCTATCGGTAGTTCTGTGAGGATGCTCTTTGCTGTCTTTATCATTCAAAAACCGAGCTCGAGTCTCTCTACAATAAGTCACAGGTTTTGCATCAAACTGTCGCGCAACGACGCGAGGGGACAAGGTGGAGGCATCACCGTGACCATAGACCGTGACAGAGCCCGCCACGTGGCCACGGCATAGCCCGAGGATCTGAATGACAAGGCACCTGACAAGGCACGTGACAGAAGCCCGAAAAGAGCTCTGCCAGAGATCCTACCCGCTTCCTTGGCGTCGCCTCCAACTGTCCTATGGATGAGTCCACAGCTGAGGGACAATGACGCAAAATCTACCATAGTAGAAAGTTCGAAAACCCGAGAGAAGTAGCAGCACAAGCCGAGAGAATTTCGCGCAGGTCCTTCGCAGGATTGTCTCGAAGTATGTCTTGCCAGTTTGATGGGTGGGCGCCGTCATGCACAAAATCCGCCAGCAGCCGATCTTCTGCTTTCTTCCAGTCATGGAGGTTGGCCCTCTTGCTGAAAGGCCCGCGCACAAAGCAGTTCACTGCCGCTCGAAGGCGCTTCCATCGCTTGTTCTTCGTGCAGTGGTTACTAATCCTGTGGAAGATGCCAAAAAAATGCAGAGTCATCGTGAGCACGGAGAGGCACAACCCTGCACGACGTTCACTCTCCAGCTGATCACTCAAGCAGACCAGCACGCGATCCGGGACAGGAGATGGGGCAAGAGGGTCTACTGTGAAAGGACCGAGGATACTCGCAAGGTACGCAGCGCCGAGAAAATGCTCCACCATGGAGAAGTAGTACACTACTGCCTGTCGTGCTTTCTCATAGATGACAGCCGCGCGCGAACCTACTGTCTGCAGCGGCAACGCAAGAGAGAGGGGGCCGACGATTCCAGACCCGGCATCAGCAGCACCGAAAAGAAACTGGAGTGTGGGATCAATAAACGAGTGACGGCCTCGACCTGAGCACTTCACCTCGTAGGCGGAGGGCGATCCTACAAGGAGCCAATACCTTACGGCCAGCCTATCAATCTAGCAAAAAAAGTTCCAAGATGAATCCCACCCAGCACCTGACTAGTTACCGTCAAAAAATAAGGGCTGTCCCATTTGTTTCTATACTCTTGCCAATTATCTACAAGCATCACCCAGTATAAAAGTCGATAGCCATGCTGGTGCATGTCCTGCACGACGTGGCTTGCCACCTTTGGTCGACTCGTCGACAAGTAGCCCAAGGCTACCAGTCAGCTCTACTGTCGGGCTGATTGCTTGTGGCCTGGGCCAGAGTCCTTGCACCCAGTAGCCGAAGAGATAACTCGCATAAAAGTGGGCCGCGGCGAGAGCCTGGCGGGATATGGGGAGGAGGAGCCTTATGTCTTTTCTGTATTTTAAGATAATAAGACCAACGGAAATCCTTTCACATCTTGAAGTAGTACAAGTTACAAAGCCGACCAGTCTACACCGTAGCTATGTGATGTCTGCCGTGCGAACTCTGACAACAAACAACGATCTTGCTAACCCCCTCGTCTTTCGTCTTTGCTGCTGCTGTGGCCGTCTTTGGCCGCCCGACAAGTGCCCCAATCTCCTCCAGCACTTCCTCCTTGTACTCCGGTTCCATCCATGAGGCGCCAACTTTCCGCAAGAGCTTGGCATACTTAGCACTGGGCGCCTTCCTCTGTTCCGCAATCCAGACGAGAGTCAGGCACTGAGGTTTATTTTGGTGTGGATCGTATATTTCACAGCTTTAGTGGTCATGCTTCGAGTCTGTACTTGACTCCAGAACTGACGAGGTCCATCGGCTAGCGTGATCGTGTAGCTACAAGATCCTCCCTAAGCAACATCACCAGAAAAGTGAGAAACAGACACCGAACGACCCAAGGACAGAGAGTAGCAGCACTATTTCCTCCGGCTGCGGCGTAGCATTTTGATTCCGGACCTTTTCCAGCACGTCTGCGCCTATGTTAGCGCCCCAATATGGCAGCCAGTCGATGAACCTACTGGCATGTCTGTCGACCCAGTGTTTCTTCCATTCTTGCGGAATACAATCCACGAGATCGTCGCGCCCATTTAGTCGCGCAGCAGTTCTTTTCGACATCCTCCGAGATTTATCCGCATGCAAGAAGTGCCAAAGGGAGTAGTTATGTGTCCACTCTTCTTTCGAAACATGCACTAGAAACAACCGTCGGCAGTCCATAGCAAAAAGATGCAGAAAATTCAAAGAACGTAGCGAGATGGAGTTTTTACGCAATAGCTACATAATGATGATGGTGAATCTTGGATGCTGATCTATCAGCTTTCCTATGTCCTCAATGAAAACCATGAGCCGCAAGTTTGATCCTACAAAAGCAACCAATCCAGAAGCGAAAAATCGAAGAAAATCGAGACGCGACAAGCTATCAGGTTTACTATCGAAAAAGCGTCAGGCCTCTACTTCCAGCGAACGACATCCACCTCATTCGAATCCATCCACAACGCACTCGGCTACTCGTGGGCCAACAAGTGCGCTCGTGCTCGAAGGGGCTGCATCATCAGGGGACCCTCCTGCCGCCTACTTCTAGCCGATAACACAAACAGCGCGCGAAGCTCCCGACGGTGTTATTAGAAGAAAAGAGGCAAGAACGACCCACATGGTAGCACTCCTCTCGTCAACTTCTCAGAAATGACTGATGGGCGACCACTATGAAAATCGAAAGACCATAACTCCAACTAGATGGATGCGCAGCGATGTAACGGCGTCGATTCATGAGCAGACGTCTCGCGTCGGTGTGTCGAATGGATCAGAAGAAGGACGACGTTACGAACCAGATTAAGTCAAAGCAAGTCTTTCACTTCTAAAATAAATGCTGTCCATTAGGGGCACTGCTTGGCAGATTCAGACACATCGAAAGAAGAACAAAACCACGAAGAGCATCAAACCCAAGAGCAAGACTATAACTATTATGGAGTCTCAGCCCCATTTGAACCTACACCGCAACCCACTTTCGATCCATATCCCAGCCCCATCATCAATCCCGACCTGCATTGTCCATCCACATACTAGCGCGGGTCCGCACCCGCTGCGGTCACTTCTTGCCCATGCTCTTGCGGACAAGAATGGAGGAAGAGGAAGACGAAGAGGCTGCGGCAGCAGTGGCACCCGTCTCACCGAAGAAGGGCTCCAGGGTGGTGTTCTCTGTGGACGCGGTGGCATTCGTGTTGTGCTTGGGCAAGTTGGTATCCGGCTGCAGCTCCGTCTCAGTCGTGGTGGCATCGGCGCCCAATGACTCGACCGCAGAAACCTGGAGGGTAAAGTTAGGAGCTTGATGAAGTTGCTGCTTAATGTTCAAGGATTGCTGAGATTCATGATGTGGCAGCTGACATTATCTCCGTACGCATATGCTGTAGTGTGCTATTTCTAAAAAATCTAAAGACAAGCGTGTTAGTTCCAACAGCACAAAAAGTGCCCCACTATAAGGTCGACCCTGTTGCACCATGATGCGCTCGAAGAGAAAGAATATAAACCGAAGGGAAATACTCAAAAAATGACCGTGGTCAGAAAGTACATCCAAAAGAGCAAGCGGCCCAGCGTTATTGTTCCCGTGAGCGGACCCGCTTGCGAGTGCTAGCATGTCTTGAGCACCACTAGACCGGCTGGCCAGGTGCTTCTGCATTGCGGCCCTGCTGGAGGCCATCACGAAATCCTTCAGCTTCTTCTGAAAAAACGCACGCACGCACTCGGTGGGGGCGCCACAGATTTCAGCCTGGCTCTTGAACTCGTTGAGGATGGACCAGCTGGTGACGCGCGAAGGCTTGGCTGTTGTTTTCGGCAGCTGTGAGCTGAATTGGCGAAGAAGTGGAGGGATAAGGCGTGGGCGAGGTTTGTTTTTAGACGGAAGAGTGGAAGCTTCAGTCTTGTAATCCTATTAAAATGCACCACTTCACCTCCTTGCCAAAAGAACCAAGACGCCTAATGTAGATGGCTTCTAATCAGACTCCAGGCATGCTAACTGCAGAAGCGATGACTTTGAGTCAAGACCAAAGCGAAGGAATATGTAAGACCGTGCGCGTGCGGTTGACTCGAATGATTTCCAAGAACTCCATCACGACCTCCGGACACTCATCGCAGAGCGTGACGAGCTGGCCTCTCGGTAAACCGAGCCAATAAGACAAAATAGGGCCCAGCAATGGGCCGTCCGCGTTGGCAAAACCTAATACGACGCTCAAGATGCAGCGTCTCAGGGAGTTCCAGCGTGGGCACCCAGAAGAGGCCTACCAAGCCCTTCAAGGTTGCTACTTAGGGAGGGGTAATGTTTTCAAGAATGGATTTAAGGTGTCAACGAGTCACATCTTTTTCATGATTTTAACCGTGTCAAGTCACGAGTGCAGCACGATCTCAACTAAGTCAGAAATCTAAAAAATCTAAATCGTTGCGCTGACGACATCGCTAGCTATATCAAAAACCCTCCATAATATTCTTACAGGTGTAGTTGCTGGCTCCGAAGCGTCCCTCCGGAAGATAGACCTGGATGTCTCTTTTCTTTTTCTCCACGATGACCTTGGCCGCGTCGGTCAGAGTCGACAACCGTAGCAGAGACGGCTCATCGACATGCTGCGCCTGGTCGGCCAGCCAGCGAACCATCCGTGGGATGTTCGACGGAATCATCTCCACCCTTTCTGGCATCGTCGATGAAGCGCCAGCACCAACAGAACGAAGCAACGGCGGACTTTTTTGTCCCTCAGTTTGCTACCACAGTCTTCCAGACCGCGTTATGGAGTTATCTAAAAGGAGGATCTTACGGGGGCGGGTGTTAAGTAATAGCTTACTACTTGCATTAGAATGCTCACCAATCATAAGGAAGTCCGTGCATTTGTGGCCGCTGTTTGCATTATTATGGTTCAGTCTCCTGCTACGCACAAGCAGTGCCTTTTTGGATGAGGCCACAACAATGTCGCTCAGTCACTCAAAACCGATGGCGAATCTCTCAGGTGGTTCCCTCGAAGAGGGCAAGGGAGTGCAGAAAGAGAAAGGAAAGAGACAGGCGCTGATGGGACTAGGGTAGAGGCGTTCCGAGGTGGCGCCGATCACCAGCCGCAGCCAGCATCTGGACCGAAGACCGCAGCTCCGCATTCGAAGCGACAGCGTCAAGCGGTCGCTTGTCGGGTTGTGGGGCGAAGTTTCTCAATCATATACAGCCAAAGCGCGCGCTTGGCTTTACTTAGATCGCAGCCCGCTGGCTGCTGTCGTCGTCATCTCGCTCGCCGCGTGGTGCTCCTTGGGAGATTCTGGGGCCCACACCCTAAGCAGCTGCGTGCCGCTTAGCTATCTACTTCGTAAAGCCTTGCCCAGCTTAATTAACTCAGTAAAAGCCGCGCTGTAACTGCTCTGAAACCTTGCCACGGGCTAGCACCGTTGCGCGCGAGGCGTTGGGGCCATTCACTGGCTTCCCTTTCCCTCTCTCTTGTTGTATGTTCGTTGGCGAATAAGGTAAGGGGGGCCTCCTTACGGGCTCCGCCGTCTGTGTGTCGTCGGTCGCCGTCTGTCGTCGATCGCCGTCGGCCGTCGTCGTCTGTCGTCGCCTGTTGTCGGTCGTCGTCTGTTGTCGGTCGTCGTCTGTTGTCGGCCGGGCGTCGTCGTCTGTCGTCGATCGTCGTCTGTCGTCGTTCGTCGTCGGCCGTCTGTCGTCGGCCGTCTGTCGTCGGCCGTCTGTCGTCGGCCGTCTGTCGTCGGCCGTCTGTCGTCGGCGGCCGTCGTCTGTCGTCGGCCGTCGTCTGTCGTCGGCCGTCGTCTGTCGTCGGCCGTCGTCTGTCGTCGGCCGTCGTCTGTCGTCGGCCGTCGTCTGTCGTCGGCCGTCGTCTGTCGTCGGCCGTCGTCTGTCGTCGGCCGTCGTCTGTCGTCGGCCGTCGTCTGTCGTCGGCCGTCGTCTGTCGTCGGCCGTCGTCTGTCGTCGGCCGTCGTCTGTCGTCGGCCGTCGTCTGTCGTCGGCCGTCGTCTGTCGTCGGCCGTCGTCTGTCGTCGACCGTCGTCTGTCGTCGACCGTCGTCTGTCGTCGACCGTCGTCGGCCGTCGTCGGCCGTCGTCTGTCGTCGACCGTCGTCTGTCGTCGAACGTCGTCTGTCGTCGACCGTCGTCTGTCGTCGTCTGTCGTCTGTCGTCGACCGTCGTCTGTCGTCGACCGTCGTCTGTCGTCGACCGTCGTCTGCCGTCGACCGTCGTCTGTCGTCGGCCGTCGTCTGTCGTCGACTGTCGTGCATCTGTCGTCGACCGTCGTGCGCCTGTCGTCGACTGTCGTGCGTCTGTCGTCGACTGTCGTGCGCTTGTCGTCGACCGTCGTGCGTCTGTCGTGCTTCTGTCGTCGTGCGTCGACCGTCGACCGTCGTGCGTCTGTCGTTGACCGTCGTGCGTCGACCGTCGTGCGTCTGTCGTCGACCGTCGTGTGTCTGTCGTCGACCGTCGTGTGTCTGTCGTCGACCGTCGTGCGTCTGTCGTCGGCCGTCGTGCGTCTGTCGTCGACTGTCGTGCGTCTGTCGTCGACCGTCGTGCGTCTGTCGTCGGCCGTCGTGTGTCTGTCGTCGGCCGACCGTCGTCGGCTGACCGTCGTGCGCCTGTCGTCGTGCGTCTGTCGTCGGCCGTCGTGCGTCTGTCGTCGACCGTCGTGCGTCTGTCGTCGACCGTCGTGTGTCTGTCGTCGACCGTCGTGCGTCTGTCGTCGACCGTCGTGTGTCTGTCGTCGGCCGTCGTGCGTCTGTTGTCGACCGTCGTGCGTCTGTCGTCGACCGTCGTGCGTCTGTCGTCGACCGTCGTGCGTCTGTCGTCAGTCGTCGCGTGTCTGTCGTCGACCGTCGTGCGTCTGTCGTCGACCGTCGTGCGTCTGTCGTCGTGCGTCTGTCGTCGTGCGTCGACCGTCGACCGTCGTGCGTCTGTCGTCGTGCGTCTGTCGTCGACCGTCGTGCGTCTGTCGTCGACCGTCGTGCGTCTGTCGTCGACCGTCGTGCGTCTGTCGTCGACTGTCGTGCGTCTGTCGTCGTGCGTCTGTCGTCGACCGTCGTGCGCCTGTCGTCGACCGTCGTGCGTCTGTCGTCGACTGTCGTGCGTCTGTCGTCGGCTGTCGTGCGTCTGTCGTCGACTGTCGTGCGTCTGTCGTCGACTGTCGTGCGTCTGTCGTCGGCCGTCGTGCGTCTGTCGTCGGCCGTCGTGCGTCTGTCGTCGGCCGTCGTGCGTCTGTCGTCGACCGTCGTGCGCCTGTCGTCGACCGTCGTGCGTCTGTCGTCGTGCGTCTGCCGTCGATCGTCGTCGCCTGTCGTCGATCGTCGTCGGTCGTCGGTCGTCGGTCGTCGGTCGTCGGTCGTCGGTCGTCGGTCGTCGTCTTAGAGCCCCCCGCGCGGTTGCGTTTTAGGCTTTAGGTAGGCTTTGCTGTAACTCGGGCCAAACTCGTGGCGCATGCCTGGGCTCGTTTTTGCTGTTAGGGAGGTCAGCCTTTGCACCTCAAAAAAATTGGCTGCGGGGTGCTCTTGGTTGGACCACTGAAGACGCAGAAAATAAGGGGTCGCGCGGTTCGTGTTTCTCTTTTGTGGTTCTGCAGGCGCAAAATGAAAAACATAAGGCAGGCAAAAAGAGCCCCAAAATCTGGGCACATTCATCCTTCCAAATGAAAGACGGCGAAACCCAAGCACCGGCCGCCGCGGTGGTGGTCTATTCTTCGCCTATGGGTCCCGCTCTTCGCCTCTTGGCTTCTTTTTGCCAGCTGTGCTCTGGCCAATAGGCTCGGCTCGGCTTTAAGCTGATGTGAACACAGGACGAACGGAAGCAAGAATGAAAAGAACGGACTCGCCAGGAACTGAGGCGAGTGGGGAGGACTTTCCCCGCCCTCGCCCTCTGCGCTACGCTACCGGCGAGCAGATCACCAGCCCCAGGCCCCTCGGCTCTCAGCGGACGTGGAGCCCTCTGCGCTCGTAGTAGTCTAGTTGCGCTCGACTGGTCTCTCCACTCTTATCTGCTCTCGCCTGGTCGCGGTCTCGTCTGTTCTGGTGTCCTTCGCTTCTTGTCTTTGCTTTTTGCTTTAGCGGGCTGCCTGTGTGGAATGGTGTCGCTTGATTTTAATGAAATGCCGACTCGAGTTATCTTATTCCATGGGTCGGATCTTCGAGGCAGTTCCAACCTCATTCCAAGACGAGACTGGTGCGCCAATTTCCCCTGAGTGCTCAGAGCGGGGCGGGCTCTTTCTTTTTCCGCCTCGCGCTCGGGGCTCGAGCTCCGCAGCTCTTGCGCTTTCTTTGGCTTTTGTTTTGTTTTGTAGTGCAGATCAGTATCGTTCAATTTTCGGCCTAGCTCTACTCTAGTCTAGTGGCTGCCGTCGCGTGTAGTGTGGCCGTACTAGTCTACCTATTGCAAAGCGTGCCCGGCTTGACTTGGGCACCGGCTGCACTCCAGCGCCCCAACTTCAAGGGGATTCAGTTGGCCTTAGTAGACTAGTGCAGACGGGTACGGTATCAAACTAACAAAACGCAGCAGAGGAGGCGGCTGCAACGTAGCGAGCCCATCGACCCAATCAGAGCAAGAAAGTAAAAAAGTAGCAGCGTGCTCTACTTGGGGCAACGATCTAGCAGCCTTACGCGTGCCGTAGCTTGAAGACACTGGCTGAGCCAAATGAAACCGAAAAAAGCCGCGCCAACTCTAAAAAAAAATGACTAGCAACTACGTCACTGGCTTGGTGGCGTAGTGAGGAAAGTTGGAGAACTCCGGCTAACCAAATAGGAAACGCGAGTAGCCTTAGTGCGAGGGCTGTCGCGTCACCCTCGTGAGATCTATCACTTATGGGGGGAATTTGCCTAGAGATGGCGGGGGGGGGTTGCTCTTGTTTATAAAGGTTCTCGGGGATTAATCGCGCAGACCTTGGAGCCTATGCCCATGGAGTCTCTCTGGGGGGAGTGGGTGCTCAGTAGTTAGCAAGCAAGAAAATAAGAACGCAGAACGCTGCGCCTGCAGTAGCGCCAGTGCATGAGTTGGCACCCGCGAGCGCCATAGCGCAGCCCTGTCAATGGTTGCATGCGCGCCGCGTGCGGCGAAGGCGCTGAATGTCGTGCGGGATGACATCTGGCGAACCTGTATGGCACAGGAACGACCAGAGGCCCCGCCTATATGCCTACGTGTAGCCGCTTGTCGGCGACCTTTGAGCGACGTGAGGTATGTAAGTAGCAAGCCCGCCTAGGGGTTCTATTCCTTCGGAGCCCCATGGGGTGGCTTTCTTGAGCTATGGCCTCACCGCCTAACTTACCAAAAGGGCGGCGCCCGCCGCTCCTTGTCGCGAGCGCGATCGTCCGCGATCGCGACGGACAAGATAGCCAACAAAGAAGGTCGCGCCATCGCCGTCGCCTCTTGTCTGTCGTGTTGGCTCGTAGTGTAGTTGGTGGCGCGCTATGATTGACCATCGCCATCGCCTGCAACTGTCTGAGCAACCAAGGGCCAGAGTGGCTCGCGCCTCATCTGCGCTAAATCTACACCACCGCCCGCGTTACCTGTCGACCTTGACGAGGGGCACGCGGTGGCGGTCGTGAAGAAACTCGGCGGGGAGTTTCGACCCCACTCGCGCCGCTGTGTGGGTGCAATCATAGCAGCTACAACAGTAGCTGCTGGCCACTGCTTTGCTTATGTGAATTACATGGAGGAGGCGCTCGGGTGGGGCACCCTCGTGGCGGCCTTATGCTATGGGAAGACGAAGAACAACGCCGAACACGATGTAGGCCACCCTTGCCTTCCCAGTCAGGCGAGGGGCCTCCTTTGGGTCAGTCTACCCAAGGCAGCAAAGAAGCCGCGCCGCCAACCATCCACCAAACAAAAGGGACGGGGCGAGACTCGTGAAGCGGTGAAAAGTGGGGCCTGCACCTGACCAAGAAGGTGGAGGCAGAAGAGGTAAGGGCCCTCCTCGCAACCAGGCGCGCAGGGTGTGGCGGCTTACTTCAAACCACGGGACAAACCTCGCGCGCAGCGAAGGGGCCGCCGGCTTGATGAGTGGGCGACGGAGGGGTGCCACTGACTACTCCAAGGACGTAATGAAAAAAGCTGCCATGAAAGCCAACAAAAAGAAGCAGCCAGCGGCTGAGCAGTCTCAGGCCGCTCCACTTCGCAGCAGGCCAGCAGTGAAGCCGGGAGAGGACACGTGGCAGGCATGCGTCTGGGCATTTGGTTTGGCGCGACTTGTGGCCTTTGTGGCTTTGTTTGGCGACCGACGTAGGTAAGACGCAGCAAAGCACCGCCCGCGCTAAGCCTTTGCAATGGGCAGCACACTTTTACAGAATAGAACCCCCAGGAGGTGCCGGCGGGCAGAGCTGGCTGGGGCTATGCAACAAGCTGAACGCGGCGGCAGCGTGAGCGGGCCTTGTTCCACCAATGAGGCGAAAGACCTCGGCACCAACCGCCAAGAAGTAAAGACACCTCGGCCAAAGGCCGAGACCTACGCGCCGCAAGATCGGTAGCAGGCTGGCTGTTGGTTCTTAGTTCTTACGTAGGTGGGGCACTTGCGTGCCTGGCTGGGGGCCACGAAGTCCCCGACGTGCTCTGCGTGGGTTTCGCGGCGTCTGTAGGTACATAGCCCACAGTAGCGTAGGCGAGGCGCGGCCTGGCTGGGTGTCGACGGACAAAGGGTCTGGCGCTCAGGCTTCTGCTTGTGGTTGTGCTTGTGCCTGCATGCCATGACGCGGAAGGGTCTCGACTCGGTTGGGACTATGGCTGAAAGTCTGCGCTTCTCTGGTGTCGTGGATTTCAGGCGATAGCTGAGACGGATGGGGCGCGGCTGGAGTAACTAAGGGTGAACTGCCGCCCAGGCTTTGCGCTTGGTGATATTCCAGGGACCAGGCCTCAAGCTGTTGACAAACGCGGGGCCACGGCCTGGCGTGGGCTTCGTGTTATAGTCCAAACTCCTCCCCAGCCGCGAGCCCATCCGCAGGCCATTTTTTGCGTTGATCATGCAGGGGGGGGGGCGGGCCTCGGACTGCAAACAGCGGCCAGGCGGTGCGCTGCTTGAGTGAGGTTGAGCAACCCAAAACAGACATTGGCCGCAGCCTGAACGAAACCGCCCTCCGCGCTGGCTTGGCTTTCTTTGCGTGGGTTTTGCGCGGTGCTGGGTCAACCGTCTCGCGGCTTTTGTTGAGGTGAGACACTGCAGAGAGAGAGAGAGAGAGGGAGGAACCCAGACGGGGCAAGGCCTGGGCGACAGCTTGGGGCCAACACTTTGCGCGGATTTCGAGCCGTGCCCGAAAAGCTGGCGGCTGGGTTTTGTCTGGTTGGATTATGCAGGGAGACAGGGCCAGACCAGGCGATGGGGTGCGAGGCTTCGGCCTCTAGGGTCTGCAGCCAAGACGTGCCACGGGTTTCGCGTTGTAGTCCAGTCTTGACCCACCGGGGCCATCGTTTAAGGCTCGCCCTTTGTATGGGGCGGCCGGGGCTTGGCCTCGAGCGGTAAGCCACGCAAAACCTGAGCCAAAGGCCGGCGCTCCGCTTTTCTGCGTCTGACTGGGACGAGGGGGCCGCGCCAAATAGTCCAGCTCGCCCAGGCTTGAGGTTTGTTTCCTCGGGTTGGGACTCAGAGTCCACACTTTGCGCGGATTTCGGGCGTGCTCTTGCCGCGGTCCACACTCACAGGCAAAGGCCGGGCGGTGTATGCCGCGCGCCCTGGGTTCTTCTTGGGTTTGATTATGCAAAGGAGTCAACAGCCTGGCGCCTTCCTTTTGTGCTGCATTCGGCCTACGACCCGAAGGGGGGCCGCGCTTGTTCCCTTTGTGTGGGTTTTGCGCGGTAAGTAACCCAAACAAGGCCCGGGGGGATACAATACGAGCAACGCACGCCCGCCCGCCTTTTGTCTGTGTTTCGAATGAGCTTTGGCCAAAGAAAGCTTGTCTTGAGCTGTCGCCGGCCCAGTCTCATATGGTGAAGCAGTGTCGCCGTTCTAGACCCGCCCGGTGGCTCTTTTTCAGTGTGGGCGATGGCGTTTGCTATGGTAATCTTCTACATTATGATCGCTCCGCTCTCAGCATGGTTTGGTATGACTGTGCCGCGCTAGTGAAGTATCTGGCGACTCCGAAAAGTTTTGAGTTCGGCAAAGACAAGAATAGTCAGAAGGGGCAGCGTAGTCGAACAGGCCCGGCCATTATCAAAAGAGCAAAGGCGCGCTGACTTTGACCCTAATCATAAGCAGCACGCAGGTGGGGGCTTTAAGGTTGACACGTGGCTGGGCTCAGTCATCTCATTCAGCAAACAAACAAGGAAGCGCAAGAGCTAGAGCATACTGGTGAGCTGCATAGTTTTGACATTAAACCGCGACGGCCTTCGTGCTTATGTACAGCTTGGGCGTTTGCTTAGCCTTCTCAGTCATTCGCCCGCTTTTAATTACCGCGCAAACTGTCTAAAAGGGTGCAACACGTTAACACGGCCAAGCTGTCAACATCCAGGCGACAAGTGCCACGAATGAACGAAACTGGACCCCTTACCGCGATGATTTTTGTACTTGAGTGGAAGAAAGACGAAGAGCCGACGTTCCGCGGCGTGCCGAGTGACTCTTTCGTCTGTTGTCTTTATTCAAAACTTCAGCCGTTTTGGCTTAATTGTCGCCGCTGAGTTGCTTGGCCGTGTCGGCCAGTCGCGTCCACGGCTCTCGCCTTTTTTGTAGTCACCAAGCAGGCGGTCGCTCGCTCTTGCGTTGGTTTTTTACGTCTTCAGTCACACGCAAGCGTCAACCGATCTCCGCTGGCTCCGATTGTCGACGCCAGCTAGGAGCTGACCTCGGTGGTGAGCAGTGCTATACTTCCACGTCGTCCGTGTGGTCGTGGCACTCCTTTGGAGGTTGGTGCTACTTCGTCAGCTGCTGGCCTCGCACGTGGATGGGAAACGCCACAGCGCAAGAGGTTCCAGCTCCTGGTCTGGCCCGTTCTGCCCACCGTGATGCGCCTCCTGAGTGAGTTTTCACGTGTGCCCTTTCTGACAGTTGTGTGCTTCGTCGTGAAACTACAAATGTTTCGACCTTTTGGCATTTGTTAGCTTCTTAACTGTAGGCACGAGACCAGAAAGATCGCCAATCTGTGACGAATCTGCGTGAGGATCTTGGTCCAGTTCGATCCTTGTCTTTGGTTCTTATTTCAATCATTCAACTCGCCCGGCCTCGTTCCTCGTTCTTCCCATGCATAGAGATCCCCACAACGTTCCACCAGAATCATGAACGCCATGAAGGTCCCCGGTTCCTTGTTCGTTCTCATCTTCATCAGCATCGTCACCAACCTGGTCGCAGTCACCATCCTCATCCGGATCCTAGTTGTAGCCGTGCCATCTATCTTTCTCACCTGCAGGCTGGCAATAGTGACCCGAGTAATTCCACTGACTTGCATGCGTGTGGTGGTGTTTTCAGTGTGTTCATTCTAGTGGTGTAGTCAGTTGGTCGGTATCTCAGTCGGTGGACATTGCTAACACTAACGCAGAGCATTGCGGGTCTGTGGTCTTGTCGTGTTGCGTGTTCGCGTTCCGTTTTGCCAAGTCGTATTTTCATTCTTGATTTCATTTCGCTCCATTTTTGTTTGCTAGAAATCATTTCCACTTCGTCATTTCTCTGGTGGAGGTGCATTTGCTCCAGGAAGTCTATCAGTACATTGTGGCTTGCGAAAGTAAAACATCCAAAGCGAGGCTTTGATTGTAGAACGCAAATCGAAGCTTGGACTGCAAAAGCAAAAGCCTCATATTCCTTAACAAGTGTATGCAAGCGAGTCAAGCAGATACATCTACTTCGTGATGTTATCGATGTAGTTAGTACTATCCTTATTATACTATCAACATGACTTCAACAATGATCGTGATAAAACTTGTTCCTCATGTCGTCCTACTTGTACTTGTACAATCATTTCATGGATGTCGATATCGACGTCATTGATTTCATTCGATATAATTTCAATTTCAGACCACTCCAATCAAAACTTCTTTTGCCTAAAAACTACAAGAAAAAAACGGAACATTGATTAATTTGAAGTCAGATATTGTACCTGGTTCAAGAATTATCACAAGAACCAAAAAGTCTCAAGAAGAAGTTTCTTCTGGATACATGGAAACTTCATGCTGACGGTGCTTTCTGTCTGGTCACAAAGTACCAGATGGGTCTTTTCTTACGCGTTTGCTGGCCCTACTAGGGGGAGTCAAGAAAAACTCCTGAGAATCGGCGCTGCTGCTTACAATCGCTTTGCCTCAGTAATCACTTAATGTTGAGTGGGGTTCAAAAATTCTCAAAACTTTTTGGGAAGAATAGAAGCAAAAATTGTGAGCGAAAACGCGAGTGACGGATGTGTACTACTCTAGCGAGAGAGGTCACGCAAAGACGATTCTGCAAGATCACTACAGATCTTCTAGTGGATCTTTCCTTCGGCTTGATGATTTTGATTTGGATCTATCCAGCAGCATCCGTAAGATCTGTCGCCTTATGGAAGAGATCCTGGTCTTTTGGTATTCTTGTCTGTCGGTATCAGATGCCGCGACGCTGACGAGCACTTTAAAAAAATATGAGGGTTTGCTCTGAGTACGAGTAGCATCGATCCCCGGCTGATGCGTTGCTGGTTTGGGCAATACTTGTTCGCAAGTACAAGAAGAAGTAGGAGAGGTTCGCGACCACAAAAAAGTGGAGGTTGGTTGCGGTGTCGAAAGTGTTCGTCTTTTGTAGACGTTGCATCCGGGGTGTAAAACCGTTTGCATGTCTAAAATGTCCTATTCCTACGATTAATAGCTATTCAAGAACGAAGAGGACCAATCAGCATCTCGGGGTTCCGGCAAGAAACCCCCTTCAGGACACTCTAGTTTCATTCCACCTGTCAAACCTCCTTCTCCAACTCCACCCCCCAAGAAGATGTTAGCCACATCCGAAGCTGGGGAGACCCAGTTCGTGGTCGCAGATCGAGTATTGAATAATATGCGCAGTATTCTGGATGGGGAGAATCTGTTGCCTGGCATGAAAGTAGACGAGCTCCGAAAATTCGCTGATGGGCGCTTCTTTATGTCGTGTGTCCTCTATGAGTCAATCTTATATGTATCGCTTCTTGTTATTGTTCAATCTATTTCAGTGGTGCAATAAAAATGTACTTGCTAAAAATTTTCGCTCTATCCATCCCCCCTTGTCCCGCCTTTTCGACTTCTCATCTCCCCCACAGTCTCCAGAATTCCCTCTTTATTAATGATCGACAAAAATCGAGGTCTGGCGTCAGGGCTTTAAGGGCGAGCAAGGAGAATCACAAGGGGCGCAAGAAGCTCGGCCAGGGCTCTCAGGGTTTTAAGGGCAAAGCCAAGAAATCCCAGGGTTGCCAGTGCGGGCTAAATCGCGGTCGTGTCAGGGTTTGGCGTCTCAGGGTTTGCAAAAATGGGCACAAGTGTCAGGATTCAGCCCCCCGGGTTTTGTAGGCAAAAACGGCGGCCAGGGTTTTGCGTCTCAGGGTTTGGCATGCCAGAGCTCACGGCCTCAGCGTTCGCCACTGCCAGTGTGTAGCGCCTCAGAGTTTTGCAGGTCAGGGCTTGGGAATGTCAGGGTTTCCCGCCTCAGAGTTGGGCGGTGTCAGGGTTTACAGCCCCAGAGTTTCGCGGGTCAGAGTTTCGGAATGCCAGGGCTTCGCGCCTCAGGGTTGGCCGATGTCAGGGCTTGCCCGCCCAGAGTTCCGCCATTCAGGGTTTTCCGTCTCAGGGTTGGGCGATGGCAGGGCTTGGAACCCCAAAGTTTGGCAGGCCAGAGTTTTCGAATAGCAGGGCTGCGGGCCTCAGAGTTGGGCGGTGTCAGGGTTTGGCACCTCGGAGTTCCGCGGGTCAGTGTTTTCGAGTGTCAGGGTTTTCCGCCTCAGGGTTGGGCGGTGTCAGGGTTTACAACCCCAGAGCTTCGCGGGTCAGAGTTTGGGAATTTCGGGGCTTCGCGCCTCAAGGTTGGCGGATGTCAGGGCTTGCCTCCCCAGAGTTCCGCCAGTCAGGGTGTTCCGCCTCAGGGTTGGGCGATGGCAAGGCTTGGAACCCAAAAGTTCGGCAGGTCAGAGTTTTCGAATGGTAGGGCTTCGGGCCTCAGGGTTGGGCGATGTCTGGGCTTGGCACCTCAGAGTTCCGCGGGTCAGTGTTTTCGAATGTCAGGGCTTTCCGCCTCAAGGTTGGGCAGTGTCAGGGTTTACAGCCCCAGAACTTCGCGGGTCAGAGTTCGGGAATGTCAGGGCTTCACGCCTCAGGTTGGGCCGGTGTCAGGGCTTGCCCCCCCCCCGCGTTCCGCCAGTCAGGGTTTATTTTTTGTCTCAGGGTTGGCGATGCCAGGTTTTGGAGCCCCTGCGTTTGGCAGGTCAAAGTTTTCGAATGGCAGGGCTCCGGGCCTCAGAGTTCGGCGATTTCAGGGTTTGGCACCTCAGAGGTCCGGGGTTCAGTTTTTCGGCTGTCAGGGGTTTGCGCCTCAGGGTTGGGCGGTGTCAAGGTTTACAGCCCCAGAGCTTCGCGGGCCAGAGTTTGATACGGCTGCACGCCTCAGGGCTGGCCGATGTCAGGGCTTGGCGCCTCAGAGTTCCGCGGGTCAGGTGGTGGACTGTCGGGGCTTCTCACCTCAGAGTTGGCCGGTGTCAAGGTTTGGCCCCTCAGAGTTCCGCGGGTCAGTGTTTTCGGTGGTCAAGGTTTTTCGCCTCGCTCAGAGTTGCGCGCTGTCAGGGTTTACAGCCTTGGAGTTTCGCGGGTCAGTGTTTGGGAGTGTCAGGGTTTCACGCCTCTGGGCTCGCCCCTGTCAGGGTTTGGCGCCTAAGAGTTCCGTGGGCGCCTGAACGTGTCGCAGGTCAGCGGTTTGGATTGGCGGTCTTCCTCCCTCAGAGTTGGCCGATGTCAGGGCTTCGCGCGTCAGAGTTCCGCGGGTCAGGGGTTTGAAACGTCCGCGCTCTGCGCTTCAGGGTTGCGTGAAGTCAGAGCTTGCCCCCCTAGAGTTTCGCCAGTCAGGGTTTTCCGTCTCAGGGTTGGGCCATGGCAGGGCTTTTGTGCCCAGTTTTCGAATGTCAGGGTTGCGCGCCTCGGAGTTGGCCGATGTCAGGGCTTCGCACCTCAGAGGCCCGCGGGTCAGCGTTTTCAAATGTCAGGGCTTTCCGCCTCAGGGTTGGGCGCTGTCAGGGTTTACAGCTCCAGAATTTCGCGGGTCAGTGTTTGGCCTGTCGGGGTTTTCGCGCGGTTGGCCCCTCAGAGTTCCGCGGTTCAGTGGGTGGAATGTAAGGGGCAGTGTTTTGGCATCTATTGCCGCGACACGCGCCGGCGCGCTGCTCCAGGTGTAGAACGCCGCGAGCGCGGGCGGTGACGAAAAGGCACGCGAGGCTCACATCGCACTGGCGCCTTGGCGGCGTTTGCGCCGAGGCTTCGCCGGGTGGGGGGCCAGTGCGTAACAGTGGAGCCGTCGCCGCGCAGCCGTTAGCGGGTTCTAATGCGGCCGCCGGTCACGTTTTGGCCGCCTAACGTCAGGACCACAAAGGGCCCGACGCATATCGCTGGCAGCGGGGTCGGGCTCTTTTGTCACAGGCGCACGCGCGCTGCAGGGGCCGACGGGGGTGTGAGTCGGTTTCTTTGTGGCGGGCGCAGTTGCCCCCCCTTAGAGTTCGGCGCCTCCCAGTCTGGCCCGGTCCGGGCTGGACGTCTGGTCTGGTCTGGTCCGGTCCGGTCCGGGCTGGTCCGGTCCGGTTCGGGCCTCTGCCGCTTCTAGCAGCTCCCTCTCCCTCTTTCACCTTTTTCGTGTCTCAGACCGCTGAACACACGGGACGCGACTAGTATTAATATAGTTCGCTGAGGCTTTGTTTCTCCTTTATTTTGATTTGATTCCCAATACGGTACTGCAGAAATTTAGCCTACCTCTTTAGTACTTCTCTCCTTCACTACTGTTCTCGTTCATATTGCACACTCAAAGCCAGTTCGAGCGGCATTTTCAGAGCAACTGGGACACACTGGAGGAGGAACAGAAATACTGCCGTGACTGGAAAGAAGCAAGCGAGCGCGCCTGGAAAGCAGCAGAAAGTGAAACACAGGCATGGCGAGATGATTATGACCTCATAGTTATGTAGTACTTGAAAGTACCGTGATTCGAATTCGATCAGGACATACATTTAAGTAGTTATGTTGCATTTTTCAAAGACATAATGCAGGAGGTACAACTGTTGTTGTACCGTTGTATTTTAGAGACCGGCAGGAGGACTATGTATCATGAAATTAGAGTTACGGATGTATCTACGTGTAAGATTAGCTTCTTGATGAGAGCTAAAAGATTTAGATTTTTCTAGCTTCTGTCATGAAGTCCTGAATACCAGTTTCTATGAGGGACATTAGCATTAATTTCTAAGAAATTCTGGATAAGCAGATGTCCGACCTGCGAGCACGGAAAGCGGCACTTCCGAGGAGACTCACTGCCCTGGACTCTCCCCGCAAGGCAATATGTAGCGTAAGGGAGGAAGGATGCAAGTACTTACTTATTCTTGCACCATAGCATCACATCTACCAAAGATTTTGGATTATAGATAAAGAAGGCACGAGGGGAGGTGGGAAAGGAGATAAGTAAGTCGAGTGAGAAGTTGTAATTCATGACTTAAATTTGACCTCTCTATCAGGTTTCTCTGGCGCGTTATACAGGTAAATGACGCGGATGGGATGAAGACATTTTTCGACAAGAATGGCGTTTTCGTCGACGATTTAGCGGAACCGCCTTTATTTTTTGTTATGATGACTTCTTCAGGATCGGACTACGGAAAAATATATTTTGATTTGATTAATATTTTTCCAAGGTGAAGAAGATTCACTAGGGCTACGTAATATTGATATGATTAGACTTCTTCATTCAAGGGGCCCGCTTGGTTGTAGGTGTGAATGACAACATAGCTGTTAACTCTGAACTGTCGAAGAAGCGAGAGGTGTGAACTTCATGACAACATATCTGCTAACTCTGAACTGTCGAAGAAGCGAGATCCAGAGCTCCCTGGAGAGGATATGCGGTTAAGCACGCTAGTTTATGGCTCCCTGGAGCGGACGGTTAACATCGATGATCAGTATCAATTATACTAGGTTGTAACTAGATCATCGCTGTCTAAATTTTCCTTACTCCAGACAGTGAGGGGTGGCCCGCACTGCATCTCGCGGCGAAACACGCTGCGGCTGAGGTTGCTGCGGCGCTGATAGAGCGGGTTCCTTGGATTGTAGATGCCAGACCCATAGGCAGAGTTCGTGCAACACCGTTGCACCTGGCCGCAGAGGGCAACAACCTGGACGTGGCCAGGGTATTTGTTATACTTGGGAAGAGTAGAAGCTGTTACAGATTGGAGCTGGTATAATTCTCGAAGTACTGGTCTCCTATGCGTGATACTTTGTTCAGAATCAGAAATTCGCACCAGTAACGGGACATTTACTCTTTTTATTGGTCTGTCATTCATATATTGCTATTGCACTTATATTTTCCGAAGAAAAACAACAGTATAAAGAACGAGGTCTTTCTCCTATAGTTTTTCACCTCTCGTCTTCGTCAACATCGTCGGTCCCTCACCACAGATACTTTTAAAGCAGAAAGCGAAACTTCATTCTTTGAACGAAATTGGGGAGACGCCGATGGAAAAAGCGAAACAGAGAAATTTGTTGAGGATGGAACAACTCCTGACTGGTTTTGCCTTGGCCCGATGGCATGGAACTGATAAATGATATACAAAGAGCAGGATCAAAGATCATAGAAATACACCCTTATACATTTAGTATAAGATTTTGACGATTTTGTTTCTGATGCTTCTGTTGTTGAAAAAGAAAAGCAAGGAAGGAAACGCAGGGAGTGGAAGATGTGCGTGGGACGTGCACCTTCAATTTGGAATTGGGAGATAAATTGTTCGATGCAAGCTCGTTTTTCGTTCCCACGAAATTTTTATGAGCGTGGTGAGGAGCGAGGGGAGACGATAAAGAAGTTAGAAACGTTTTCTTGAATACACAAGTACGTATGCTGAACGCATAGGATCATATTCACAATCAGCTGGACTAGTTCTGTGATCTGGTGTGATCTACACATGAAGAACGACTAGAATGGCCAAGTCGTCTTTTGGTGTGCCCTCGTCTGCGTTCTTTTATGATTGTTTCAGGAACAGCAGAAAAGGTTTTGGTTGCAAGTCTCGTCGAGGACTGCCGTCATGCTCACGCACTGCCCCGTCGTTGTCATATGGAGCCAAAGGGCTTCATCATACAAGTGATTCTTCTGGACCTGGAGGATTTCTGCGGTAGACGTTCGTGCACGAAATGCGAGTACTTGCAAAAGCCATTGTTGTAGCTATCATCTCCTCTGCTAGGGATAGGTCGACCTTCTTTGGAGGATGTGGTTGCAGTGGCGTCTGTGGTGTAGGAGTCTACGGAAAGAAGGTGAAGCGTGGCTCTACGCGGTTTGATGACTATGAGACGTTTTACACGCACTTCCCGTGGCCGCAGCCGGACGAATTTGAGTTCTTGATTGGAGACCAGAAGGGTAACTTAACTTTAAACAACTAGTACCCACTAGTACTTGAGAATGAGCACTTAGGAAGAAGTTTTTGTGCTGAAGGAACTGTGTTCAAAATCGTTGTATAATTAGATGAATGATCGCTTCAGATTCAGAACCTACAACACCTGCGTGTAACGAAAGTTCATTCTTCTCTCGGGTATTCTAACCAAAGTAGAAGATGAAATTTCTCCGATATCCTCAGAAGAACAAGAACGAGAACAAGGCGCCTCTCCTACAACATCACAAGGACAGCAACAAGACCCGACTGATGTCCGCGTTCCTGGTACCCCACTGCGGAACCCCATTCGAGAAGCGAGCTCATTTTACGGAAACCGGTAACCTAAGTGGTAGTAAACCCATGTCTTCTTCAACACGAACACTATTTCGTGGTCACTTTAAGTTTTTTTTTGAAAGGAACTAACAACCAAATAAAGTTCCATGCTTCAAAAGACGGGCTGCTCTTACTTAATGCCTCTAATAATTTCGTGAACATTGGCAAGGTCCGATCGAGTACCTGAAAGAGGCACACACCAATCCTTTGGTGTATCCGAATTCATTCTGCTTTCCTCCGAACACCGAATATTCTTTCTTTAGCTGTTGTTTGACGAGGTTAAGCACCAAGGATTGTTGGGGACGACCTCTGTGGTTCTTCAATAATGCCTTCTCGGAATTAGAGGACCTCGAGACGTCTAAGAAACGTAAGTCTTCTTCTACTTCTGCAGAAGATGCTGGTGCTGTACAAGGAGAAGGACATCAAGCAGTTCTCCAACCAGTGCGGGAGGAGTTTGCCAGCGGAAAAGAACACAGCACAAACCGTTCTGGACATGAAGGGAACATTAAGTCTTCTCATAGTGAAGATGATGAAAAAGACAACCCTTCTTCTAGTTCTACCGATGAAGATGAAGAGCAAGTTTCTGCTGACCACTTTGCCCAGAAGATGCGTGCTTGGCTGCGGGAAAAAACAGGAAAAGTTTCACTCGATGATTATGCTAGGGCTGTCATAGATTTCTTCCACTTGAATCGAGATCTTTTAGTGCTGTCAAAAGCAGCAGAAGAAGGAGAAGAGGAGGAAACAATTGCCACTGGAGGGGGTTACCTTTACAAACGCATACAGCAGTATTTGTATAGGGAGTTTAGGGTCCGAGAAGAGCAGAATGTCAAGAGGAATGCTGCTTCGCTAGAAGAACTACCTTTCGAAAAAGATGATACCGACGAAATTGGAAAAAAGACGCAGGTGGAACCACCCCTAGTAGAAGAGCTTCCTGAAGACGAAGACGTAGAAGATCTGGTGAAATATTTCACTGAAACTTCATCGGACGAAGATGCTGAGCATTTCTTCCGCAATGGTGGTCTACGTCGTCTACGGCAGAGAAGATTCGAAGTCAGGGTGCAGAATGCGGAGAATCTACGCAGGTTGGAAGAATTGGCCACAACAAATGGCCTGGAGGAAGAATTGACCACAAGAGAAAGCGTTGAAGAATCGATCTCCGGAACAACGGTCCAGCGTGAATCTGCGCATAGTGGAGCAGAGTCGCTTACATTTCCTGCTCCGGAAGAATCTCTGTCCTCTGTTATGCGTGCCAGATCATTGTTACGTGGAGCGGAGAAGATCCTTTTGCACTTACACAGTGAAATAAGTGATAAAGACGATGAGGATGAGGACACGACTTCAACTTTTGTTCAATCACGACCTTCTAGTGGGAATGGGAAAAGACATCAAACCACCACAACCACGACAAACTATGAGTGGTTGCTCAGAACTTCGCCTTCCTTATGTTGTGACCACGAACAGCATGCAGAAACGGCCTTAGTCGAAGATTTTCGAGTCTTCAACCTGATACGTGCGAGGCATGATCTTTTTCAGTGTCTCTCTGTGCTGGGCGAGCTGCATTTAAGATCGTTGTATGCATGAAGGATTTATTTCTCCTGTCTCTCTGATCTTCACGTCATTTGCTTCTAAAAGACCGTTGATTCTTCTGTCTGGAGCAAACAATAACAAAAACAACCTTAACCTTTGAAAGTGTTAACGTTTTTGAAGGACATATTTAAAAAGCGCTCTTAGCAAGAACAGAATGTGAATGGTCTACCTAGAACCACGAAGTAACACTCCTACTTACAACAGAAGGAGATGATTTTTACCCTCTGGTCCTTCATACTCCAGCGGTGAGCTTCGTATTGCGCGGAGAGTTTTTGATTCCTCTGCTGAACGGACCAAGCTGGGGTTTTTATCAAAGCGTGCAAAGTCTCTGCGAAGATCACTACGACCACGAGAAGTACGCCCTCTATCAAGCAAGCTATGTAGCGTTTCTTACTGGAAAACAACACTTTCAGAACGTGAAGATAGAAGAAGGACTGAGCAGCAAGAATATGATACTTGCTGACCATACGCCGGAGCTCGAGCCAGGAGCATCAGATCGAAATCGTCCGGAACCTCCGTCTCATGGACCGTTGAAGATATCCGATATTATCAATAGCGTGGAGGTGACATCTATACTAGAGCTGGAAAATAGACGCAACAGAGATAAACCCGTACATTACCACAAGCGTTTTGGTATTGCTTCTTCCTGTGTTTCTGGTACTTTGGGCTACTGCAGTCTGACAATGTCGATGTGGCAGTGCTATGTCATGTTGCATAGTAAGAATACTTAAGGCGGTCTGTTCTAAAAATGGTCAAAGTCGATCACTAGTGATCGACTTTGGGGGGTGGCTTATTCCGAGGAAGTTCCCCTGTGGAGTAAACGTAAAGAGGAAACCCCCTGACACGTCAAGGGGATTTTATGGGAAGGAAAAAGACTCCACTTGAAGAACGCCACCGGGGATAGTGATTGACTATCTTCTAAGATATAGATCTCTTCTACGAAGCCGCTTACGACTATGATACGCATCTGCGAGAAGGCATATGTCCAAGAGGCGTGCTCGCTTTAGAAAGACGGGAAGAAGCGGAGCTGGCTCGGAAAAGTAGACAGGATGAAAAGAAGAATCAGAACTATGGTGAAGAAGTAGGTGGAGTTGTACAATCTCACAACTATGGTGAAGAAGTAGCAGGAGTTGTACAATCTTCAGCGGATAAGTCATACGTCAGAGCAGACGAATTTGAAGCATCGATTAGAGGTGAGCCACGTCAGTTAGAGCAAGTCTTAGCTGAAGCCGATGTTGAGGCTGAGGAACGTAGCAGAAGTGAACGAAACTCCAACCAAGAAATAACTACAGTAGAAACCAACGACCACAGGCTAGTGCTCAAAGACGATCGCACATCGCCACAGATCCCGGTTGATGGTGGATTAGCACTTCAAAGCGCTCCTTTGTGCAGGTTGACCTTCGATGCGTTGGTGACTCGGTGGCGTGCTATTGAGGCTCGAGGCTACTCTTTTTTCCTCCATAAATCTGTGTGAATTTGCTACTACAATCTCAAAGAACTCCAAATAAGTAAGAAATATAACAGTATGATCCTCCCTTTTCCACGTGAACGTAAGTATGTAGATACTTACTCTACCTGGGAGTAGAGATGAGTGGTGACTCTACCTGGGAGTAGAGATGAGTGGTGCTCCCTACGAAAAGTTGACAGTCGTGGCTAGCGCTAATGCAGAACCAAGAGCAGTAATGCATGCATTTGGGAAATATGAATGGATCTTGGCAGTGGATGCGGCTGACACCAGTATCGGACCAGGTTGTTTTCTCTCCAATCTAGAAGAACTGTTCGAGAAGCAGGAGGATGTTGGTGAAAAGGGAGCAGCCGATGGAGAGGACGAGGAGCATGACCATCTTCGCACTAGACAAACACGGACATCAACAAGTAGTGCTAGCGGTAGCAATAATGATGATGCGAAAAATACTAGTGTCGATACAACGAGTACTACTTCTACTACAAAAAAGAAAAACCTCCATGAAGAAAACCTCCTTCACGACCAGCATGATGCTTCGCGACCCCAGAAGATCCCACCAACTGCTGAAATTGTAGTCAAAGATCCTTCACCTGAGGAGGACTCGAATGGAGGGGTATTCATGATTAGGCATAGTATGTTGGGAAAGCTGTTCGTCGACCTGCTCAACGATAAAGACAATTAAGGGTCGTAATGTGCTCGTTTAGCTGAATGATATTTACTTTTTTGTTTTAAAAGATGTAATGGCTTGGTCTTGTTCTTCGGTTCAAACATCTTGTGACTGAATCTTCTTTCACTTGCGCAACGACTATGGTTGTTCTCACTTCTTTTTATTTGTACTACGAATGGATGCAAAAACTACAGAGGATATTTGTTTAGGAGGCTGTGCTTTGTATGTTTTGAAGCAATTATGCACTAATACTTACTACCTCATGGAAGAACAGTAAGTCTAAGTAACCTCTAAGTCTGTTGGCCAAGTGAATTGATCGGCGGTGGCTGTTATCCAGAACAACTCTCGATGAACGAGGCACTTCTAGAACTGGTTGCCTTAGAATTAGGCAAGGAATACCGCAGTGATTGTTTGCGATACGTTTTCGGGATGCCTGGCGACAACGCAGTTTTCGGATGTCAATGTTAAGCATGGTTGTAGTTTTTCTGTTCCGCAACACGATATTTTCACATTTGCGTTAATCTGCTTGAGAATGCAGCTAAACACTGCGGATGGCGAACCACCTCCTAATCCTAATCCTAATCCTATTATGAATGTATTGACTGCATGGAGGTCAACATTGTTTTAGAGGTCGCAGTGTCGTCACAGTGGGACGAAACGCGTTGAATAATGAATTTTGAGAAAGACCACGAAACGTAGCATTATATCGAAGACCTTTCTGGATAATTGTCTTTATCTAGAAGGACCTTACTTGTCTTTACTCTAGGTTATCTAGAAAGACCTTGCTTGGCAATTGTACTCTTACTAGCTGGCATTATCTAAGACCCCAAGTCTATCTTCCTAGAAAGAACATTATCCAAGGCCTTATCTGAGACCGCGTACCAGGTTCTGAGAAAGACCACGTACGAAGTCACTTGCTTGAGAAAGACTTTGACTAGCATCTTCTAAAAAACGACCACGTACATGCTTTGTTTCCGACACCATTTGGATCGTATGGCCGGTCCTTTTGGGGAGAGAAGAACAAGACGAGTCTTTTTTCTGAATCCACGGGTTATAGACATCAACTATCGGCCATACGGGAACGTGGCTGCAGACAATTCGAACCTGGAGGAGGTCGGGAGTCCGTTTTTTTATGGCTTGAGAACGAAGTGGCCAAGATGAATAGGTTTTGTGTTTGAGTAGGTGAGAAGGTGAAGATTGTTTGTGTTTGAGTAATCGTCTTCGTCCCCGTTCGACCTGAATTACGTCTTCCTATCTCCGCATATTCATTGTGTGAGCAGCCATAGCGTCCCCCAACCTTCTAATCCACGTGGCATTGGGTCAACTACGTAGATAAACGACCTGTGATCATGCAGCACATGCTGGGAGTCAATAGCACGATGAATCTAGAGCAAGAATTTCGAATTGAAAACGAGGTGAGAGTGGTCGACGGGCAGGTCCAGAAGGGCGCAAAGAATAGTAGCGAAGGAAAGAATGCAGAAGGAGGTGAAAGTTATGATTGTAACTACTTACCTGATGATGTTCATGTTGTAGAGCCTTCTTATCATATTTACATAATGATAGTTGGACGACATCCTCCAGGGCAGTTGGACGACAGACGGCGCCTAGATTAAACGGGTCCTATACTAGATGGCCACTTTTGCTAGTCCTATAATATATATGCGTCTTCCTTTTTTCTAACTTTCCTAGGTAGGTTGGCTCCACCACAAATATTTATAATGATACTGGTAACAAGCAAGGACAAACTCCATTTTGTAAGAGACACCTCTTCCACCCTTTCTTACCTTTTCGGTTTCTAGGACAGCGCTAACAAGACCACCCCGACAGTTTCGCCCAAGAAGGTGGCATGTTTATCCCCACGGAAGGTTGGTGCAATCGGGTAGTGGATCCTTCACGAAGGTGCGACTTTGGGAGCAAAGCGCCAGTCTGCCAGTATCTACCGCATCGATACATCGCTTCTTGCTGAGGATCAGCTCCCACGCTTCAGGGTTGGGTTTAGGGTTTAGGGTCGCAATTCCTTTTTCAAAACGTTCGATCTAAGAATATTCCCTCAGCGTTCATTTTCACTTTCTTCACCTGGTTCAAATATCTTGATCTTCGCTCAACTCTTTCACATAATTTTGCAATATTCCTAGCTCCATGAGTTACGACACTCTTTCAACGCGCGCAATACTCGGAAACAGAAAAAACAACGCGTTCCCCTGTAGCACACCCACGCAGCAGCGTTAGTCCTCTCCGTGGCTTTGGTCTCGGTCTCGGACCTCTGCGCTGACTACGTGATTACGTTTGTTCGCATGTGCTAGTTCGTTGTGCTTTTGTCGGTGATTATTCGGTTCTGCACATGATCAATACAACGTTCGCAGTTCTTCCTGCGTGCAAAACATCGGTTTTGCTACCTTCTGTGGTACCTTGAGTAAATTTTGTATCTGCTTTTCACCACTACCATAACAAAGCCAGCACGCGTTTTGCTCTTTCTGGATTGATGTTCGACCACTACACTGCGCAGAGGGTATCACTCTCAAACAACAACAACAACTACTACTACTTTCATGTTTATTGCTGGAGTCAATTTCAAAGTTTGATTTTCCTAAATTTTCCTAAAAGCAAGAAAAAATCATTATCAAGATGTCCCGCAAAATCCGACCGATACCGATTCAAGACGCTCTCTTTCGCCGCTTGCATTACTTCAACGATATCACCTATTTTTCGCGAAATGGGTTCTTCTTCATCTACTTGTTAAGATGGTGCATTTGCTCATTCCTAATGAACTAGACGTAGATTAGTCAACAAATTGTCTTGGAACAATAGTTTTCCAAGAATGATAGTCCTCCTTCTACTCTCAATCTATCCCGCTTTACCACCTTCACTTTCTCTCTTCACTCTCAACGACCTGCACCTCCATCTAAATTCTATTCACTTTCCTCCCGATTGAATCAATCCTCTTCATATTCCGCACATTGAATCCTCTTCATATTTCGCACTGCTCGTAAGTTTCTTTCTTATTCTTGCCCCCGATCATTGAAGAATCCTCTTCATATTCCGCACTGCTCGTAAGTTTCTTTCTTGCGGGTCTGAGCACTAGCGTTGGTTGGCCACGGGTCCTCCGCGACTTCCGGATTTCAACAAATTTTCACGTGGACCCTGTACACTCCTACACTGGAATAAAATGGAACGCGGATATGAGGGTTTTCGGCCCATGCTACGACATGCTGGCGTTGGTCAGCCGCGTCGTCTTTCAAGTCGGAGTGCACTTGGGACTAGTGCTGTTGTTATGTGGAAGATCGAGATGAATGTACTGAGTTGTAGTCTATTGAGTAGTTTACTAGTAGTTGGTTCTACTGAGTTGTAGTCTATTGAGTAGTTCTTGAATGTACTAGTAGTTCTACTCAGTAGTTTGTAGTTCTTCTTGGGACCAAGATCAAGTATCTATTTATTAGGCTGTGGCTGTGCCTCAAGCTCAACGTGGTAATCGTGACAAGTAGAGGCCATTCATTGAAGATAAACAATGGCCAAACAAGTGTTATCCCTCGTCTCTCTTTTCATTCCCTGCCATCTACTACCTGTGAGATAAAGTGTTATTCCTCTTCTCTCTTTTCATTCACTGCCATTTACCTGTGGAAATGGAGATGAAGCGCTATCCCTCTTCTCTCTTTTCATTACCCGCCATCTACCTGTGAGATAAAGTGGTATTCCTCTTCTCTCTTTTCATTCCCCGCCATCTACCTGTGAGATACAGTGTTATTCCTCTTCTCTCTTTTCATTCCCTGCCATCTACCTGTGGATGTGGATCAAGATCGTGGACAGGAAAGTGTGCCGCGACGAGCAGGCGATCGACGTGCAAGTCCACAATGCTTTAAAATTCCTGAAATGGCTCTTCGTGGTGACGTTCATCCTGATGTTCATCGGGACCACGAGACGGCTAGATGATCAACAAAATGTTGCCTTTGCAACCTATGGAGAGGCACAGGAGATTCAGGAGTTTGCAAGGAATACTGTATTAAAAATACAACATGTTGGTGGTGCGGTAAAGAGCGTGGAGGTGGACGAGGAGCAGGAACAAGCTAGTCGACTTGGTACTGGCAAGGAGTCCTTGGTGGAACAACCAATCTCCTCACTTTCAGTTTTCTCAACGCCTTTGGAAGCAAACGGAGACCACGGATGGTCAGAGACCTCTTCATCTCCTTGGCATCATCGTCATTATCTGGATGCGAAATTTGGACTAGGGAGTGGAAAAGGAGAACGAGAAGGGTCACTACTAGAGCAACAACAGCATCAAACCGAAACGCTTCCTCGTGATGGTGGAGATTCTGATGATACATTGCCGCTTAGTACGGCAATAGCTCAACGGCCACATGACCAGTCTCAACAAAGTTCTCCGTATTCACCAAGGGGAAGCGAACCTTTCAGAGGACAGCGCAAAAATGGCGACACTATCGTCGCTCCCACCGCGACCGAACACTACGCTTTTCGGGATTTATTTGTGAAAACGCATTACTTCGAACGCGATCCTCGGAATGGGAATCGCTATCGCAAGTTGCAATTCGACTACCCAGTCGAGATTTACCGCACTAATCGGACCGATGTGCACCCGTCTGGCGAATATGTTATCGGGCGCGACGTTTATACAGAAAGTTTGGAGGAGTATGAACTGACAGTGATTCCTCTGTGGAAAACGTGGACTCAAAGATACATGTACGGTATGGAGGAATTGCCAGGAGCCAGGAACACGAAGCAATGGTTGATTCTATTCGCTGGGGTGGCACAAGTGCTTTTTTTCATACTGGTTTTAGGCCTGGGCTCTTTGATCGATGAGCCGTGGGACGAGGTGGGAGACGGGTTTAGTAATCAGCAACACGGGCAAGGAGCCAGGAGGACGTCAACAAGTGGCGATCTTGAGTCGGCCACAACTCTCGTGCCAAAAACCTTTGTACATCGCCTGCTGACCGGGAGACGTGGGGAAAAGAGTCCGATTTTCAAAAGGTTGAATGTATCCACCTACTTCATCTGGACTATCATCTGCTTGCAATTTCTCGGCACACTATTCCTGAATGCGCATTTTCCACCAGACCAAAAGACAAAATGGAACCGAGTCTACGATGGCTATGTATCCTGGCCTGGAGGCGCAGGTACAGCGGATCCTAGTGAACTGCGTAACACTTGGCTCACAAGGGGAACAGTACTGTTGTCGCTTTCAGAGTGGATGTTGTTGCTTCTTTTCACTCTCAAGCTGTGGGGATGGACTCAGAAAATGCGGGAAGCCAAAAGCAAGAGGAACACAACTGCTGTCGTTGCAGCTTCTTCGAATCTTAAGGGTCTTAGATTTGGGTTTCGCAGCTGTAAGCAGGTATTGCAAGAGCATGCATCTAGTTCTTGTTTTCTCTCAGGATCACGTAGTTCGTTCTGTGCATTTTGTTCAGAGAGTTCTCTCTCACACTCACTGTTGCTCCCCGTGTAATGCTGCACCCATCCAATATGTTTTGAATACGTAGGAGCTCTAATACTCCATCCCAGCAGGAGTCTCTAGCAAAAAACTACGGCTTGGTGCTTTTCTATGAGCCTCAACACCACGTTTTACGGGGTCGATACTTCTCTGCGTTTGGTGGGAGTTGGAGACAAGCCCCCGATGTGATTCATAGGTGGACAGATTTGCGAAAACTCCTCGTAGCCTCTGAATCTTCAGCAAGGAAAATGCTATGGATTTTTGCATTTTACAATTTAGTACCACGATACAACCTGCCTCCAGAATCTCAAGAATAATAACTACCTCCTAGAACAATCTCAAGAATGAATAGTTGTATAAGAAGACTTCTAACAGTACTAACATTCACAGACGTACTACAGCAGATTGAGCAGATGAGCTTCTGGCGGCGACGGACGGTGAAGAGAAGGATTCGTGAAACTTGCTGGCACAGTTTTTTGGTGAAGCATTTCACAACAAGTAGATTCGTCAGCATGACATCATTTGGGAGTGGTCCTCCTTGTTCTTCATCGGGTTCACCGTCTGGTGGTCCTTTAGCAACAGGGATTGCAGAAGGAGGTACTAGAGGCGGAGGTGGTGATACCTCTTGTTCTAGTCGTGGTGGCGATACAACCACAAGCACAAGCACTTCGACAGGTGGTGGAATATCAAGCACGACAGCGAGCGATTGTGCTTCAACAACGACAGGAAAAACCTCAAGTAGAAGAGTGTCTTTGACTGGACCAGGAGCGCCTGTCGTAGATGCCGAATCAGAGATCGGCATAGTCGTTGAGAAAGTAGCAGGACAAGAAAGAGAAACAAGACGTAAAAGTCGTGGAAGTGTCCGCCTGAGTCTTGTGGCAGTTGCAGGCGATTTGCCGGATATGGATAAGGGAGCAGCAACGACAAGTAACTCTTTCTCGAAAATCAACGTGTTGCAGCGCAAGGACTTCGTCACGCGATCTCGGACGTCTTTCCTAGACGAGGATGACAGATTATCTTTGTTGTCAGATTGTTCACTGGATGACCGATCAAGGGAAGAGTTCTTAGGAACATCTTCTTCGAGTGTTCGTGTTGTAGACGATGCGATGGGGGAAATGATTTCGAAAGGAACTGATGGTTCTTCTCGAGAACAACGTGCACAGCAAGGGGCTTCGTCCATGGAGAATAGTAGTCCATCTCTAAGCAGTAAGAAATTTATAGGTATCGGAGAGCAACAAGTAAATTCTGTGCAAAGATATCCAAGTAGTGGGCGTGCTGCTACTGGAGCGCAAAAAGGGGTTTCCGTTCTATTGCCAGCTGGGGATGACTGCGTGCGTTTTTTCGATCCGTTGAGACAACCTCTTGAGGCCTTAGCAACTGCGGATATAGCGGGGACTGTTTCCTCCAAGTTGAATCTGCTTGGAGGGAATCATGGAGGTAGTCCAGGAGGCGGAGTAGCGCAGCAAAATGAAGATGTAGGAATTACATCCCCAGGAAGGGTGGCAGAGGGAGATAGGGAACAACAACGCGAGGAAACCAACAGCACGGTCACTCACGAACCAGAAGCTTATTATACTCGGGCTTCGGCGATAGCTTGCGAGAATCGCAAAGGGACAGCACTTGGAGGTGAGGATCCTTTCTTACTGGCAGACCAGGTCTCCGCTTCTATTTTAATATCAACAAGAACTGTTACGCCTACGCTAGGTCGTATGGTAAACGGAAACGATAAGCTAGAAGATGTTGATCTGATACAAGAAGTGAACACGTCTAGTACTTCTTCGCTTTTCATTTGTGAACAGGACTACAGATACAATTTCAGTAAGACCTCTTGTGATGGACAAGGGTATGGCACAACGAGCACGACTGGACTCGGAAAAGAACCTCATGCTCCTTCAACTTCTCCAGATTATAGAGATCCAACTTCTCTTTCTCCTTCAAAGAGACCAACTCCACATCATAGAGATTCAACTTCTCCTTCTCCTTCAAAGAGACCAACTCCACGTACTACCTCGTCTTTCGAACAAGTTGACGGTTCTACCGCTTCTCTCGTACCGCTATTTGGATCTGTGGATCTCTACGCGTTTCTGGCTACTGTGGGCATGGCACTTGTTTTCTTTTATTGCGTGCAGACAGGCCTTTTTTACTATATGCGACGATCGGGCTATAAGCCATACCCGTATTTCATCGTCTTCCTCACGAGAACTTATGGTTGAACTACTGTAAATGATTTGAGAAGTCCTAGTGAGGACCATGAGGACTTTCCTGCTCGATGTTTTTTCTCAGAGGCTAATGCTTTCCCTTTCTTATAATGAGAATGATGTTTGAGTAGGTTTACCTGGAAAATGAAAATATATCTATGTCATTTCAAGTCGCGAGTGTAACAAAACTGCAATATTTACGTCTACTAGCTCTAAAGACTTGGAACCTTCTACCCTTGCGATCTGTTGTTCCAAACCAACACCCATTTGTTCTGTTTGCTTTCGTCTATGGTTTTGCTGCTCGTCGTTTTTGAGATCATGCCGATTGGCAGTGAAAGCGGGATGCAGGGCGACGATCATGAAGGACTCCTAGGAAGTACGGATCCAAACAACTCGGGAAGCAAAGAGGATGTGGCAACACCACCCCCACGTGCTAGTAGGGAACAACAGGTTTGTGAAATGGGAGGTGATGCAAGTAGGGAATCTAGCGACGAAACTGCAACAGCGCCAAGGAAAAACATGCAACGAAAGAAGCAATTCCCAATAGCAAAGAAGCCGTTGCTCCAGCGAGGACCGAAAGAATTACTCGATCATGGTGAGAGGAGAAGAATGCTCGAACTTGCTGCACAAGGCGAAACAAATACTACGTTTAAACAAATGCGTCAGTTGTCTACCTATTTTCACTATCCATTGCGTTATCTTGGACCCAGGAGTACGCCTGCAGTACCAGTAGGATCATTGCCAGGTGGAACAAAGAATGGATCGACGGCATCAAAGACCTCGAACTCGACAAATTCTAGTGCCTCTACTTCCTCTTCCACTTCTACAGATGAAAAAGCTACGCTGACACCACGTCGTGTGAACTTCAAGGCGCAACTTTACTTAGCACGTCTATGGATGCTCGCGGCACTGTTTTTCGCACCTTCTGGCTGTTCTTTGTCGGGTTTTCTAGAGGTGCACAACTTCACGTGTGCCTTGGCGCTCATTTTCGGCGTGTTTTTTGTGGTGGGGACCACTATTTTCTACCAAAGATACCTATTTCATGCTAAAAAACGAATCTGGCGACTACGGAAAGAAGTCGTGCGAAGGCATATCGAAGCAGCAGTTACGAGTACCGAAGAACAAACGTCGACTGAGGTGAATGGTGATGCAATTACCACTAGTGGAAGAGGGACCGCAGGTGCATCAAGAAGAGAATCGAGAATAAAAAGGACAAATAATGACGATGTTGCTGTAGAAATAAGGACAAATGGCACAAAAAGAAGATCGCGTTCTTGTAGTATAAGTAGTAGGACTTCTTCGTCGTCTTCGTTATCAAGAAACAGAAGGTGTGTTGCTCTCAGGAGAGTAGTGGATTCGGAATCTGGTTCCAGTGCGAGTGAGGACGAAAAATCAGTGGTCGTGGCTGAAGATGGAAGATTGCAATGTAAGACTACCACAAATGGCCCTAAGAATCATGCGGATGAAGTCTTTGCAGGAGGGGAAAGGAAAAGCAGAGGTAGTACAACTGTCACAACTTCTAGAGGAACAAGGACCAGCAATTCTAGGAGTTCTACTTCTGCGCGGCGAATGGGTCAGGCCGCTTTACCTGAAGCATCACGCTCAAGTATCTCTCGAAGAACTAGCGCATTGGATTCCGACATCAACAGCAACATTGTCGTGTTGTTGTACAACACACTGACGGCACATGTGAACACCCAAGGAAATCCATCGTACTGGCAGGTTGCGCGTTGTCTTGGCTCGGTGATCTGTCTCACATTATGAGAAATCAAAATGTCTAACTGATCAGTTGTTCCACGTGAATTCGTTTCTCCATCCACCTAAATTCATTTCCATCCTTTTTTGGTCCTTTGAGTGTTGATCCATTCATGCTTTCCCTTTTCTCTTCCTCCATCCCTCCCTTCTTCTATTTTCCGATGCAACTCCATTTCCCTCCCTCTCTCCAGAATCCCACAGCTCCATATCACCCCCTTTCTTCATCTTCGGCAGTAGCAACTTTCGGGATTTTGGCTAGACGAACAGGCGTCCTCGAATTTGAAGAATCGATGCTGCGAGAGTTTTTCTCCATAGTCGAGTACGTTATCATTTTCGGCACCAATTTTTTCCTTCTCGTCTGCACCACGGAATTTCTCTACAACATGCGGATTGGAATTTTGGTGGATTGAAGTTGTGGCGTTTGGATGTTGTTCCTGGAGACCACTAGCTACTTTCTGTGAAAGAGAAATTTATTTTTTTTGATTTATTTCTTTGTTGTCTCAGTAATTTTTTTGTATCGAGCTAGCTACTTGGCGTCAGCCGCATATTATCTCTTGTTACACCTACATTTATCTCTTAGTTGCCGAATGCTACACCTACATGATTTTGTACTACGGAGAGATGTCATGATATATCCTACTTCGCTTTACCTTTACTTTCTTTCCTATTCTGTCTACATCGATCTACAAAAACACACAGCACAATATTCATCCTGTTTCTCTTTGTTGAACACACAGACACGACCTTTCCCAAAATGATGACTTTGCCTGGTGTAGTGCCAAAAAATACGAATTTACCAACGTAGGAAACAACTACAACGGTAAGTATTCAGTTCTCTCACAAGAACACTTTGTATCTTACTTACCCGCGTGGAAGTTCATTTCTCATGGGCCAATAGGCTGAAGGAGCAGGACATCGACATGCTCTTCGGGAGAGAATAACGGTGTTCCGACGGAGACGGTTTTGTTGGCTGGTGGCCTTTTTCGTTGTTCATCTTGCCATTGACCATTGACGAAGACAAAAAAAAAGGCAAGTTATGCAGACAAGATCTTTAGATTGATGCTCTTGTGCTGACGCCGAGATGCTTCGAAGATGAAAAAGCGCAGAAAGCATTCATTGATACGGTTAATGAATTCTCGGTTGCTTCTATGAAGGCTGCATTGCTTAGCTGCTGGTCGCGTGTGTGATCACAGGAATCCGACATGGTAGACCAGATTTTCTCAAGGCAAAAACCAAGCTTTCAGAGTTCTTGTTTAGCTCATGTCATTAACATTCCCGTCCTGAAAAAATTTGGCACAAGCTGATGAAAAGATAGGAGATGTTTATGGAGTCGAGAAGCATACCTTTTCACCACAATGACAATGTTTAATGTAATAGCTTCCACATAGATATAGAATATGAAGAATATTGATTGTTTGATTCCATTGTGTAGTTGTATTGAGTCGAAAAAACTGAAGACTGTGTATCGAAATGGCTTCTTGGATCGAATTTGCGGGTTTATTTCTAAGGAAGATTTCTGAATAACAATAACTAGATGAAGAGGTTGTATCTACTCGACCACGAAGAGGAAGATGCTTGAGCAAACACTACAAGTCGGATCCTGTCGTGTCAAGCAGGAAACCGATGACAATGATAATAGCGGTGAAAATGAGGAGGAACAAGACACCGAATGCGAAACCAGTGGTGGTGCGAAGAATGAACAAGATCAATATCAAAGCGACAACGATATGTGGAGGGACGTGGAGCGTGGATCATCAGTGGCGACGGCCATCGGCCAAGAGGACGTGGAGGAAATGCTAGCTCGTAACGACGCCGAGTATGATAGTCTACTTTCTAGAGCAGAAGGAGAACAGTGCGAAGATGGTCATGATTCTGGCAGCAGCAGCAGCAGCAGCAGTGTTGTAGAACAAAAGGATGGCGGTCTATCAAGTAGGGGCAAGAACTATTCCCTCCAGCTTGTTCTTCAAAATCAAAATAGCAGCGCAACAAGTAGCGTCCTGTTCCAAGAAGAATACTTGTCGCGAGTACCCCGCATGACTCTTTTCGATCGGCTTCAGTTGCTCTCTGCGTACCACGTGACGCATCGCCAGCAGGTGGTTGCTCAGATTCTCGCGAAGGAAGGAAAGAGTGCACTGGTGCCGTACGCTACGCCCAGTGGTGTCCACGAGCCCTTCGCTGGGCCAGTATCTTCCCCTCCATGCTCTTCCCCTGACGAGAAAGAGCGAGAGCCGTACAGGAAACCGCTGACACCGGAGAAGTACAGGGCTCTAGAAAACCTTTTAGATCCAAGAAGCATATGCGTTTCGTGGTTAACATGGAAGCCTCCTGAAGAGGAAACCACAAAACCGCCCTTGCCTCTCTGGGCGTTAAGCTCTTTCGCTCCAGGAACAGGGCGCGCAGGTGTACAAGCCGACGAGCCCTGGGATGTCTTCATTTATGTATATGTTGTTTGCGTCAGATAATCAACATAATTTTCACATTCATTTTTCATGACAGACTGCAGTGAGTTGTCAATATTTCGTATCCATGTCGTCCTCTTTTCGGTGTGCCACGACTAGAGTAATACGGGAAGTTTTACATCAACAAAGCGTTGGTACTCAATCTTCTCTAACGACTGAATCGGTTTATTCGCTGGAAGGGAGAGGTCACCGAGGCAGATGCACGTCGCTGGTGGGCCTTTTCAAGTGATAGCAGTTTTCGCGCACTGATGGCCGACAGACGGGCAGCGTTGCAGATCCGGAAAAAACTCGATAGCGCCAGTTTATGGCCATCATGCTTTTACAGATCAATCATCAGGACCACTGTGACACGGTTTACGTTCTTGAAAAGTAAGAGTTTCACTTTTAAATTTAGACACCAGCACTTTGGGAAAGTAAGGGAAACTCTCAGTGGTCCTGTTTGTGATGCAAGATGAATGTAGGACGATGCGAGGAGGTGAGCGAGTGAATAAGTAAGGTAGACTCTCATCCTTCTAAGTAAGGGCGAGAGCCAAGGTGACGAAAATACGGCAGAGATCGAAAACAAGAGCGGCGGAGCCACGAGCAGCACCACGTACGTGCCTACTCGAGAAGAGTCTGATGAGCTCAGCTGGAGACCGACTTTGCTTATGGAAGGGTTATCCTACGGTGGGTCTTCCGTTCTTCCTCTTTAGCAGCTACGAATTGCGTAGTTATTGTTCCTGCTACAGCTCGATACTATAATTATGATTCTTGTGGTCATTGTGATTCTCGGAAACTCTGGCACCTTCATCTCGTAAGGAGAGCTTTTTCTTTTGCTAGTCATTTAGAGACAGAGTCAGTCTCCTTTTTACCTCTTCTGCCTTTCATATGCTGCTCATATTTGATGGAGGACGGCTCCTTCTGCGGACACTATGCGGCCGCCGAGGCAGCTGCGCGGCGATCGGAATCCGAGAAGAATGGAAGTGCTGGCAACAGAAGTACAAAGAGAAAAGCGCGCGAAGGCTCCAGCGATTCTGATCTCACTAGGGCTACCGCCGACGCATCCTCGATATCCTCCTACTTCTTCGGTTACTTTCTACAATAGGGTCGGTTAGTAGTTTCTCTTCACTGGTGTATTCTAATTGAAAAAGATGCCGAGGACACCCTCGAGGATGCGAAGGCGGTAGCTCTAATGTCACTGGCTCTGCAATTATGTTGGAAAACAGGCAGAAGGACAACTCGGTTGCGTATTACAACAGCACCTACAGCGAAGGAGGAATGAGTATCAACTCTTCAGTCAACGCAGCCTACTACTACAACCACTACCGGACGGCGGACCCTCGCGGTAGAGCAAACAAGATCTATTACGGTGCGGAGTCCAGTTATTCTCTGAGTTATTCTTCGTACGCGACTTCGAGCTCTGGAGGGAGCTTTGATTACTGGCACGCAAGCGGGGGCGCGGCTGAAAACATCATTACGGCTCTCGACGATTCCTTACCACGCTCCAGAATGTAGTGATCTATGAATTTGAAGATGAATGTTGCAGTAGCCTTTCTCAAAGAATGTTTTATCTATGAAGAATGGTGAAGATGCAGAAGTAGCCTTTCTCAAATACTAGAATCTAGTTGATCGTTGCGATCCTCGGTCATATGAGGATGAATCAACACGCTGCTGCTTCTATTGCACTGAAGGAGAAATAAGTAGATTCAGCTCTAAGAAAAATGAAAGCGCGAAGCTGAGTCACTTCTACAACCAGTACGATAGCCGTTCTATCAGAGAAGGGAACGACTACAGCTACTTTTATCAGAATTTGCCGGATTGGAAGTGGGAACAGCAAGTAGAAGACCACCAAGGCCATAACTTCAACTTCTTTTCATCTGGTATGCCTACGCCGTTCAAAAGTTCTGCTTTTTTGACTTCACGCGACGGAAGTGCCGGCGCCTTATCAGAAAAAATAAAAAAAGATGGAAACAAATCATCAACGTCACTGTTAGCGTCCTCTAGTGAGCAAAGCGAGGACGAGAAGCTGCCATCAGCTCTTGAAGACGAAGAGAAGAGTGGTGGCTTACTAGAAGAAGAGGAGGAGGAAGAGGACGAGAAGGAGGGAGAAAAAAGCGGAGAACTTGGTGAAGGAATAACTACAGGATACCGCGACGGGGGGTACGATCCGTATTTGGTCACTGACGACGAGATAGACCTCCTGGCGTCGGACCTCGATCTTCAACTACCAGAAGTATTAAGGGTTTCCGAATTGCATTCCCCACTACCATCCCTAGCGCTTTTCCCAGTAAAAAAGAGGCCAGGGATGTTCTGAGGAATGTAATTCCGTAACCTCTAACAGTAGACGAGCTTTTACTGGAGAATCGCAAGAAGAATAAGAGGAAGTCCGCGAAGAGGAAAAGCAAGAAGATCATGAAAATCACGAGGACCAAGACTCCTTCTGACCAAGGAGTAACTACTAAAGGAGTAAATGAACAAGATAGTCCGCGTGAAAAGATCAGGCGTGAAGAGGCTACAGAAGATGCAGAAGATTTGCGAGAGCTGGTAGGGATTGGGGAGCTAGAAGATGAGCTCAAGAATTTATCGTGTGTACGTGAGACGAAGTGCCAGGCAGTAGAGAAAAAGAAGGCTGAGGAGTTCCTTGAGTGGGTAGGAAAAGTCAAGATTCAGCGCAAAAAAATTGGGTCTGTCTATCACCCTCGTCCTGACAACAAGCTCACCGCGGAAGAGGAGGCGATGTACAGGAAAGAGATGAGCCTCATGGAAAACGTCCAGCTTTTGGAGCATGTGGCTGGAGAATGGTGGAAACGAAAACCTCGGCCGTGGGATCCACCACTAACCGAGCACGCCGTGGTTCTCTCGGACGGAACTTTCATGCCTACGCATTTTCCCTGGACTACACTGAGGTGCGTCAAACGAGAAGCGGAAGATGCTGTTGCAAGGATGTTTGGGCTCCAAAACAGTGAGATGTTCAAGGGTACGCCTTACGCCAAGCGGCGGGAACACTTGGAAAGTTTCCGCAGGGCTCTTGAAGCAGTCCACGATGAGGCAGAAGGTGGCAAACGAGCGACAGACAATCATTAAGAGTCCTTGGCGTAGTCGTTGTCCTACTGCTCTTCATTTCTGGATGTCCGCAGCAGGAAGTACAAGACTCATAGAGACGCATGGTATAATGGTATCCAACTCACAGTAGTACCTTGAGCTAGAGGGGCAGACCCACAGCCTTTATCTCGCGATAAGCAAATCGATTATCGCGAGGCAGGACGATAAAAAGCCAACTCTAAGAATGGTGGACACTGTACCGCAACGCGGTGCGCGGAACAAGAGACTGCTTGCTGTTATGGCTAACTGTAAAGTTTTAGGGGAACCCGTAGCGGCAATGGAGTTTGTAGATGAAATCAGGCTGCTTACCCTAAGAAAGCATGGAGGTGGCGCATTCCCAGGAGTTTTAGTTTATGCTGTCCCTCTTCAAATGGAACTCAGCAGACACTTTCATTCTTGTCACTATCCTTGATTCGACTGCTTTGAACTTCCTCTAATCTCTCGAGATGTGGAACGCTTTCGAATTCCTAAAAACCAGCGGAAAGCGTTTCTGCATTTTCGGATTGCTCAGCGACCCCCGAAGGCTGCAGAAAGGCTGCTCTTCACAATTCACGAGCATGCAAGTTGTTATGGATTGTTGTTCTTTGAAACATACAAGTGCTGGCCTAAAATTCATCATTGGATGGGGATCCCTCATCTTCTTTTCCTGGCTGGAGTCGTTCTCGTTCCCTTGAGAAGAAGTCAGGACTATGTTAGAGAGTTTGCGCTAAAACAACAACGAACTCGCTTACAACCCACCCCGACAAGCCCATCAGGACCAGGCTTTCGCTGGATTAGCTTACACTGCCGCGGATAGACTGAGACAACAGACGGAAGTAGCGGTCGCAAATGTTATGGCTTGCCACACAATTTCATCCTTTTTTTGGATCCTTCTATCAGAACAATCAAGACAAGCGAGTAGGGAATTTGAAGCCCACTACATCAAGGGCTTGTTAAGATTGGTTTAGACTCTTTCGTTTGTTTCTCTTTTCGAACGGAATTTTTATACATAATCTCGAACGCTAGAAGGATACTTCAGTAAGGATGGAACATGGATAGCACTAAGAATGAGTTGCGAGCTCTAGTCACCCTTCGCATTATTGATATTTTTGGTCGGGGCTGTAGTCCGGAGGAAATGGTACTGTCATCGATTTAGCTGTGCAGTGACTTGCTCGGTCGTAAAAGACTGATTCTGAAACTGGAAAGGATGCTTTTTCACAAGTTACTACTACAGTGATCGCTCTTATTTTTACAACCTTTCAGGACCACACCAAGCGTCGGTTTCTCGGATTTCACATGGAAGACTATACTCATCCTGTCGATCCAGAAGAACAAAAATTAAGACTACTTTCGCCTTACTAGCGTAGTCGTTCTGTCAAGCTGGTTTTGCCTTGCTAGCGTAGTCGTGCTGTCAAGTTGGTTTTGCCTTACTAGCGGAGTCGTGCTGTCAAGCTCAAGTTGGTTTTGCCTTACTAGCGTAGTCGTGCTTTCAAGTGACTCGGATTGGGCCACGTATATATGTATATGTCAAGTGACTCTAAGAAAAGCGTTGGCCAAGATGTTCGACGCAGACGCCCTGTTTGAGCAAGTCCGCGAGGAGTTGATAGAGGAGCTTGAGTATCTTTTCGCGACTGGAATGTGGATACGAGAGGACGAAGACGATAGCTGGACCCTTCCATCCGAATTAAGGCCTTGAGGATCTTGAGAAGACTAGCTACCTCAGAAGAGTCTCTCGCAGAAGTTGTCTTTCTTACGCTAGAAAAGAAAAGTGAAACTGAATAGAGAGGTAATATCCGTATCAAACTTGTTAGCATTTTATATAAGTATTACCGAAGATTTTTTCTGATTGCTGCAGCTCTAATTAGATCTGCGATAAAATTTGTGAGATTGTCCCCAACTGCACAGCGCCTTGTGGATTTGCGCGTGGCTGAGGCAAAGCAGGACCCAATTTTGGATATGACAAGTCAAGAGCGCAAGGACGAGGTTTTTGGTCGCAAACTTGCTGACCACAAGGCTTTCTGGTCAGGACTCAAGCATGGGGTAGAAACATCACAGGAGCCGCCGCTCACCGAGAAGCAGTTAGATTTATGTTGAGACAACAACATTTTTACAGTTTCTTGATCATAAGCAGCTTTACATTTTACTCCCGCATGCTTTTCCGATTCATTGTGCTGTAGGTACTGTGACTGTGTAAAGTTGAACTTGAAGTTCTAACCCGGGATATCGTGAAAGTGGAAGACGAGCAGCTTGAGCAATTGTTAGAGAACTCTTCCGATAACGACACCGGTTCGGAGGGGCAAGATGATGGGTTGTCGGATATGCCGGAATCAATTTTCACATGCTTTGATACGGATAACGGCTCGTCGGCGCCGAGCGGCCTCTCTCAAATTTCTGCCGCCCTTCCTCCGATTTTTATGACTATTTTTGAGATGTTGTATCGATTTCTAAAGCTGGTCAAGACGTGGTCAGTGGACAACACGACAGATCACTTTCATAGTGTGAGTTACCTCTAAAATTTTGCGTGGTGTCCCGACACTGTCAGAAATCGACAGACAACTGAAAAAGGAGGCTGCCGGGAGTAAAGCTCAAGAAGAAGACGCCGCAAGCAAGTGCATGAAAGAGCTTACTTCGACGTATTTGAACGCCTCAGCGTTGGACAAGCTCGATGAAAAGGGGGAGGCGCAAGCCACAACTACTGCTGGTGAGGAAGACGCACAGCAAAAGGTCTCCCAAATTCTCTCATGGAAGCTGAACAAGAAAAAGAAAGAAAAGGCGCAGATTGAACAGAATCGCATCAATTTCTTGAGCAAGTTTTTTGGGTTTGAGGAAGACAAGCCACTCACTGCTAGCGCTGCTCTCATGGAGAAATTTTGCGAGCAAAAAGCTACTTCTGCAGACGCCAAGCCATCTGAAGAAGACGAGACTCGTGCGATGCGTATGATGCGAGATCTAGTGGAAGAAAAGCGAGACCATGATGTAGACAAGCCAGACCCATTGTCTGAAATGCGACGTAAGAGGCACGTCGAGCAACAAGTCGCGCGTATCAAAGAGCTGCAGCTTCAAGCTGCTTCTACTGCCTCTGAGGCAGCAGGTGATAGTAGTACCCAAGAGGCAGATCATCAGACAGACAAAGACATCAAGCGAGCCGCCACCTTGAATCACCGTGGTCTTCACCGTCAACAACATGTTGGCTTTAGTCACCATCTTGATTCGACTTCGAATTGGCGTTTCCGAAAATACTGCAGCAACTTCTTTGGAAATCATCCTGGTGTCGTTGAAAACATCAAGAGCCCAAGTTTGAATGCCGAGAATGCCGGGCCTTTTTACGAACAGAACAGGGTCGTCGATGACCACAAGGAAAATATGCCCCCGGGATGGGATGGCGACGCCGGGGTCGATAATCTGCAAGAACAGAACAAGGTGCTGATGAACGTGTTTACTTCTGTTGCGCCTCAAGCCGTTCCGGAGAAAAAGGAGTCGCAAGACTGTGTGAAAGACTTGTCCCAAGAAGAATTGCAGAAGTTATTGACTCAGCGACTCCTCGGAGTCGGACGTCGGGCTGGTGTTAACAAGATGTCTTTGTCTACTCGTCTAAAAGAAAAGTGAAACGTTTTGCTGAATCTTAGTACATGGAAGTCGATCGCGATGTTTATGAAGTTGAATATGCAGATCATAAGTTGGTGAATGATGAACACGAAGAGTCGCACTTATGTGCCATAATACATGATTGAATTCACATCCTTTTATACGCATTCAACATCAGGCCATGCAAGCAAAAAGAAGCACGGGACGAAGAAGCTTCCACAGATTCTGGAGGAGGGTGAGCACGTTAACGAGATAGAGAAAAGTCAAACGTTGAAGGTTGACGGTGATGACGAGGAAAAGAAAAGCTTAGCAATTATCAAGTCAACCGCTAAAGAAGTTGGGAAAGATAAAGAATCCCCAGCAGCACCGACAACAGCTGGAGAAACTACTTCAGTTAGGAAAGATAGAGAATCCCCAGCAGCACCGACAACAGCTGGAGAAACTACTTCTACTACGACACAAGAAGTACCAGAAGAACAACAAACTCATCATGCTGGGCACGAACAACAACGAGAAGATGCAAAACGATTAACAGTGACGTCTGTAGTCTCTTCTGATTCAGCAATTTCTGAACGAGGTACAATTTCTGAACGAGGGGAAATTTCTGAACAAGGCGGAGTTTCTGAACACGGTGGAGTTTCTGAACAAGATGTCACTTCTAATACTTCTAGTGCGCAGCGAGGAGCTCACACCCTTAGATTGTCTGACTCGGGCTCCGCAGACCAGTCGGTTACTTCAGGAACGAGGACTGGAGGTCAGCGGTCGGGTGAGTCGTCTCTAACGGCAAGTAAGCGATCAAGTGCCTCTTCGTTACAAACTGGAAGTAAGAGATCAAGCGACGCTTCCTTATCGGGAAGTAAGAGATCAAGCGACGCTTCCTTATCGGGAAGTAAGCGATTAAGCGACGCTTCCTTATCGGGAAGTAAGCGATTAAGCGACGTTTCCTTGGCGGGAAGTAAGAGATCAAGCGACGCTTCCTTATCGGGAAGTAAGAGATCAAGTGGCTCTTCCTTAGCGGCAGGTAAGCGGTCAAGCGACGTTTCTTTGGCGGGAAGTAAGAGATCAAGTGACTCTTCCTTAGCGGCAGGTAAGCGGTCAAGCGACGTTTCCTTGGCGGGAAGTAAGAGATCAAGCGACGCTTCCTTAGCGGCAGGTAAGCGATCAAGCGACGTTTCCTTGGCGGGAAGTAAGAGATCAAGTGACTCTTCCTTAGCGGCAGGTAAGAGATCAAGTGACTCTTCCTTAGCGACAAGTAAGCGAGCAGGAGACTCGTCTTTGGCGGCAAGTAAACGATCCAGTGACCAGTCTTCGTTGAAAGTTGGAAGTAAGCGAACAAGCAAGACTTCTTCAACAGGCGCACCAGGCAAGCGATCGAGCGACTCGGCCTCTGTCAGAGTTTTGACTTCATCCAACACAGTAGTTTCCGATATTGATTCACGAAGTGAAGTCTCACGCGGTACAGAAGATAGTGGAGGTGCTTCGGGCCGCGCGCCGAGATTGCCGCCAACAGTCGGGTCACGCAACGCGTGAGGTTCTAATACGTTTTTGCTTTGCTCTTGATGTAAGTGTAGCCGATAATATGCTGAGAAAAAAGAGTATGAAGCCTCGTCAATCAAATCAGTCAGGTCAATTACTTATATCAAACTCTTTCTGTAGTCATGTTGGCCTTGGGTTCAAGCTGAATGCAAGTTCAACATCAACAACAAGAACGCACGAAATATAATGAAAATCTAGAAGATCAGGAGATGAGATGATGAGTGACTATCTCTATCATGGCACCACGTTTCAAAGACTCAACTCACCCTTACGTAGGTAGAAGTACTTGCCAACTGTAATTATGGCACCATTCTTGTTCACCAAAGACTCAACACCCTTGGATTGAATCGTTCTTTGATCGATATCTCAACCTTCAGGAAAGGATTAAAGTCAGGCTCAACCTGAAGAATGATGAATTTTTCAGGTTGAGCCTGACTTTAATCCTTTCCGCATGTCCTCCGTACTTCTTATACTGATTTGTTGTAAAAGATTAAGATAGAGCCGCGGATATTACACTGCTGGAACTGTTTTGTCCCGCCATATACTCTTGATACCTAATTCTTCGCGCAAGATTGATTTTGACGATTCCGTTCTATCGGAGCAAGCATCAATTTGAAACCTCACGGCATTGTTCAGGTTCACCCTCACAAAGAGCAAGAAAGTGCACGATCAAGTAGAGAGCGGGAGAGTCAGTAGGCTTGTTTACGCATTGCTTGTGTGTGAGCCTTTGCGAGCTGAAATACATAGTCTCAAACATACGAAGGACATCAAAAAGGAAGGAATCTGTGAACAAACAGTCATGTCATGCACGCTGTGAAAAAGGAAGACAGCATTGAACTATAACCCTATCCGATTCTCTTCAATGGTGTAGAGGACTCGTATTCATTTCGTTACTGATTTTTTAAAGTTCGGTCCTTCTTCATTCCAAGATCGACGTTACTGAGTAATCTAAATTTTGTCTTCGTGAGTACAACGAAATCGAAAAGAACCTTTCAAAAGCATGTTGTATTTTCGCGAAACATCAAATTCAAAGCGCTCTTCACGGCTCCGGGTGCAGAGCAGTTGCTTCGGGGCTTCGGCGAGTACGGCGTTGTTGTGTTGGCTTCAATTTTGTACGGTCTTTCAGCGATCGCTCTTTGTCGGCGCGCGCAGTCTCTCAAAGGAGACAGGAAGCATTGTTCGGAAGGAAAGTACAACCAGAAAAAGCAGTAGTACTAGTACAAGTGCCTCGAAGTCGAAAGAGAAAGACGAGCAAAAGACGAATCATCATCATGGAGGAAATTCTCAAGGAAGTTTGTCGATGTCTATCTCTACAACCAAAAGCAGCCACATCAATAGTCGTGCTACATCATCTTCATCAAGTGTCAGTGTAAGCGGGACAAGCGGAACAACATCATCAGCAGCATTACCAGAGCAAGTGCATCTAGCATATGGACATGATGTTTTGCGATCTCGTTATGTGCAGTGGAGCGTGATGGATGAGGACGTGGAGACGCCAGCTTACGTTGTTTTCTCATCAAGCAAGACCGCAGTCGAAAATTTTGATGACAACTTACCGTTACAGCAGAAAAGTCAGAAACATAGAGATCTTCACGATGAAGAAGAAGACGTTCTTCGACAAGTACATGAGCAGGAAGACAAGTTGGTAGAACTAGAAGATTCAAGATCAGAACCAGAAGTTGCACAGGATGAACAGAAAAAGAAGTATTTGAATAGAAGTGGGAAGAACAACAAACTGCGTCGTGTCGTTGATAGAGAACCAGAACTTCATCTGCAGCAAAAAGAAACATCTACAAGTGCAAGTAGTAAGAGTAATCTGGATCTGCAAGAAAGCAATTCCAGAAACAAGAACCCCACAACATCAAGATCAACCAACTCCTCTTCAACCTCATCAACCTCCAAATCCGATATTCGTACGGCTAAAGCTGAGAGCTTTTTATTTCACGTCCCCAAAGCTGGTGCATGGGCAGACGTTTGCAAAGAGGAATGGAATTTTACCGCAGCTTGTGTCGCCAGAACTCACGCGATGCATGTGGCGAACATGACAGAGATGGAAGTACTTCTGGGCGATGAAGAAGGTACAACAGGTCAAGAACATTAAGAAAAATGCAAACACATTTACTAACTATCAAATACAAATTATGCATGAGAGAGTTTCTTGAGTCTTTTTATCGTGCTCGTTGGGGCACGAGCACCCTTCTAAAAAAACAAGAAATACTACTACAAAGTTGGGCGAGCGGGAGCGTGGTCGAAGGTGTTTGACTTTTCCCTGCGTCGTGCAGACGACCTCGCGGAGCAGTCGAGAGGCATACAAGAGCGCCCGCTTTCTTTCGTAATCTATTTATGGATTTAACATTAACTGAAACAAAAGTCGACGGTGTAGCCGTATGTCAGAGAAAACCAACCATCGAAATGAAAACTTAAATTTCGTAATGGGTCATGCCGCTACCTCCTATGTTGAGGGTCGGAGTCAGAAGTGAGGCCTCCTGGACCCTCTACTTCATTTCTACCACTTCATCTCGTGGGGATATGGGCGATTACAACGCTCCATCGAGGCCGGAGATTCAGCGTAGGGTGTCGGAGCTCGATGCGGTTATCCATGTAGGAGACTTCGCGTACGATCTAGACAGCGACGACGGAAAGAATGGAGACGCGTTCATTTATGGCACAAAGTCTTGAAGCAAGACCCATCTCCAGGTAATCAATCTCCTGATTCACAAAACAAAGGCTTGATAGAGCACGGAGTACCTACTTGAATGCATAGTTCGAAGTTGTACCTGTATCTATGTGTAGCTGCTGCTGGGACGAGAACTCGAAGTTGACGGTTGTTTCGAGCTTGAATTTGATCTAACTTCCGCGCGACATGGAGCCCATCGTTGCGCACGTGCCTTACATGACGCTTGCTGGGAATCATGAGATCTCGCACAATTTCTCCCACTATGTGAACCGTTTTCAGAACATGCCTAGTAACGATGCGAACGCGGCGATTGTGAGTTTTCCTCAATTGGGTGGACCTCGGAGACAAAATTTGTGGCACTCGTTCGTCGTGGGGCCGGTTAATTATGAAAGAGTGCGAATTGTGCTTGGTGATGCTATTGTATAATTTGAGCCTTGCATACTTGTTCCATTGGAGTAAGAGTAACATCATCGAGATTACATTTATTTAATTGAATTCTAACCCCTACATCTGATTATGTCAATGCCCAGATCCCGAATACAAACGTAAGAACAAAGTAACTAGATCACCAGGAGGATAGTGATGAAGATCATGGTCACCACTAGGATAATGATCAAGATCATAATCACCATTAGGATCATGATCATCAACAACGAACAACACAACGAACAAACCACTAGCACCATTAGGATCATGATCACACTACTAGGCTGACTAACTTACTAAACTAAACAACTACCATGACCACACAAGAAGACAACAACAACAAGGAGCAAAAACCACACTCATGATACTCATACTGATATCAGTGACCGGTCATTTGGGCTATTGCATAAAACAAAGACAATCACGCTACTGCCGTGATATAAGAACGATTGTGTGTCAAGGGTGCCACTGTGTTCGCTACTTCATAAATGGTAGCGGAGAGTAACTAGCTTAATCGCTTTGCATTCTTAGAAAATTTTTAAGTAACTTTTGCCAGTTGCTATAAAAGATTTTTTTTCAGACGCAAATAACATCCGTTAACGGAGCAACTTTAGTTGATTTGTTTTTCTTTTCTGAAATAGCATGGTGATCCGCCTAGAGCCCGACTACGATTAGAAACGCAAAAATTTCCCATCTCGGAAGCCACGGACATTCTGTCGCGTGGATTCCACTCGGGTGAAATTTTCGCACCCCGACAGCCCGCTTGGAGATTTTTTTTTCTCGCAAGCACCCGCTCGAGGAGCAAACCAAAACTGTTAGGTAGATAAGATTCTCACGCAAAAGTTTTCACTGTCCTGTAGGTCTTTTGTCTCGGAGATTAAGAGTCATTGTCAGGCAAGCAAGTCTTACCGACATCGGCTGCTTCTCACGGACATCAGCCGACGGAGAGGAAATCCATCAGCGGAGATCCAATCCACCAACAACCCAGGTTTGAGCTCCAGCCCCGAGCAGAACAACGGTGGGAACAAGGGAGAAGGAACCGCCACAAGGATAAAGTCTACAGCTCTTCACCAGGTAGAGACAGTTGCGAAGATTGCCATTGTCAGGAGTTAAAATCTCCGACAGCAAGGCCTTTCTTACGCACTACACCAGGGAAGTTCAAAAAGACAGGAACCCCTCCCCCAGCAAGCACACCCCCCCCCGGACGCCAAGATGTCGAAGAAGATCGACCCTTGGCTCCCCGGAGTCTCTTGGCGAGACTACAGACGCGACATTCTTCTCTTCGTTGAGTCAACCGAACTCGCCGAGGACAAGATATGCGCTACAGTCATCACCAAGGGCTTCAAGCCGAACTACGAAAAGTGGTATCGTGCCGCGCTCCAGATGCCAGCGCACTGGCGTACACAAAAACAAGACCCGGCCTACGACAGCGCTGACCCAGCAGAGAGGACCGCAATACGGGACTTCAAACCCGTGCAGCGCCTCATCCTCTGGATGGATCGCCAAACAGAGTATTCGGATCCTATTGAGGCCGCAATGCGGTTTATCAGTATCTTCCGATATCAGAGAACGGCCGGACAGGACATCACGGCTTGGCTACACAACGTTGCCGAGCGCGTGAACGAGGTAAAAAGAGAGGGAACTTTTGCCGCGCATATGACGGACGCCGTCTTGGTCCTCTTGCTATACTGCAACGCAGGACTAACAACGCTACAGCGCCAGGGTATTCGCCAAAACTTCGATTTGGCGAAAGCAGGACAGACAGGGCACAACTCCGAAGTGATGACCCAACTACTAAAGCGCGTAGCAGCCGATGACGCGTCGGCAAAAGAACACGGCCACGCCGTTGACGAGCAGGGAGATGCTGTCATGGCTTACAACAACAAGTTTCAAGGCCGCAAGCCTTGGACGCCCAAGCGCGGAGTACCACAAAGGCAGCGAGACGGAGGTGGCAGAGCCTACGTCGCCGGAGAAGGCCCAGAGCAGGAGCTCACAGAGCACGACGACGAGGACGAAGACCACGACGGGGAAGAACAGTCACCGGGGGCGCACACCGAAGAAGAGGGTGACGAAGAAGAAGACGACGACGAGGTAGCAGCCTACCTGGCAAGCAACCAGTGCCGCCGCTGCGGGAAGGCGGGACACTGGGAAAAGGATTGCCGACAGCCCAAGAAGTGGGGCGGCAATAAAAACAGCAGACCAGGTGGCAACAACAACGGCAGCCAGGGCTACCGTCGTCAAGGAGGTTACAACAGTAACAAAACAGGCAACAGCGGCAACTACGGTGGCCGCAAGCCCAACGGGGGAGGAAGACAAAACAAAACCTACACAGCAAACTTATCGCACCAGATCAGTTTGCTAGCAAAGGTAGAACCAGTCGAAGCAGCAATCGACACCGGGTGCGGCGTAAGCTGCGTGCCCGAACCAAGGTTCAACGACTTTCACAACATGTACCCTGAGCGTGTTTTGAAAGTTGAAGAGGAAGCTGCAGGGGGCAGCATTTCGTTTGGAAACGGCGACGGATGTCCAGTAACGAAGCGAGCGACGGTGAATATTGAAGGTTTCGGTCCGCGAATCTTCCGTATTTTCAGCCCGCTCAAAGGACTAACGCCGAACCAAAGAGCAGACATGCAGCAACGCATGTCAAGAGTGCCATTCTTATTAGGCAATGATAGTCTTGGAAGTGAGGCTATTATTGACTACGGGAAGAACACTCTGAAAGTCGGAAAGAAGAGTTTGAGTTTTCGCCGCCGCGGAGGACTTATCATGTTCAACATGGTAGGCAACACACAAGCAAACTTCGCATATGATATCTCCGGAAATCTATGCTCGTTTGCAAAGTACACAGCCGCTACGAACGCAAGCCAGGGAGCGGCTTGGGCAGCCAGATTTAAGATTGCCAAGATCTTAATGTGGATCATGTTCGTGCTGCTTATGCTAGCAGGTGACGTGGAAGCCCAACCAGGACCAGTGACTGCACATCACTGGGCAGACGAGCACGTGTGTTGGCGCGGCGAGTGGCAACACTCGGACCTAGAAGAGCTGTGCAAAGATGCAGCGAGTGTAACGAAGCTACACAAACAGTTGTGGCATTACAAGTCCGACCAAGCGTGTTCTCACTTCAAGCCCCTACTTGAAGATGATGACACACTTGCGCGAAAGTTCCGACAGGCTTGGGACTTAGCAGTTGACAGATGTACCAACTGCAACAACCAAAAACGTTCCTTGCCGCATCCGAAAACGGGAATCATCGCAAGGAATGTCAACCAGGTGGTGGGAGCAGACGTCTTTTACTTCACAGTAAAAGGCTTACAGCGAGCAATCCTAATTCTGATAGACTATCTCTCACGGTTCACGATGTTTTACGCCCACGAAAACGGCGGAGACATCAACGCGGAAGACACGCTTCACGCGCTCCATGAGTGGATGTTTGTCTTCGGAAGATTGCCCATGTATCTCCTCACCGGACACGACAAGCCGTTGGTAAACGAGACAGTTCGCGAGTTCTTAGCCACAGGACCTCACCCGTGTACCCCATTGACAAGTGCTGACTACGAGCACGCGACAACGGGACTCACCGAGAAACATATCCATGTGAGCAAGATCATCGGTGAACTTGTGCAGAAAGAGATCCCGCTAGAACAGATGTCCAGCTTACGCGTTCGCGATGTTCTATTGGCGATCGGGTTAGCGAAGAACAGTCTGGTAGGCACACACGGCTTCTCGGCACAGCAGGCGGCCCTAGCGACCACTCACTTCGTGGGTGATCCCTTACAAGCCGCAAGTTCGACGTTAGGTGCGTACGGAGACCCATCTGAGCTGCCACGTAAGTTAGCAGTTCAGAGAATCTCGCTACAGCATTTGGCAGCACAGGCAGCAGCGAAGGTTCACGCGAGTGAACAACTACAGCAGCTGCTAAATATGCGTCTACGGTGTTCAGATACAGCAGTCTACTCACCAGGTGACCTTGTCGAGGTACAGCCAGCGAAACCGCAAAAATTTGACTTCGGTCAGACTAGGTGGTTCCGCGCAAAGATCATCGACACAGGAGATCCAGGGCAAACAGGTGAATCTTCGCGCATGGTGACAGTTAAGTATCACGGGTCAGACAAAATTGACACTGTGCATCGAAAACGAATTCGCCCAGCGCCATTAGACGTGCAGCAGATCTTTCTCCCTAGAGGACACGAAACACCGAGTAACGCAAACGAAGAAGAAGCCGGAGAGCCCGAGGAAGCCGACCAACGAGTACCGCTGACATTGTCCAGCATGGACATGAACAGAACGGAGGTTGGTAAAACGGTCAACAGGTTCGCAAGACAGTTTCGACTACTTTGCGATACCCCAGGCAGACCTGTAGAGGTCGACGCAGGCTTTCTCTCAGCAGATCTCGAAGCGAAAGTAGCGCGCGTGATCATCGCGAAAGACGTTCACGACGCACTGCCTTCTATCGACGACTGCCGGCCTGATGGTGATGAGATTTTTCAGGTGACAGCCTTCGGGTATACACGTTGCCGAAATGCAGTCTCAATCCCCTTCAGCAGTGAAGAGTTAGAAGCAGGCAAAAAGTTTGAATTAGTTGTAATCATCTACTTCAAACAGGGGAACCTACCGGCAGAAAACCCGCTACAGCCGCCTCAGGTTGAAGCGAGAGCACCACGCGAAGCCGACGACGAGAGCTCGGAGCCTCTAGAAGACGAAGACGCAGTCTTAAAGGACTTGAACAAGAGAAACTTTAAGGCCGTACCACCCGCAAAGCAGCGCCGTGATCAAGTAGGATCTTTAACGGTGCGGGAACTGCGGTGGCTACTCAAGAAGTACCGCCTACCCACGAAAAGCACATCTGCAGGGATGCGCGAAAGCCTAAGGGTGTACTACGACGAACACCCAGAGAACGAAGGTGAACCAGAAGCAGACCAGAGTGACCCCGCCGAAAACGAAAACGACGATGCCCAGCCCATGGACATCGACGAGGGAGCCGCACTAGCAGCAATCTCCGACGTTGTTGAAGTGTTAGGACACAGCCCAGAGGCAGACCTCGACGAAGTAGGAGCCGAATTCGAAAAGGCGTACCTGGTCAGAAGGGAGCTCACGGTAGCAGCCGCGAAGAAGCATCCTCACTACGACACAGCAACACAGAGTGAATTAACGTCCATCATGAAGAATGGAGTTTTCACCATCGTAGATCGGAAGGAAATCAAATCGAAGGATATTGTTGTCCAATCGCGATGGGTATTCACCGAGAAGATAACTGCTGGTCAGATGTCGCTCAAAGCGCGACTAGTTTGCAAAGGGTTCACCGAAGAAGGCCTAAGTAAGTTACAGTGTGAGGCACCAACAGCGAAGAAATGGTCTACTAAGGTCGTTTTCAGCTTATCGCAGGTTTGGGGAACTCCACTATGTTCGTTGGATGTCAAGACTGCATACTTGCAATCTGACACACCTGAAGGGAAACAGGACCAACACGACATATTTGTAGAGCCTCCGAAGACCGCGAACCCCCTTCGCCCACACGAAATCTTCAAAATGGCCAAGCGCAAACACCTGTACGGCATGAAGAGAGCCGGAAGAAAGTGGTGGGAGACATTGGATGCACATCTTCGAGAACAGGGATGGACTCGAGACGAGATTGATCCATGTTTCTATACCAAGCGCGATGGTGATGCATTGCTGGCATTACATGTCGACGACATGGTCTTTACCGGTACGGACGAACTCTGCGACGAGTTACGGACCATGTCAGGCAAGTTCGAAGTCGGGACATTCGACGGAATTCCAGGCCCCAGGGGAAACTTAAAAGGAAAAGCTAAAGAGAGCAGCTCTAAGTTTCTAGGCTCGGTAGTATCAAGAGTCAAGGGCAGACTGTTTGTTTCACAAGCAGCATACCACGAAAAGTTTTCCGAGATTGCCCTTCCCGGACTTTACGAGGAGAAGGACATATTGCCGCGAGCTTTGCAATCCGCAGCACGGTCTTCACTAGGACAGCTGTTGTGGCTCGCAATTTTCACCCGACCTGATATAATCTTTGATTGTATCGAGGCCGCAACGGTGATTACGACCTACTCCGGCATTGTGATGCTAAACAAAGTAGTAAAGTATCTACGCTACACCGGCCCAATTCCGATCGTATATTTGCCTTTCCACTCGAGTGAAATTCTCAATATAATTTTGATCTTCGACGCGAGCTTGGGGAGCAAGTCTGGCGATGTACGACCGCGAATGGCATCGCTGATTGGATTCTCGCCCGCTATGCGAGGAGATGACCCATTTGCGATCGAAAGTGCTGAATGGTTTCCATACCACATAATTCACTACTTCAGTCGCATCCAGCGTCGTGCCACGACAAACAGTCTCTCAGGAGAATCTTTCGCAGCGCATGAAGGATTGGACCTTATGGGCGCAATCCGCATGCAGGTAGCACGGCTTGCATCTACGAAGATTTGTTGCCATGTGATCTCAGACTGTGAAACGCTTCTGCGGTCAACTTCGTCTGTTAATCCACAGATCACAGAGCTAATGTTCCTTCCGATGATCAAGAAGCTTCAAGAGCAGATCAGTACTCTGGAGGCACGCAAATACCATATTCCAGGCGTATTGAATCCGACAGACGCGATGACGAAACCGCGAAAGAGGGCAGCTAGATCGCTACAGCAGCTGCTAGACATCATGAAGTCAGGAAAGTTGCGACCGCAAGCTTTACAGCTTCGGCGCATCGAAGATCGCGCTTAGGCGTGATCACAAAGGAGCATAAAGCATTGCTCTAGAAGGGAGAGGACGACACAGAGACAATTTCATGTCATCTGGATCATCCTCATTGTTTTGATTTTTTTGGACATTTTTGACCTTTGAAACAAATGACACGAACAGAGACAACCCGCCTTATGTCATCTGTTTTGTCTTTTGATTTTGCAAGAGGCAAACTGTTTTTGACCCCCCCCCCGGGAAAACGCGGCATCACCATGCAAAGTGAAAAACTTAGCCATAGTTATATATATTTTTTAGTTTCGCATACTATAAATATATAATTCCTTTTCTAGTAGCTATCAAGATGGCGACCCGTGGTAGAGTCTACACTGTGCCTGAGCGAGCACTTCAGCGAGCTTTCGAACGCGGTTTGCAAATGACTGGCGTACGAAATGAAGTGGAGTACCAGCGATACGTCCGAGCCTTAGCGTTGGGGCGAATCTTACACCGGACCAGTGAAGTACGCACCCGCTGGGAGGAAGTGTTGGAAACCAGTGCTGCGCACTACAAAGCACTCATTCCCAACATTCAGCTACCTGAAGACAAAGAGAATTTATGGTGTCTTGCATTCATGGGACCAGGAGGCCGCCAAACCCAAGCACAGCTACGCCAGGTGGGCACGACACCAAAACGCCGGCACCGCCGCAGCAAAAAGGTGACACTTGTACCGAACAAGAAGAAAGCGATACAAGTACAACCTGGAGACGACAACGAAGACAGCAGCTCCAGTGAGTCGTCTACAAGTTCCTCCTCTGATTCTTCTGAGGATGAACCACCAAAGAAAAAGCAGCAGAGGACAAGCGCGAAAAAGGAGACGAAGACCCGAACTGACAACGACCTACTGTCAAGTTCGGAAGAGTAGGAGCTTTTTGAAGAAAGTAAAGAAGGGGAAAGTAGAAGAAAGTAAAAGTGAAAGAACGTAGAACTAAAAGAAAGTAAAGAAGGTTTAAGTAAAGAAAGTTAAAACAAAAGAACGTAGAGCAAAACTTGTTTAAAAGAAAAGAGCTAGCACCAGTTTGCATTCGGATTAAAAGGCATATCTCATCTACCATACGTAAGCCGCATGTAGATTCGATTTTTTTTTCCTTTTTTTTTCTTGGGTTGCTGGGATGTCAATGCCCAGATCCCGAATACAAACGTAAGAACAAAGTAACTAGATCACCAGGAGGATAGTGATGAAGATCATGGTCACCACTAGGATAATGATCAAGATCATAATCACCATTAGGATCATGATCATCAACAACGAACAACACAACGATCAAACCACTAGCACCATTAGGATCATGATCACACTACTAGGCTGACTAACTTACTAAACTAAACAACTACCATGACCACACAAGAAGACAACAACAACAAGGAGCAAAAACCACACTCATGATACTCATACTGATATCAGTGACCGGTCATTTGGGCTATTGCATAAAACAAAGACAATCACGCTAATGCCGTGATATAAGAACGATTGTGTGTCAAGGGTGCCACTGTGTTCGCTACTTCATAAAGATTATAATGATCATGGTATCCTCTAACCCCTGTTCCTTCTCGTCTCCAGCATGATCAGATCAGATGATGTAGCCTCTACGTAGAGCAGATTAGATGGATGACGTATCGCTACGTAGAGGATATCCCGCTCTCTATCATGGATGATGTAACCAGCATTTTCTAATCCCTGTTCCTTCTCTTCTCCACCGAGTTCCACTTACCGAAGTTCGCTGAGCGTTTTCGAGACTTGCGGCATCAGCAGTGGTCCTTTCTGGAGCGTGAAATAGCTTCAACGAATCGCACAAAGACACCATGGCTGATTGCGTGCTCTCATCATCCGGTTTACTGTTCGACCAACAACAGCGATTGCCATGAAGAGACGCAGCCGTTGAGGGTTTTATGGTGGTCGTGGATGGTAAATTATTTTCGTCTTTCTTTACATGACTACCCTGCCCCCCTGTTTTTTCTGACAGTACTCCGATTGAGTCCGGCGCTGCGCTCAGGTTTAATACTAACACCGCAGGTGTAATATAATTGATTTCTCTCATCTCAAGCACTGTTCTTTCCGCTTCAAAGCTTATTATATTAGGTTGTCAATACCGATCATGAGGAGTTTAAGGGGAATGTCAAAAAAACGAATATGAGAAAACTGCTGTCACATTTTTGTTGAGTCGCTACTTGGTACTATGTGCTCTGATAAGAGTATCTAACACTCGGGGTGGAACCCGATGGAGAACCGCAGAAGAGTGTGGCAGAGTTGCTCGATCGTGGAGGCGTAGACTTGTATTTCAATGGTCACGTTCACAACTATGAGCGGATGTTCGATGTCGCGCCCAAGGAGCATCCGACGGATGCGTGGAGAGGTTATGGCTTGTCGTGGTAAGTAATTCTTGGCGAAGATCATGCAACAGTGTGCACTTGGATCTAGCTCTAAAATCCCGGAGAAAGTACACAACGCACTGTGGATCCTCCAGCTACTACGTTTATCGTGGCGGGAGCGGCCGGGGGGATTGAAATGGGCCAGCCATTTGATGAGGACATGCGTCACCCGAGGACTGCGTTTCGCAAGGACGCGTTTAGCTGGGGAATGCTCAAGATCTACAATCGGAGTCATGTTTATGCTTGTTTGGGTTTATAATTCTGAGTGAGTCTAAGTATCGTCGTAAATGCCACCGACATGGACCTGTTCCTTCCCCAAGTACCTTTAACTCTGAGTAAGTATCGTCGTAAATGCCACCGACATGGACCTGCTCCTTCCCCAAGTACCTTTAACTCTGAGTAAGTATCGTCGTAAATGCCACCGACATGGACCTGCTCCTTCCCCAAGTACCTTCCCACCCCCCGTGGACCTACCTCTTTCCCTCCTCTTTTCTTCATTCCCCAAAGTGGCAGCAGTTCGCGAACCTTGCTCCCTCGACAGACAACATTACCTTGTCTTCGACCGGGGGAGGCGGTCAGGATGAGGAGACCATGGGAGTCAAGCCTCTCGATGAGTTTTGGCTGGTTCAGAATCATCACGTTGCCCCTTTCGCGCAGCATCCGAACAGAGGCAAAGGGCTGGTTTTGGAACAGGTTGCAGGAAAGAAGACTTTGACAACTACACTTGTTGTAGAGGCAGAAAGGCGAGGGACTAGTACAACAGCGCTCGTGGAGCGAGAAGACAGACGCCGAAAAAGCGAAGGTAGAGGAATAGCTTCTTCCACGGCAGGTGATCAGAATCATGGAACCAGAAGCACCAGAAAGGCTCTAGTTCTTCTCTCAGAAAGCGCAACCCTCACAGCTTTGGGAGGCTGGCAAGCGACCAAAAGATTGGCTGCAGGCGAGCAGCTGTCGGGGTTTCTCGATGATGAATAGACATTATAACGAAAAACTAGAGGTCTACTTCCTACTACTTTTTATACGCTGGCATCCTTCAGAACGAGGTCAAAACGAGAATATCTGCAATTTTGGATGGCCACTCACTGTCACTTACGATTATATTCTTCCCTACTACGTCGACATTCGACAACATCGATCTGACCACTTTGTTCTTGCATCTTCTACCTCGCAGGGATCTGTTCATCAAATTTTTACGTCGAGTAAAAAGTCGATAGCTGTAGAGCGACGCTGCTGACGAGGACAGTGTCAGTGAACGTACTAAGCACCCGCATTGGAGAGCTGTGAGGCAACAAACGAGGCGAGGTGGCAAGCAAAAAAAGGATTTTTCTGTACGTAGGAAGGTCAGAATCTGCAGTGAACAGGACTCGGTCTCGTGTGATATCATTACGAGGTGTCAACACTGTTGCAGGTATCCACAAGTCGTTGTTCTGTTATGATCAGAAGAACACGTTGATGATGAACAAGACGAAACAATCGGTGAGTAGTCTGTTGTACTCGTCTGACGAAGCTACAGATACTCAACGTACTTATGATTACGTTCTTCACGATGAAGTGGCAATGGAATGCTCATGGTCCAACGCTCGTTACGTAATAAGTAGTTTTTCTTTCAACAAATTCATGTTGAGTGTACAAGTGCTGGTGCTGCATATGATCAGATGTAATTGCATGATTTGCATGTGTGCTACAGAACGGTGGTTCATTTTTTACCATGAGTCACATTTCATCAGTTCTTCCACAACTTCGCTTTGCTTTCAACCACGCAAAACCCTAACCATCTCTCTATTCATCGGCGACATTCTGTGCAAAATGAGAAAACCTAGGAACAAAACTACTGCTAGGGCTGCCGTCACGCGTTCGATCGGGGCTAGGATTACATCCAGTACCAGAAAACATTGCAGATACACGTTGCCGACAAGGAAGACACTGCAAAATGCAAGATCGCAAAGAAGAACGGCCAGAGTCGCGGTATCGATCCAGTAAGTCGCTTTCGTTCTGGTAGAGGTGCTGGACATGGACGAGCTTGATGAAGGTGGAGCATCCAACATCGAGTGCTGCTGGTGTACATGCGATGGATCTTCTTCCGGTTGGCCACTACTAGAAGAGCCGATCTCTTCCACGAGTCCTCTCAGCGTATACGACAACACGACCACTTCGATCAAATTGACCCAAGCCTGGCCAAGAACGCCAATGAAATAGATGCCGCTTTGTTGCATGGCCCAAAAGCGTGCTTGTTTTTCCGTCTCGGACCAATCGCCGAAAAAATGCTGCCTCTTGTCGAGGCCAAGGTAAAACGATTCGTTTACGGAATCGGAATCTTGGCGTTCTGGATTTGGTGGCGGCATCGCGACCACTGTCTCGTCCAACAGAAACTCCCGTACTGGCCCATCCAGACCGCACCACACCAGTAAGAACGTGCTAGCATGCCGGAGCCACATGAGTACTCTGTGGATTCCAGGATCGCATATGAACAGCGTGCCACAAAAGATGAGACCTCGATGAAGTCGCAGGAGTGCAGTTCTTCTTTGGACATGGTATGTTGAAGTTCTGGGGATTACACCTGTGTCTCCCTCTTGGGCCTGTCGCTCTAACCTCATCTGTCGCGCACAGAGAATTCCAAAAAATGGGTTTAGAGCGGGATCAGAATGCTATTGGTGTTGTGCAGCGAAGGAGTGAGTAATCCACATTGATGATGAAGGAATCAATACACTGATTTCGAATTCGAAGAGCTCTTTCACCTTTCTATTCTGTGACGGAAGACGGCGGTGGAAACACATTATTCGGAGCCTTAACAACTGTCCCGATCCAAGCACGGATATGAAAAACGTGTACCCCCAGAAACCGCCCTTGATGACTATGACAAAGACCCCGATTGTCATCACGGTCCACGCGAAAAGGGCACTGGCACGATGAATCCGACGGAACCGTGGCAGACCACCAGTACAAATCGTTATCGTAACTGCTGCACACCACGGCACCATCAAAAGAATGTGCAACCAGAAAATAAGGAACGGGTTTGTGGCGGAATCGAATAACGATTTTACAGACTGCTCTTCGGTCGGGGTCGAGGAGGAAGTAGCGTTCCGAGCGCCTTGTCTAGTCAACGAATCTTGGCCTTCATCTACTTTTCTTGGACCAAACAGTAGCGACGATATCAATTTATCTCCCACCACATCCGGCAACCAGGTCAAGTCCAAATGTCCGACAATGGGAGGCGCGCCATGTGGACAGTTGCAATCCGCTTCCCACACGATTCCGCGCGTTTTGGCGTCCACGAGCTCGCGATAGAGGCCTGGTGAGAACGCTAGAACCGTCACGAAATTTAAGGTCAGAAGCCATCGCCGCGTTGTGTCGGGTCCGGTGTTTAGGGAAGTTCCTTGTTCTTTTGATACGTTGCTGCTCTGCCTGTCTTCTGGAGCGAGTAAAGGAGTCGCGTTGCTGTTCGTGGTGCCGGACATTCTTTCTATGTAAATGTACTTCTAGTTCAGCTAACAAAATCAAACCGTGTTGGCTTTACCTGCTCTTTATCTTTCATTATATGTTTTTCGTCATTTTCAGTGATTATCACAAAGACACTTGAAAGCTTTGAAGTACTACACGCGTCAGAACCGCATGCGGACCTGTAGTACAACGGACGATTTTTATGGAAGCATGTTTTTTCCAATGCGTGTCTCCTCGACAGCGTCTGCACCTCAGTTTCTTGGCATGTTGTATTTTTAGAAATTCAGATTGGTGTCCGTCTTTTTTGGAAATAGGATGTGTAGGACAGTATGTGAGACTCATGCCATCATGTCATGGTAGTACTTTTCAAGTCGCCTATTCAATTCCTTGCTCAGTTTCGATTGCGACTTCGCAGTCCGTCGCTGCCCTTTTTCATCCCTTTCCTCGCCCTCGCATATCTTCTACGAACTGGCGCAGCTGATTGAGAGCATACGTCAGTGTTGCGTCATCTGACGCAGAGTAGCAGAGCCGCATCCACGACGTAGAGGCCGCCTCGCTGTCCTCGCTCTTGTCGCTCCAGAACTCGTTACCCGGAGTGAGCATGACACAGTAGTCCTCCAGCAATACGCGGAAGAGTGGTATGAAGCAAGAGGGCGGGTTGTTCTGCAACTAGAAATAGAGGTGGCACAGGGAGGGCGAGGGGACCTCGTAAACAAGGAATAAGTATTTGTGTTGATACAAAAAAGCGTAGATGAGTGGACTGATTATGATTTGATAGAAAGCGAGTTCTTGTAGATGGAGATGCACTTATCTGATACTCAATAGACCGGAAGGTCGCAGATCATGATGTACTGGCGTCTTCATAAGCTCTCCCGCAGGTATGCCGAACTCAGCGAAGTCGGCCCAGACGAAGACAGCAGCACCGGGAGGCACAAAAGGGATACGCATTTCGGTCAGGGCGTCCGTCACGCGTTTTGCAGTGCTCTGGAGTGTGTGTCTGGCACTAGCGAGATGCGCGGAAAGCCAAGCGTCGTCAGAGGAAATGAATGTGTTGTTTTGAGTGTCGTCCTCGATGAGTGCTGGGGTTTGGGACTCTTCATCTAATCTTGATCTTCTCAAAAATGCGGATTTTGGTTATGTTGTTGTTCCTAATGCTAAGTGATGCATGACCATAATCATGCTGATATAAGTGACTGAGTACAACGAGTTCGAGTACATGTACATATGTATGTAATGTCGCATAACCAATAGCTCTTGAAAGACTTGCTCCGCTACACCTGAGATCGAGTTTACAATGTTCACTTCTTGGAAAGCGGATAGCAATTTTTTGTTTTCGCAATACAGAACTGCCATTCTTGCTCCCGAACTCGCAAAGTCTTTGGAAAGGCCCCAGAACGTCGCGTCTGCGTACTTGGCAAGAGAAAAGTGTCTACGAAGCACCACAGTTGCTTGTTGGTCGAAGACGCTAGACGCATAGATTTCGTCGGACAAGATCAAGATTTGGTTCCTGCGACACCACTGAACGAGACGAAGAAGTTCCGCTTGCGTCCAGACAGTCCCAGTGGGATTGTCTGGTGAGGAGAGTAAAAAAGCGCGAACTTTGAGACCGTCTTTCTGGCTTTGCGCTAGATGCTTGTTGAGGGTCTCGTCACTCGGGAGTGAGCAGGAGACGTGGAGCGCAGTACTAGGGTCTCCGGCGTTGGGAATGAAATATGAATGTAGAATTGTTGAAGTTGACGTAATGTGTGATTCCGCGTAGCTTTTAGCTACGAACTAAAGAAAACTGTCTCAACAACATTGTCCCGCCCTTATTTCTACTTATTTGTTCCTCCATGCTTATAGATACATTTCGACCTCATCATACCATTCCCAACCCCTTTCCGCCTTTCAAAAACCAGCGGAACTCCGACAACTTTTGCTCTGGCTAAGCCTGCCGCATCCATGGAGAAGCCAGGATAACGCGGCTCCGCAAACATAATCGCGTCACCACTCTCTGGCTCGCACAATATGCGCGTCATTGTAACCAGCAAGCTCGTACAGCCATTCACCAAACACAGTTGTGAGGGGTCTATCCGCGTTGTTCCTGCTTCGTCACTGGTAGAAGCTGTAGCAGTGCTCCCACCAAAAAACACATGTTTTTCCAAAACATGTGCGAAAATACGTCTTGTTGCTTCAGTACCAGAGAAATCGTGGTAATGCAACATCTCATGAGGGAAGTCGGTTAGTGCCGTACATCGTGCCAACCTTTCCGCGATGGGCTGTGCCATCCGCTTGTTCTCAGCAACGCAGAGATTCGCCTTCCCCGTAGGATTTTTGTCTGGATGGTACTGATTTCCGAGAGTAGAGATGAACAAAGGTAAATAGTCCGGTCGAAACTTGTGAAACTCAGACGCATGTTTGGCGATATAGGTGGATGTGGATGGATCTACTTCGGAATCATTCTTGGAGTCGTCCTTTCCTTGAGAAGAGTCGTCGCTGGCATTATTTGAGAAACGCTTCCATTGCTCTGCGTACGTCGGAACGACGGGACCACCTGGCTCCCCCTCGCACGTGGCCATGTTCTGTTGGTTTTTCTTACTTTATCTATCACACTACGCGGCACACACAGTTAGCGTTGGTGTTTGATGTTCAACTAGTCGCTTTCGCTTGAAAAGTTCAACTTGCTTCGAGTCTCCTTCTCTCTCTGCATGCAGCGCATTTAGTCGTAAAATTACGGCTTTTCGCTCTGCCGTTGGTTCCCCAAGAAAAGTTGAATATCTATCTGTTTTTCCATGTGGCTCCAAGTTTCGCTCTATCTGTTATTTCCCTCTTCCACTCGCCAATGTGCATGTAGTTGCAACTTTCTTCTACTTGCTCGCTCTCGTGCAACCGCTCGCACCTAAAGCCCTTGCAATGTGAATCTCTCCTGACATAATGGTGCCAAAGAAGACGCAAAGATCCTGCCATTCTTGTAGATGTTGAAAGACAAAAACAAAACTTCTGGTTCTGACTGTTTGTTCTCTGCAGCGAAGATCAATCTCACAGCGAAGAATTCGCAAAAGTTGTCCATCAGATAGATCATGCCCGTCCCGATCGTGTTGACTCCAGTCACCCCATGGCCGTCTGACAACTATCCTCACCCATGATTTCAACATCTGACGAAAAATTCATGACATCGACGTGGTTCATTACGTCGACATTTGGCCTTAGAGTAGTATGGCCTTGACTAGCGGCCACAGCCTGACCGAGCGCAGGTCCCTGAGGACTCATGTGAGCTGCAAGCGAGTTGATGCCCATGCTCGTATTATGCTGGCTGAGATCGAGAGGGCCAGAGGACTGCAGTATCGAATTCAAGTCGCTCGGCACCCGGAAAAGCTCTCTTGACTGGTGTTGACCCTGGTGATGTTAGACCCACACCCATGATGATCTTTTTGATGGTAGTCAGGCTGTGGCTCATTCACGTCTTCAACTCAGTGTGTTCCTCTTCCTCGTACTTTTCGGTCATGAGACTTTCCCTTCAAGTTTCATCTACAGCAAGGTGGTAAACTGACAAATGAAGTGTTCTGTTGTGCCAAAAACCAAAGCCTTAACCTTTCCCTCCAATCGCCTGTCGCCGTTCATTTTGCAGCTCCGCTGCCGCTTCCTGTATCTGTACTGCAATCCGCTGCATTCTTTCTCGCGTCTCCTCAGGCCTCAAATACGTGCACGCAAAAAAACACGACGCCAGTTGCAAGGAGACAAACGGAATCGATAGATACCCAGCACGGCGCGGTATAACATCGAGATTCCGCGAATTGACAAACTTTCGCCACCCATAAAACGCGCCAGCATTGGTCACTGCAATTGTGACAGCAAATTGTCGTGTCAAACGTAGCATGAAGTTGGTGTCGTCGTCGCTAACTCCTGTGCATGACCAAGAGCCGTCATCGTTGCGGTGGAGACCGGCTGCCGGACGAGAGCAGGTTTTTTCAGGGTTCTTGGATGTGCTACTAGTTGTATGTGTATCTTCCGAACCACTAGAGGCAGAACCAGAGGACTGATCCCACCATGAGTTATCCTCTTTCTGCGCTGCTGTCGTCATCTTCTCGATCCTTCAACAAATCGAAATCTAGCGTATAGCAATAAGAAGTGTGTCAAACCATGATGACGATACTTTTACTTTCGGAGGCGAGATAGGAAAGGCAAGGTTTCAGTTTATAGGTGGTCACTACTTGATCTCTTACTTACTAAGTAATCTCTATTTTTTGGTTCCTTCCATCTAAAGATTAGATAGTTCTTGTGCTTCACAGTGAACCTTCACTCACGATACTTTTTGCAAAAAGCAAAGGTCAGACCAGAAGGCAGGTGAGGATAAACCGAGACCTCTGGATGGATCCTTCTTGAAAAGAAAAACTCACGCTCTCATCAAGCGGCCGCACTGACTCTGACCGAGTGTGCCGTATCTTCATGTCTATGAAATGGCTCATCCTGTCTATGAAATGGCTCATCCTGTCTATGAAATGGCTCATCCTGCAACATGTATCAGCTTAGTCTGAACGCCAACACTGGGTCATCGAGTTTTCCTGCCACAGCTACGTAGTTCTACCAGTGGCAGTGCGCGCTTACTTAGAATCGCAAGGTTTGATGTATGAAATGGGTCAAAAGAGGTAATCCTGTGGGCACAGCTTTATCATCCTTGCTCATTCTCCTTTTTGCCCTATTATACCCAACGAACGTCGAATGTCTGCAATTTTTGGGTCTTCATCGGGTTTCTCGGCTATCAAAAGTCTAACCTGGTGCCACCACTTAGAAAAGAGGATATCCTCCCCATTTTGCTGCTTCATCTCTTGCTCCGCAGTAGTAGCATCGTTTTCAGAGTTCCTGATAACTGTTTTTTCCGGCAGGAGCTGTCTGTGTGTCCACTTACTTCCCAAGACGTACACATAGTGATGGTTTTCGCGTGCTCTGCCTTTTGTTTGAGGATCCACTATCTTTTCAACACGCTCTAGTTTCCAATCGAAACAGGGTAGGTCGAAATACATAGTTACCTGGCTTGGCGGATGCATCGACATGCATACGAATTTCCCTGTGCGTGGGGTCAATACCCTGTACGCTTCTTTCAACAAGTGCAGTATGAGCCAAGCGTGAGGGCCGTCAAAGCAAAACATCGCGTCCATAGTGCTTTTTTCGAAGACCAGGTCGAAGTGACATGAGTCGTGCCAAGATGAACATTGTTCTTGTGTTTTATCTTCACTGGGCAATATCTTCTCCTGATGCTCTTCTTCGTCTCGTCTTTCTCTTTCACCTTCTTTCGCTCCAGCTTCTTCTTCACGCAAGGCCAAAAGTGCATTTTCAGCCGTCTCCAGTCCAACCCCCGCCAAATCGCAACCATCGGCATAGAGGAATTTCACAGACTCACCACCTTTTGTCGCATACTTTGCGTCCCAGCGACTCTGCATATGGTCCATGCACAGACCGGAAATGTCAGTAACCAACTGCTGCCGATATCCAAGTTTGAAAAGCTCCTCGAAGACATGAAGAAGGAGAGGGAGAAAATAGCAATTTAAATGATCACCGAGGGGATTCAATGAATGAGCAAACTTAAACTGTTACCTCATCTTGATGATAAGATAAATGTAACTCTAACTGTTGTACTTGTTCTTGAGTACTTACTATAGGCACAAGTGCAGTGTGAGTGTGGTAAACAACTATTACTTCTATGACTTATCCAAAAGAATTCCCGAATTCTAAACTTCTTGTCCATAAGGAAAAATTGAATTGCCGTTCCCGATATGAAGGATCTCGATTTCCTCGTTTTCATCTCCTGTATCTTCAGTCTTGGCGGGGATTTCCTCTAAAATTTGGAGCAATATGTCCTTCACTTCATCCCACCCTAACACCCAGTCGTAGTAAATTAGAGGTAGGTTTTTGGTGCTTGCTTACCCCGCTTTTTATACCTTTCCCCCTTAGGAGAGGCATAAAAAGCGGTAAGAAAAGCACCTTTAACCTACCCTTAAGTAAACGCTGGCTGCAGGTGTAGTTTTAGATGCAGTAGCAGTCGCCGTCGCTGAGGGTGAAGATGCTGATGGTGTCTGTTCCTCGGTTCTTCCCGTTGTGCAATCACTTTGCTCTACTTGTAGTTCTTCAAATGTTTCTCTATACGTCTGATCCCAGTAGTCGGGGTGGCCAAATTCAGGCTCAGCCGTGCTCGGCGTGTCCGGGCTCTCGCACAGCGTTGCGTAAGTGGCGTTCACGTGGTGAAGTGCCATTGTCTTCATCTCTGCCACCTGCTCTGTCTTTTTTAGTTGACCGCCTTCGGCTTGATCATTTTCTAACCGCACTGGTCCCATTCTGTGTGTTTCATTCAGGCTAGGGGAAACAAGAACTGTAAATGTAGTAATGTCGTCGACAAACGAGGTTCGGGTGATGCGAAGCGATAGCTTTGATGTGTAGTAAGCAGCGAGACAAAACGACTTGCCATACAACAACAGAAACTTTCTTTCACAGATGATTCTCCTAGTTCGACTATGCTCGTGTCGCTTTCCTTGCCTGTACTCTGGTGTAGGTGGTGCGGCGTGAAGAAATGAACCAAGTGAGGGATGCTATGGTAATGTTTTATTGACATAGCGGATTGGCAATACACAGGAAGGTCCTCAGGTGGTGGAAGCCAGTTGCAGTTCACCCAAAGTCCAGAGTATGTTGATCATGATCCCCGTCCTTGGAGATCTTCATCCTGTCGTATGTCGGGGGTGTGATCGGAATCAGCGAGATCGTTCACGTATATGTGATCAGGGGGATCGATTCTGTGTGTCTAATCCTTGCCAAGTGCCTCTGGTCTCTTCCTGCCAGATGAAGAACTACTCCAACATTAAAGCATTTTGGATTGAAATGTGTGAGAATCGTCGAAGAACAAGGATTTAGACACTTTTCTGTACAGGAAGAAATCAAGTACGTAAGTGGTAGAGGATGATATCGAGTAGACTTATCTGCAACCACGACAAACTACATCGAAAAGTATGTTCTTATCGATCATTTAGTACAATTCTAGCTGTACAAACTCGAGGGCAAAAATCATCGAGAAACAGCAATACGTTTACGTAGTAGTCGTTAGTTGTCTAGTACTGGAATGGGTGGAATGAAATGAAAGTTCAACTATATTTTGCTTTATTCTCATCTGTTTGGTGCTTGATTCGGTTCGTCATGCTTTCGAAAGCTACATCTTATTTATAAACGAGCTCATCTACAATAACTACACATAAGCGCGTTCTGAGCGTCCTCCTGCAACCGCGTTTGCCGGTGCGCTTCCAACGCCCTGTCCTCCCACGGATCCTCGTGCGTTCTGCGCACCCGCACTTCCTGCGTTCACAGCAGAAGCCCCACCGTTATCTTCATCTGCATCCGCCGCACTCTGCTCCTTGCCGATCTGGTCTCGAATACTGGCCAATGCTCCTGTCAGGAAGGCGTCGTGCTGCATCAATATCGCTTTTTCTGCTGAGTCGACTAGAAACTCTTTGGATTGGGGCACGCGCTGTTGAATGCGCGTCAACCCGTCCCACCACAGATGTAGCTTGACCAGCGTATTAGTTGCCGCGTTGATGTCAGGAAGCCTCGTTTCCAAAGCCTGATAAGCCCCACAGTACCCTAGCATTGAGGCTAGGGCGAGAAGCATCGGAACCCACAGAGCTCCGCTGAGAGCGGAGGTTAGAGGGGTAAAAATTACTTTGGGAGTTTGCAATGTGAAACGGATCGCGCTCCAAGTTTGGTAGTTTTGTAAGAATCTACGTCAAGCGGACGTGAATGCTAGAAGTGGAGAGTAAAGGAGGTGCAAAATGCGCATGAATTCACAAGAAAAGACGCTCCCACACCATAAGACCAGTGCTGCAGCATGACAGGAATTGAGCACGATGACTGCGAATTGTAGTCGGTACAGCTCACGTGACAGCCTTGGCGCCAACCGTTCGTTCTCGCGCAGCTGTGGCAGAGCCCTCTCCTGTACGTAGTCCGCTGCACTGCAGGTGATGTGCTCTCCCCGATACATGCCTTCTAGCATGATGTTGTTCTCCTCCTGCTTCCGCGTCCAAGATTTGTAGCCGCATCTATGCTCAGAAGTTCGCGTAGTAAACCGGTTCGGCAACTGCTGCTCGCGACCACGTCCTCTATAATCATCATGGTGTCATCCCATGTAGTACTTGAAGCCTATTGGCAGGACAAAACACTTCCAGCAGTGTGTAATCGCATCAGATAACTTCTTGATAGCCATATATATTAACAAGCACTCCAATCAACAAAGGTATTACAACGACGTTTATTCTGCCAATCCACATTATCGATTGTTCTCTGTCGCGTGCTGGGTCCCGGCTGTGCATGAAATAGTGATTTTCCGCCATTTCTAGCCACACCTGCACCAATGCTAACGCTGCGCCTACTAGAATCAACAGGCGGATCAAAATCATCAAAATAGGCCCCGCCCTACGAAAACGAAAGTTGGTCGCTGAATCTTCTAACAAAACGCGCCTCAGATCAGCCGCGTGCCGGGTCGCACGTCGCTCCGCTCCGACTGCAGAGTTCCGATCCCACCTAAGTTTTCGTGTACTCTAGACATAACTAGAGTGATTCTGTCTTGCAACTGCTCAACCGGTAGGTGGTTTAGAGCTTCACCCTAGAGTCGATATCTGCCAGTTTCGCATGTCTCCTTGTTGCATCTTTAGCAAAGAACTTCCCAAAAATCCGCATCAGATCGGCCAGGCCATCAGCAGGCCCACCAGTTACTTGCATTAGAACTGCCAGAGCTTGCCTCTTACTTTCCTCTAAAAGCCAGATCTTCGCGCCTCTTACTTTCCTTTGGTCATTCAATAGAGAGACACCAGGAGCAGAACCAATTTCTTAGAAGTACAACTCTTCACCTGATTCGTCGCAAACACTAGAACATGTTGCTTTGCGTTCTTCATGCAGCCACCGAAAGTGAGCATCTGCTTCGCATTCTTCAAGCAGTCTGCTTCCCACGGCGTCATTAGAGCGACCGCATTCGCATGTTTGGAGCCATCCTTGACTTCGTCAAGTAGAAAAACATGGGCCAAGGATGACGTTGAGGATGCTTTAGCGCTAGCCTTAACGTCAGACCCGACTGGATGTTGATAACGTTTGTGACCTCCTTGCAGTTGTACAACCTTCGAGCGATGTTTATGGCAGTGGCACTGGCACAAACAAGAAAATTGCAAATAGAAATTAATAAGACCTGATAATTTCGCACCCACTGGCTTTTCCTTAGCATGTCCGCTGTTGGTCTTTTGTAACTTAGTCTGTTGCGGTCATCGTCTTGATCGTTTAGTTCCGCCGACTGAAAACTAGGAATTGCTGTATAGTCATCCATGGTGTAGCAGGCTAAGGCGCAACAGCCAGGCCGCAAGTTTTCACAGAGAATCTCGCTTAGTCTGTTCCCCCGCAGAAGATGTACGCCCAAGAAGGAGCACCGAGTTCGTCTGCGAACACGCTTCGATCGTAATGCCTGCTAAAACCGTCCTCACGCGCTCCTCCAGCGCTTCTCGTTCGAGAAAGAGACGGGCTTTCAGGGCCTCCGTGAGGAAGTGGCCATGTGCGTGGTGCTCCCTGATATCGCTATAATCGTCAGGCCGTTGATAATGGTAATAAGGGACAGCAGCTGCTGTAACTTGTTGCTGAGAGATTGCAGAAAGGGGGTTGTGGTAAGCCATGTGAGGAGGGTTCGCGGGTGCAGCTGGAGCTCAGCGGTATACGATTTTCTAGCTGAGTGACCTGACTTTACAGTGCCTCCTCATGTGGAATCTGCACTCTTTTCGTGATGTCATGTCAGTCGATAGGCTACGTTCGTACATAAACTGGATACTGAACAAGAACGTAGCACCCGATGCGAATTAAAGGAACCACTCTGCTAGAGGCATAGCGGAGAATGCGTAAGTTTTTCGATGTATAGTTATCATTCACAACTTTGCGATTGTGCTTTATCTTTATGGGTTTTGGGGTACAGGAGGGACGGACACGGAGTTACAACTTGGGCAGAAATAGTTTGAATTTCTTCAGTGAAGTCTGTTATGTAAAATTTGCAACATCTTCAAGAAGTTCGCCTATCCTTCTTGCCATGATGCGTAGGTCTTGCTGTCTCAACAGCTGCTCTGGCGTCAATCCTTGCGCGTTTTCTAGGTACATAAACGCAGCTCTCATTCTCTTCACATGTTGAGACACCTTAGTTACAACTTGTACATCACGTAGTTCTTCAGCTTCCCCTTCATGCTGTAGATGTTCAGCTTCCGATCCAGTTGTTCCACCGAAGTTCATTTGTTCTAAACAAGAGCGGATATCTTCCGTAGATGCTCCAGATGAACGACGGCGTTGTGGAGAAGAACCGGATGCCTCTCCGGAAGAAAACTCCACTCCCGCTTTGACACCCTGCATCAGTAGTAGCATCAGAACGTCCTCATTCCCGCTCTTACAGGCCACGTGGAGCGCCGTTTGCCCACAACTGTCGAAGTCCGTGACAGAACAGGCATAGTTTTGGATCAGCATTTCGATCACTCCCTGTTGACCCTGTTCTGCCGCACTCTGTAACACGCCAGGAGGTACATGGATGTCACTGAGAAAGGAGCTTGAGCTAGAAATGGGTGTTCTTCTAGTTGTAATTGCACTAGTTGAAGGTTCTTGTCCTCGTGGCGACGGTGTTCCATTTTGTCGGCCATATGGAGAGGATGCTTGTGCTCGAGCAGTGGAGGAATTCGTAGCTCCTCGTCTAGTTGTACCAGTGCTTCCTAGAATCTTGTTCCTAGAGGAAGGAGTCTTATTTCCAAGATTATCATGTCTTCTGGCCAACTCTCTTCTCAGTTTATCGACTTCACCCCACGCGGCTAAATTGCACATTTCTGCGACCCACGCGGGATCTTTATGCGCCAAACAAAAACGTTGGGGCAGGTGGGCATAGTTGCGACCGGTCTCAAAGTCAAATTTGATCTCAAATCCTCGTGGAAGCATCTCTTCTGGGCCCACACGCCTCCATTGGAAGACGCCATACGTGGGTTGGCCTTGGTTGTTTGTAGTAGTTCCATTTGAACTTGACATATTCGAAGACGACGGAGCAGAGGCAGTCTTGCCTTGCATAGGTGCGAGAGGAGTTAGGCCCATTCTTGCGATTCTGATGCGTCTTTTTGGCCACGTTCTTAGTAGTTGTCAGGAACAAAGGATGGAATACAACGATGGCGAAAAGTTACAACAAGCGTTTAGTTAGTTATGGGTTTCAACATTTTATCGGCGTATTACGTGATATAGCAACTTCTAGCGTTGAACCAATTGCTTCTGCACAAAGAAAGCATCACTGCCGGGTAGAGATAGTACTCGTGTGCCGTGTTACTAGCATGCTTTGCCATCGAGATACAAGTACAACGGAATACAGAGCATAATCCTAAAAGCAAGCAACTACTTACTTACTGAGACAAGGCAAAAACAGATCCGGGATGCAGAACCTGATCCAAGTTCCCCGACATTGACTCCGATCACCACACCACAAGAGATCACAAGTAGAGCCGGAAAGAACGATCAGCCATGCGAGAATATTACATCTTCAGGTTCACGAGCAGAGAGGATACTAAGCAATCATGCTTAATATTGTTTGATTGAGGATCGTCGGAAAAAGCAAGATCGAAGAACAACTTCTGCTCAGCTTGCTTCCTGCAGGAATTAATCATATGCACCTACATGTTCGGCGCGTATTTCATTATCATCCATGATGTTTGCATGGCTCTGCTATTTGGTAACCTGATTTTGATCATACGGAAAACAAGAAGAGAATCCTTGTACTTAATCGAATTCAGGTGACCAAATACTAGAACCATTCAATGTTAAGGTCAAGGTCTTAAAATTCCGCAGTGAATTGTATCCTGATTCTCCAAGTGGAGCTGGTCTTTGGTAAGCAGTCGAACGTGATCATTGCCCGACGATTCAACATTCAGTAGATACCAAGAATAAGAATAATACTACATCATGATGTTCACAAGAACCTACTGACAGTCTACTTGCTACCGACGCCTACTCATCTTGCGTTCTTTTTATTGCTCCATTTCTTGTTTATGTTTTTTTTCTTCGCAGAGGGAACATCATGATCTTCTTCAACTAGTGCGCCTTCTTGCTGTTTCGTTTTACGTGAGTGTGCCCCTGCAGTTCCAGATCTAGTACCTCCAGTACCAGTTGTAGAAGGAAGACGAAACACTTCCTCTCGTACTTGCATCAGCGCTCTCCCTAGCAAATTCGTGCCTGACCATTCCGTTGGTCCAACATCAAATTTATCCTCCACTCCTTGCCACTTAATACCGCGCTTGTCATTCGTCCCGTCGCCATATTCGGAAAAGCCGACGCCCCATACCTTATCGTACCATGCCGCTTCCACGATTATCTTTTTGCCGCTTTTGCGCAGGATAGTCGCCAACTCTGAATCCTGGAAAAATTTCGCACGCACAGCGCGAAGAACGACACCATAGCGTTTTTGACACCAAATTTCGTCGTCGTAGTTGCGAACCTCACGTCCCAGCTGCTTGACCTTCCCAGGGTCTTTCTCCTTCAAGATTTTATCCGCCGTTTCCTGGTCGTTGAATAAGAGTGCCTTCTCATACATCATCTCCTGTTCCACACAACAGTAATGAGGAGGACTGGTCTGGCTTTGGTTGACGATGCCATCAACAGTAATATGTTCAACATCTTCATCTCGGCTGCTCGATGAGGACGATGATCCACCTGCTCTTCCTGCTCTTGTGATACTGGTATGGCCTTTTTTCTCGATGAACCAGTTGGAGAAAACGCCGAAAGGCTGTGCTCTTTAGCGGTAGCTTTTCGCTATCCCGAGTCGAGTGAGTTGCTCTGCGCCCCCTATAAATCAAGGGGGGCTTCCCGACTCAATATACAAGTCCACATGGGACGATAGTGAAAAACCACCCTTAAGCTCTGTGACTGCAGAAGAAGATGTAATCACGCGGGTCCTGGCTGTGGTAGGCGATAGAAAGTGGCTGCTCGTCTTCTACCGTCATGTTCTCTACAGGCATATTGATGTTGATCTGCTTGTGGTCAATGAAAAAGTGAATGAATAATTGAAGTATAGCTGCACTACTAAAAACCCTGTACTTGAGGAGTACAGTACTAGGAGACAAGTAACAATCGAGACCGATGATGTTCTTGAAGAACAGAAATTGAAGATACACTGATCGATGCTTCGTGTGCGTGTGCGTGTCAGTGTTAAGTTAACAACTAAGTAGTTGTGAGTACTCGTGCTACAAGTTATACTCGTATGGGATAACAGCAGCTTTTGAAAACGCTCAACGATAAAAATTTTGAGAAGTAGCAAGACGACAAAACCTGGGGAGATAGAATGAGGAATAGCGGATTATCGCTATGATTATGATCATGATTAGGATCTCGTCAGAGCATGATGCAAACACATGTACATGTAAGACTAAAATCTTGCCCATCGCGGATCTTTGGATCCAGATCGGCTTGTCGTGTTGTGATACTAACCTGACTACATTCTTCGCACGACTCGTTTTTGTCATGTACCCATCATAAAAAGTGTTCCCGACTTGATGAGCAATGATTCGATAAATTGGACGAGTAGAGTGCTGTTTTTCCGTCAGCAGAATAAGGGGTTCATTTCGATTTTTTTTTCATCTCCTGTAGGTATCTAGTATAGGGAGCAGGATGGACTTTGACATAACAATCATATTAATCAAGCGTTTAAATTTAAAACAGTGGTCTTAGTGTTAGTCTACTAATCCTCTCGTAGGTCTTAGCCTCTAATCCTCTCGTAGGTCTGAGTCTCCTACATCTAAAAAGTCTAAAAAATTGTTGTCTTCTGACAGTTATGAACAAGAGTAGCAGCGGCCCATCAGCCTATCAATGCGCTATTACACGACACAAGTTGATGTAGCATTAACGAGCCTGCTTCTAGGGCAGTGTATCAATTGTAGTCTTCACTTTCTCACAAGTAGTCTAGCTATCTTTTGTGTCTGCGGCGACTGGCGTGGTCTCTTCGACAGAACAATGATAGTCGTGGTGATCATTGTGACAATACATCAACAAGGATAACAAGCATAATAGTTGTTGCTATGACATCACAAGTCTACGCTTTTATGGTCAACATCATACATGACAAAAACTGAAAGTCAACAATGATTGACGTTATCGTTATCCCCATTGCATCATCCACAACCGCACTTATTTCAATAGCATGCACATCAAAGACAAAGATCATACAATATTGCTCCATATTTACATAAGTACTACATTAGTAACATCAAAAGGACATATTTGCTCCATGAATATTACTCCATTTCCATCAGAGAATTCAGAAATGGGTGTCGTTCATTAGAACAGATTCTCCAGCTCCTCCTGATCTGCTTGGGCGTCAGCCCTCTGGCGCTCCAAAAAGATGTCTTGGAGTTTTTTGTACTTTTTTTAAAGGTTGAAACATTTCATTTTTGGAAGATAGCATTGCTAAAAAGGGGGAAATAAAGCATTTACTAGAAATGAAATGTTTCAGCCCTTAATTTTTGAGCAATTCAGTCGCCTTGTTCTGTACGCTGCGGTCGTCATGCTTCCTATATTCCGCAATTGCGCGTGCGGAATTCATCTTCTTAAAAGTCTCGTACGGACAATTGAGATCGTCAAACTTGCGCAGAAGCCCTAAAGCTTGCTTCCAGTGTGGTAAGCCGGTGTCGACTGATTAGAGGAGATCAGCTTCAGGCGTCATTGATATTTATTAAGTATATTTACATCGTCATTACGATGGAGGATACATTTACGTTGTTACTGACAGAGACAGTCAGGAGCCTTAATAATCCCTTTTATCGAGTGCGGCGGTCAAACGCTTTACGTCATGCTCGGTTCGCACCTTTTGCGAGAACTCCATTACGCTGTTTCAATTGGAAGTGGAGATTGGTGGATGAGGTCGTTTGAAGAAAGACTACGGCAGAAGCGTCGGAACTCAGACGAAATTACAAGGAGACTGATCATACTACCAGAATAATTTCGAGGGGTGTCAGATCCAGAATGAGACGGATCGGATGGATCGGATGGCCTTCCCATCATTTCAAGTAGGATCGCAAGATTTAGGGGGGTCCATCCGATCCATCCAAGTCCATCCTACATCCGTTCTATAGTGTATTCTATACTACTAAAGTTGTTCTAGTCCAGATGAAATATTTTAGCTCTTTCGTTAATACTTAGATGAAGCAAGTACAAGTAGAAGTACCCACACTTCGTCAAGTATGCTGTCCAGGCATCTGGCTTTATGATGACGACGAAAGATTTTTCGGTTCCGGTGTCGCAGTCTAGGAGGAAGTCGGATATAGCATCCTGAGATTGAAACATCTCGGTCATCTGGGACTTCAGAAATATTGGGCAGTTCGGGAATTTGTGCTTTTCTGTGTCCAACTGAAATCGCTTCTTAAACTCGGCCCCCGGAGTGCGATATAACTGGACAGAGCGGGAAGCGGAGGTTGAGGAGAGAAGGAGAACAAAGGACAAATATTGTAATAAACTAGGCATGGTTGTGGTTCGTGGTATATGGATCATCACGAATAATGATGTTGTGCTTGTGTCGTGGTACGCCGCGTACGACTCCATGAAGAAATATATGTTTACTACAAGCAAAGGTTGAAAGTCGTCAATAGAAATACCAAATTTTGTTTCTCCCCATCTGCCAACAAAGCTTTGAGCCAATCCCGAATGTCACGGTGCATGATGTGGCGGAATCGTTTTACTAGGAAATCCCGGTCCTCCTCAAACATGTCGCTGACAACGGCCCATCTTCTGTCTCCCTTTGCTAGTCGCGATGCGATTTTCTGGAGTTATGAGAGATCGGACGCAGTACCCAAAAAAGAAACTTACCCTATAACCTAAACTGCCAAGGCCAACATCAGGAGAAGGAAGACGAAGTACAACAACTTCATGATATGCAAATGCAACTACAAGAACTAGAACTACAAGTAGTCTGTGAGAAAATGAAAAGTATAGTTGTAACTGATAGTAGTAGTACCTTCGCATCAGGCCTATTGATTTCCATGAAATCGTTTGGTTCGTCGAAAGCGAAGAGGGCTATCTGCTGTTTGATGGGCTGTCCTGGAATTGCCGTCTCGTTTTCGGCGTTGATTAGAGCAACAAGCATGAAGAAGCCTGCCTTCAGACCACTATGATCCATTAACTTGGCCGTCCCTAGTACCCTAATCTAATTCGCATACTGAAACTGAAGTTGTGGATGAAAATGAGAGAAAATTCTATAAAGAAAAGAACCCCATGTAGTTGGCCTATGCGTTCTCAACATGTAGATTTTGATAATCTTGTGAACGCTACTTAGACGAACAGAAAGTCTTGTTATTCCACCAGAGAGAGAGAGAGAAAATAAAACCTTCTTTCCTAGGAAATTCTGCCATACTCAAAATGTAGATCTAGATAGATTTTGATAATAAAACCGCAAGAAAATTAGCCTTAACCCAGGTATTTCAATCCCAAGGGTCTGCTGCAAGAGCGGCAAGTCCTGGTTCAGCATCTTGATCCAGTTACCTGGGTCCGTGTCGGCACCAATGGCGTTGCCTTGCTCATCCTTTGCCTCCACATGGCTTTTCAACACCACTTGGCAATAATAGAGACTGTTGGAGGAGTTGTGTTTTTTTTCTTCTTGTAGAAAGATCTCGTGGAGTCCTGCTTGCTTTTTCATAAGTTGTAAGTCTAAGTTGAAGTTCGTTTCGATGTAAAGATATTAAGATGATGTCAGAGCAATTATAGCTGCAGTTTGTTGTACTTTATTGATATCAAGTAGAGACGATGCTGAATTTGATAGCATCTGAAGATCTACAATCTAAATTCAAGTACTCTTTCATTTCTGGGCCGCCTTCATCTTGATAGTGCCAGATGGGTCTGCCGTCGTCGTCTTTTTCTGCAAAGCAATACACCTTCCCGTTCTCTTAGTGCGTCAACATAGATGAGTAGTGAGAGTATAGAGTAATCTAAGTAGTACTCGTTATTTGTGTTTGATATAAAGTTGTAGTACTCGTCGTCCCCTTGTTCTGAAACAGGAGTGACTTGAAAATACTAGAGGGGACCACTGTAGTGAAGAAAGTGAGTTAGTGTAGTCAGAATGCAAAGCCATAATCATCTATCGTTTGGTAGATATGCGCTGGCTTTATCGGTTCTGGCGGCGCTGCTGGTGCTGCTTCTTCTTTTGCTGCTCCCTCAGCACCTTCCATAGCAGCATCTGCTCCTTCCGCACCTTCGGGAGGTGCTGCTGCTTCCGCTCCGTCCGGAGGTGCTGCTCCTTCCGCTCCCTCCGGAGGTGCTGCTCCTTCCGCTTCTTCTACTGCAAATTCATCGAGGATCTCTGGAAAAGGTTCTTCGGGTTGGCCAGCAGCAGCATCTTCTACGTCCATCTAGAAGAACAGTAATTTTTGAGGAATCCAAAGACATCACAGATCATGTCTACGAAGATCCACAGTTGTACTTACCTGTGACCAATTACTTCTCGTCTACTTGTTCCAATTACTAAGGAGTATTAAACAAGCAGCAGCATTTGATCCAAACTGATGTACAAGTACACGCACCTGTAGTTGCTGCTCTACTTGCTCTGGGGGTACTAGTAGTAGTAGTACCTGTAGTTGTTGCTCTCCTTGTTCTGGGGGTATGGACATTCTTCGATTACTAGGTGAGTTCGGCAAGGGGCTAACAGCGCCCTCTCTTCGTGGTGATCTCTCGCGGAGGTTAGAGTTACAACAAACCCATGATCTGCAGGAGCATCTTGATGCCCGTTTTAGTTCCTTTTTTGGGAGGATCAAAATGTTCCTGGGGAAGATGAAAATGCTCCTGTAGCCATAAGGAAGGCTGGGGAACTGGGCTGTGATCGCTTTGGTGATCCACTTGAAGGACCGGCGGCAGAAGTTCCCACTTTTAATTGCGGACTACGCGCTGGACTCAGGTGCGCCGCGGGAGAAGGAGAACCACCTTTAGTTTTTTTGATGAAGGGGGTAGGCCAAATGTTTAGGATCATGTACAACTATGTCAATTGTCAAATACGTCGTAGCTAGTAGAGTAAGTATGAATAGTACAGAGAACGTCATCCATGTCTACAAACATCTTTTACTTCAGACGGTCAGACGTCGTTAGAGCTTCGAGAATATGCAGGATCTTCAACCAGGACCATTCTCGAAGCTCTCACGACAATAATAAGGATGTCCCAGGATAAGCATCTTCTCCCAGGACCATGTATTCGAAAAGCTGAAATACGCAAGTAACTACTGAAAATAAGCGAGATACTGAACAAGGAAGGGTAGCCCTGTGAGAGCGACCTCCCTTATTTCAGTCAGTAACTCAGTTATTTCAGTTTATCGAATAGTTTACCTCCATTGGCTGCTCCCGTCGGTGCTTCGCTGTGGCCGTTCATCGGGGATGACATTTTTCTGTTTGCTATCTTGTCGAAAAGAAATATATGTACCAGTAAGGAATCTGATCAGAAAAAACACTTAAGTACTTGTATCTATAGCAAGAACAAGACCTTTACGTTTTAAAACGCCGTACTCAAAACAAGCAGCTAAACTTTTTCTTTTCCTTTCGATTTCTGGAAAATCCTCTTGTCTGCCAGTATACATGTCGCTGACGCAATTTTCCGACTTTTTGCTTGGACATTTTTGACACTTGACCCTAAGCACGTTGATTTCAGTCGGTGGAGACTGACAGCGAGCACATTCTATGAAGTTCTTGAGGAGAGCAAAAAAGACGATAGACTTTAGTAGGATAATTGGTTGCGTTTTCTGAAGATTTCCATTTAACGCAGGATGAAGATGAACTCAGTTCAACTGCATAGTCGTGGGAATTCATTCACTATTTCCCGCCTGGCCTTGAATCCTTCAAGCCGATTCTTGGCAGTTAGTTTTCACCTGGGTGGAACTTCTTGTACCAACCTCCTCCCCTTCAGTAGAAGAGATGAATTGTTATGCAGCTAGGAGAGCGCATAATGTTTTTCCTTTTTTGCCACCCATTTCCTTATATATAAGAACATGCAACAAGCTTGAAATTTATTATAAGCAAGAAAAGATAAGAACGACAAGACTTTGTTCTCAAAACGATTTTTAGACCATGCATTGGACGACCTACGCCTAGAAGCTATTGGTCTCAACATGAACCTAGTAATTCGCATTTATTTATTCCAACAAGACCCAACAAGGGCATGAACAGTGACAAGACAAGACAAAGACTCTGAGCAAGATCAAGATCTGTATGGCAAGACTGAACAAGACTTAAGACAAAGACTGTAAGACTCAGAATGATGGGATGGGATGGGAATTTGCTCGCCTCGGAGAGGTGAACATTCACGACTGTGAAAACGCCGAAACTGATCTAACCTTACTAGAAAAAGGGTCAGAGGATGTAAGACAAGACAAGAAGACAAAATATTTGCTACAATTTCATTCGCGTGAAAGGTCGCACCAAACATTCGCTAAGAGGACAGTGTCTTCCTGCGTCGGCCCTTTTTCTGATCATGACTCATACGGAAGACGCGAATAAACAGGAGATATTGATGCTGTGCCTAGTCAATTCAAGATTTATTCTGAGGCATAATCATAATTTTTGACTACATTGCAGACACACACAAGACGTGACACTCACATCATCACACACTCTTAGAAGGTACTAGCATGTTAACCATAATTCATGATCAGCCTGAATACGAGGTGAAGTTGTACGAGAGAGCGAAAATGAGAACACAAGATAGAGAAAAGAACATGAGGAGCCATGTTGTCTACGCAGAAGTATAGATACGCCGAAACATCACAACTATTTAGATGTCAATCACCTTACAAATTATATGGCGGATCTAGTAGTCGTAGACCAGGTTGGTTCTTAATCTTTCAACAAAAAAACGCGGACATGGAAGGATGCAGGTCAGATCAAGGTGGATGCAAAAAGAAAAATAATTGCAGAGACCATCTATGTCATGTCATGTGCCATCGCGTCTGGTGCTCACCAAGAACTGTCACACAAGCGGAAGCGTCATGTCCTGTCATGTCATGTCAGGATGCCTCGTGTTAATTGGTCTATGTACCAATGATGAGGCCCTATTTTTAGCAGTTTTGGCCTTTTTATCCAGAGAGGCGTGTCGTCATGTTGCGTACGCGCGTCATCTCTCTCTGACCTCCTGGTCTTTTTTATCCAGAGTGAGAGGCACAGACACGACGCATAAAACTAGAACTTCTACTTCATCAAAAGGTGGATGCAATTATAGTGAATAGTTAGTGTGTGTTTAAAAATCATAACACGAAAAATGCCAAAATGCCAAAGCCTCAATGGAGTCGATGATGTGCTCTTGCTCATCGTGATTTATATATTATGTTGTTGTGAATGATTATCATGATCATGCATGTGGACTCTTCAAAAATTATATACATAGCCATACCTAAGACGAGTAGGATCGTGTTCACAGAGCTTAAAAACATCGGAGGATGATGTTGTATGTGCTAACATTACTTGCTGTAATTGCATGTGGTGCTTTTGCACCAATACAACTCATTCATAGTATCTCGTATAAGCTATATCGAATTCAGAGTTTCGAGAAATTCTGCTTTTTTTCCCCGAGAATCTGATTTTTTTTTGACCATGAAGACGGACAAAAGACGGACGCTAGACGATGATTTTTTTATGCTTGAAGCAATGAGAGAAACAAAGAAGCGAGACAAAGGACGAAGACGAAGAAACAAGACGATACATTTGATTACCGTCTTTTTGTTAACTTTCTCTTTGTTTTCGCCTTGTCGGTACTTCATTAATAACGAATTTTTGTTTCATTTTTTACGCATCACCAAAAATTCGTTTATGCTCTTCTCTGCTTCTGTCTCTGCGATAATTTAACTATAAATTTCTCTTTGTTTTTGGTCCTACTAGTTTCTTTTCACTTTTTTTAAGTGTCACCAAGATAATTCGTTTGTTCATGCATTTCCATGCTTCACAGTTACACTCTACTACCTCGCACAGAAACCCTCGCTTGCTTCTAATCCACAAAGCCCTTACTCTGTTAGACACATATCGTTTGCCTCTAGCTACACCGCTGTTGAACTAATTGTGCCTAACCTCGATCTATCACTATCAAAGTATGGCGATGAATGCGGGAGAGACCTCGGCAAAGGTCGTCCACCCCTACCGCCTTACTTTCAAAGCTGGCGGCCTTGTATCCAATGGCGCTAAAACCGCTGGCACATATTTGGTTGGGCCTGGCAGTGGCTTGATGTTATGCCGCTTTTCTATCACTCTTCTGCAGTAACATTTGCTAAAAGGCAAATTTCTAGTATTACATCAAGGTGATACATTTCACAAATTCTAACGCATGCCTTCGGAAAGCTTCAAATGCACGGAGTTTTTTGTACCGCTCCGCACCCAACTACCGGAAAACCGATTAAAATCAGCTTGAGTGGCGACCTTATCACTCGAGGCTTCGCTGCAGTTTTCATCCCTGGACAGCCTAAGTCGGTACTATATTTTTACTCTTTCCTTGTGTTTTTTTTCATAGGAAACAAAAAAAAAAATTCTGTTATCTTATCAAAAAATTGAATTTGAAGCTTTCCCTATGTTTCCCTTTTCTTTCTTGCAACGCATCCGAATTTCCATCATCCACCCCACAAAACGTCGCTTTTTTTTAGGTCTATGATCTGCTGTCGCAACTGGTAACCGCAGTATCCACCAAGGAATACGTGACGTCAGCCACCATCCATAAGGGTGAGGATACTTTTGTGCTCAAACTCGTGCGCAGTATGGGCGAAAATAAAACACAAATTCACACTGATTTGTTCACGCTGCCCGAAGTGCTTCCGCGCGATTTCTTGGAGAAATATGAAAGCGAAAAACTCGGCGCTGCTGCGTACCAACCGCCGCAAGCTCCTATGCAGCACCTTATGGATTTGCCCATTTACGACCCCTCCGCGCTTTCTTCGTCGAAGCTTTCACCTCAAGCAGATGCTGCTGGTAAAATATATCTCTTTGCATAAAAAAGCGATGCTATAGCACAAAACCAAACCATTCGCATGCAACTCGTCACATTATTACTCCCAGCATTTCCATTTTGGCCAGGTTCTTCTTCCGATACCAACATCGACGCGGAAGCACTCAAGGAACAGGAGCAGACCAACTTTGCGATCAACGAATCGCTCAAGGCTAATACGACCATGAAAACCGTCAGCACGGGCAAAGCCATGAAGGCGCAAGGCGTTGGAAAAAAGCCGGCTCCGATGAAAAAAATGGCGAAGGTCACAAACGCCATGAAAAAAAACAAGAAGCAATCGAAGAAAGCGGCAAAGACTGCCAAGGCGCCGAAAAAGGCTAACAAAAAAATGATGGCCATGAAGAAAAAATAAGTTGTCGATATAAACCCATTTGCATCACTTGCCTCGCATCCTTTCTAACCATTTCTGTTACATATTTTACACAAGTCCTACCGACATTTTTCAAGCTCAAGAAGTAACACACTCATCGTTTTCCGATTGTAAGAATGTCACTCGAGTAAAAAGTAAATCGATCAAGTTCGAAAATCAAAAGTCTACCATCGAGCTAGTAGCTCTTATTTTCCATCCATTTAGTTACATTGAATTTATTAACAACATGAAAACGACACGCATGGAATAACTACCGCAAAAGTAAGCAAGTACTTCGCCAATAAATAAACAAAAAAGACCAACAATCCACTGTACACGCTATTCGTAACAAAATTTATGAGGGACCTTGAAATTGTAAGTCGCATAATAGTCACAAACTTTGCACACGGTTAACCATCCACATGAATGCCATAAAAGTGCAACAGTATACCGGTAAATTATCAAACTCGTCATCCCACAGCATACTATACGCATGACATACGCATAAAAATACTAAGCACAATTCAAGCGTCAGACGCTACGTCGAACCGCATAAAAAAAAGCAAGTTCCTCACATCAGCGCGCGCCATCATCTGGCCCCAACTTCGTGTTTTTCTGTATTTTGTCAAGCGATAGCGTCGGTGATGATTATTCTGTTACCTCATTACCTGACACACATTCTGCGATAAACAGGACAAGATAACAAAAACAAAGCAAGCGCTTTCCGTCACAGTCTACTTGTATCATCTTATCCTATAAAAACCGAGCTACGTACTATTTATTTTCTTTATGCATAGAATGCAAATGCTCCGCTTTCTTCTCGTCTCCTTGCTGCAAGTCATGGCGTCTGCGTGTTATCTAGGAGCAAAAGCTGTCGCACATATGCCGACGCCAGCGGAACGGGAACAACGTTGGAAACACTTGCGGCAGGTTTCTTTCTGGCAACCTACTCGAACACCGTGCCAGCAATGCGGCTGGGATGATCTTCACGAGCACGAGCACTGTCCATGCATGAGCATGAAGAACAAGAATATTATGGCAGGCTTATCTATCGCGCTACTTACAATAACAACGCGCTACTTACAATTGTCACTGTTAACCTCTAGAATTTTCGTGCATTTATAGCCTTCTTCTAACTCGCAGGCCAACGAGGTCGTTCTCCCTCCACATTCGAAGCGCTTTCTTCAGTGTTTCGCTGATAGCACTCCGGCAACCATTGGAGCAAAGTCGCTAGCTCTGAACTATGCCACTGCTTTAGCCGCTGTGGGGTTCAATCAGTCACGAGTTCAAAGCGATAAACGAAACGCTTGCTTTACGGTAGAAGGCAGCAGCTTTGCAGCAATACAGAACTTCGATTCTCCTTCGAGCTATCCCGTTGCGCGGTTTTTGTATCGTGGAGAAGCATGGACAAGCTTGCAAGACAAATTTCTCGACGATTTCGCGCCTTCTTTTCGGCAATATCTGAAACAGCGCAATCCGCTATATTCTCAGTTCGTTTTGCGCAAGCCGGCCAAGCTACCAGCTTATCGCATCCAGGTAATTCGTACGTGCTACCAGTTTGCTCTTGACTAATTCACTAAGGCAATCGTTTGCTTTCAAAGATGTTCGCTCTGTTTAAAGTGTACACGTTTCCCTTTCAATCTTTAAGGACTCCCCTAACCTGCTCCCTCTGTATTGCGTTTCCTCTGCTCTCCAGGTAATCGACTCAGAAACTCGGCTCAATAGAGAGAAAGAAAACTTATGCTATACAGACGGCGACGGAAATTGCGCGCCTGTGTATGTTTTTGAACAAGGAACAGAGAACGGCGCGCTTCTCAACAGTCATGATCAACGCCGAATGCTATGCAGCTACCCGGTTCTCTTTGGTGACTTACCCGAGCAAAAAGTTCCGATTTGGGACATAAATCGTAAATGTGATCCCGATGATCCGATCTTTGGAATGACCATGGCAGCATACTGGAAAAAGATCCTCATGCACTGTCCTGAACGATTTAACTTTGCGCATAGCGCTACTGAGTTATTTCTCTGCGACCTTGCTAGCCAATTAGATTGGGAACACAAGTCGGCACTCGAAAAACTTGCGAAAACCACTGCGTCAGTGCGATTTCGTAACACTCCTGCTTATATGGCTGCAGTTATCGAGGACGTCTCAGCGTTTGGCGAAAAAACACAAGCAGAGCCAACCGTTTTCGGCTGTTTGATCAACAAAAAAGTTGATAACGATTGGGTAGCCGCGCGAAGTGCAAACGGCCAAAGCAATCTGCAAAACACTATCACCTTGGGTCGCTATTGGATCATGCTGCGTGGTGATTTTCGCTCGCATGTTGTAAGCACGCACGTGCTTGGCCGGAATACGCGCTTCCTTCTGTTCGCTGACGAATTTCAATCGGATAAAAATGTCCATGGCCATTACATTACCAAATCAGACGAAAACTTTACCAAGTACCCGCATCGTATCGACGACATATTCTGCGGCAGTGCTGAAGACGTTCCCCCTGAATATCGGAGCCAGTGGATTGCGTGCCAGAAGCATGAACATTGGGAAAAGTGTTACGGATCAAACGGCCAACTAATTTGCGCATTTCCTCGCAAAAAATGCAGTAGCTCCCACGTCGACAGCCTCGGCCGCGTACACATTCGAGCAGTCACCGACGACGACACCATGTGCGAGCCATGTTCGTTAGAGCTCTGGACTCGTTATTGTCATGGGGCTCGCAATAAGTCTGACCGTCGATGTGATGACTTATTTCGGTGCGGGCACTACAGTCTCCAATACGCTTGCAAAGAGTGCGGCAACAAACGAGTCAAGCTCGACTTGCAATCTGCTGGAGAGCAAAAGGGTGGCGCGAAAGAAAAACTAAAGCTCCAGATGTGGCTGCAAATGAAAGAACGCTCTTCCATGTCTTCCGCGTTATTAGCGCTCGGCCATACTGCGGCCACTTGGCCATCTGTTATACGGTTTCCGTTTTTTCTGGATTCCAGACTTTGGAAGCAGTGGCTCTATCGCCCAGAAGTCGCGACATCATACACCCCGGAAGAGTACTTCGAGTCCTTTTTTCTCCGAGTAGAGCCCTATGCTTATCGACCGGACAAAAATCGCACCGCTGTCGTCGATGGTCTCGGTAACTTTGTCCACTCTTTCGATGATCATCCTGAAAGGCAGCGCGCAGTCTGTCGTTATTCTGTGCCACCTCCTACTGCGGGCGAAGCTCACTGGATATATCTCCTCGTCTCCGGTCGTGCTTGTCTTCCTCGGTTATCTGCAGGCGAAGATTTGCAAAAAGCGCCCAACGCTTTTCGTGGAACAACTGGTAGCACTTTGGACCATTGCCGCGAACACAGTCTGCTACGGCGTTACAACTTACAAACAGAATGGATTGACTACCTCGCACGGCAGAAGCGCTCCGCTTCAACGCTTCGGTGGGCTCTTTCTCTATGCCTTCGGAATAAAATTGGTTTCGATTTTTTGCCCATTTGGGAAAAATACAAGACGAACCTCACGCAAGACCTCGTCTTCGAGAATGCTGCGGCTGGGTATTATGGTGTCTTTGGGCGTTCAGGCCAATCGCCTCAATCTGCTGCAGATATGGAGCAAAGCTTTGTCGATCGTATGTACCAGGACCACAGCTGTGACTTGTCAGTTTTCGGCATGCGCATGCCCAACAAAAAGCGAAAGTCCGCGGCCTCCGTGCTCCAATCTCAGAACGTTGCGCAAGTGTCTGAAAAACTCAAAAATGCAACGAAGCGAATTCATGAAAATCCAGAACAGTCGCGCTTATATTCTTTGATGGTTGACGCTGTGGAAAGAGGACGCTCGCGCCGTCTTATTCCCGTCGTCGCTGATGAGCACTCAAAGCTATCCAAAAGCTTCAGACCTGACCCGTTCGAAGTAAATACGTCGAACAAAAAAAAGTCGCGAGCAGTTTCACAGCCAGCAAAACGACCGACGAAAAAAAAACTCGATCAAGCACCAACGTCCAAGCGCGCGCGAAGTGCTTCTGCTGATGTTCCGGCGCCTGCTTTTGCTACGGGTTCGGAATATGGCTTGCGTGAATTGCCTAAAAAGCTCTCAAAACTACAACGCCAAAGAGCTAAGCGTGGGCATTTTGATGCTGGTGAAGTCATCTCTGAAGACTTGTTGCCTGATGTTTTATCATCTTCAGCGTCTAGCTCTTCGTCATTTTCGAAAGAATCAGCTAACGCTATGCTCCACGCCGTCACGGATGACGCAGCTGCTGCTTTTCAATTCGAACAAAATATCAACGAAGACGACTACAACAACTACGACGACCACGCGCATGCTTCTAGTTTTTTCGATTCGTTGACTAACGCAGCAGCAAACGACAACGACGCAGCTGATGATCTTCGTAACCTCTTCGAAAGTGGAGAGCTCGAAAGTGCTACTGCTGTGGACCCAAGTCAAATGATCAACAACAACAAAACAAGCGAAGACGTCAACTTCGTCAATGCTGACGGCGGCACTGGTAAAAGCTTTCTCGTCAACGCCTTAGCCTTGCACTTATATGCAATTGGAGAAGACGGGCTTTTCTTAAGTCCTACAGGGGTAGGCGCATCCAATATTTCTGGTAGTACTTTGCATTACTTCATGCGTGCAACTGTGTCAGATCCCGACGATGTACTTCGCCCGCAATCAAGTTTAGACCTGTCGCGCGTCCCCCTAACTGTCCTCCAAGCTATTCGACGGGCCAGCATCTTGATTGTCGACGAAGCACAAGCTGCAAAACGGTTCCTCATCGATGACCTTCACAAACTATGCCAACACGCGCGACAAAGCACACGAGAAACTTTTGGCGGCCTTCCGGTCTTCTTTCTTGGTGATGGAAAGCAAAAACTCTTCGTGCTTCAAGGAAAACCTACCTCGCAGGACTACATCGACAACAGCATCGCCTCTACAACTTTTTGGGCATCTACTCGAATCCATCTGCTAGAAAACAACATGCGCATGAAAGCAGACGAAAAGCTCGCGCATTTTCTTCACCAGTTTGGCTATGGTAAAACAAAGCGAACCAAAAACAAGCAGCGACTTGTTGTGCCTGATTTCATTCCAACGAAACAAGTGACAGACGACGACGAAGCTTCAGCGACATCGATCGGCTTCGTATTCGCCGAGTGGACTGCTTATTGGAAATCTGCGCTCGATTTTGTCGACACGTCCGTCGGTGTCTACCTTGAGTCCATCGAAATGGACAGAGGTTACGGCCTTGAATCTAGTCAAGAAACTGGATCGGGTAGATTTGAAGAACGTTTTTGGCACCTTCTCCGAAGTCAACGAATTTCTTACATCATAGCAGCAACGAACGAAACATGTCGGCAATTAAATGAACAGCTTACCAAGATGATCGTTGGCCCTCGACGCTTGTACACTGCGCGGACATGGGTAAACAACCTCGGGGATTCGCTTCCACGTTTTTCGCAAAATCTAAACCGCAACGTTAGCGGCGCACTTCCAGCGCGTATCGAGCTAGTGCCTGGCGCAATCGTTCACGTCTTAGTTAATTTGGACCCATACAAGAAAATCACGAAAACGCTGCTCGGCGTAGTCGTTCGATGTCATCCGCATAGTGTTGACATCATTCGAATGAAAGACATTCTTCAAGATGATCGCGTGAATTTATTTCATGATAGTGACCTGGTTAACGTTCCTATTGTTGAGTCGTCGTTTACTTTTCAAATGGGAGAGATTCCACTCGATTGCAAGCGAGAACAGCTCGCCTGCGGTCTTGCGTTTGCGATAACTGTTGACCGTAGCATGTCTCAAACAGCTTCGCGCATCGCCTTAGACGTTCGCAAAGAATCCAACACGCCTGGACATCATTACACTGGCATGAGCCGCATCGCCCACTCGTCTGATATGTTACTCCTTGGATCTCCTGAACAGTATGAAAACGGATCGCTTACACTCATGGACACAGCATTTCGCGACGTAATTGGTGCTTTCTTAAAATTGCCAGAAGACGCTGATAATTTTCTTGAAGTGTAGACACAACCTAGACTTGGGCGATGTTTCCGCTTTAATACTCTACTGAAGTAATGCGCTTCTTCAAACTGTCGCCGATATATAATCCTTGAAAGTGCAGGAATCTCTCGCAGACACTTGAGATTATGCTCAACGAAAAAGCCTCAAGCTTGCAGTCTTCAGCGTGCTACGCGCGAAAATCTGTTGTCAGTATTGCTCGTATCGGGCTTGTGTCATGTTTTTCATTGTTACAACACCTACCAGCGCAAAACGCCTCACGATGAGAAAGAAAAGCAAAAAAGCTGGCTCGTTGTCGGGTCGTCTACATTATTGGCAGAGCCTTGCTATTATGCGCATCGTCTCGTTAAATTTTCTACCGTAAGTATGCAATCACGACACGTGCGTCATTTATCAGCAATGCAGTGAGCCTTTCCGCCGTAGTTTAATTCGTCAAGATTTAGCTACTCACCACGAGGATGCCACCTATAAACTACACCATTATCAACAAAAATGAAACGCTGGCGTTTCTTGCGATTTGCTTCGCGGTTCATGAAGAACATGTACGATTCGGATTGCCTCTGAAGGATATCTGGAAAAAGAACCATCCGCGTATTCCTTTCGAGCATACAGTTCAAACGCAACAGTGTAGCCGCGTTTTCAGTATTCGAAAACAAGAACCTGGCGCCGGCGTGTGTCGAACGTTTTCCATATCCGTGCTGAATGTTCCTACGCCAGTGGCTCATACGCTAACAACGGAAAAGTATGGAGAAGCAGCAACAGCCAAGCGAAACCTTTTCGCGCGAGTACGTTCTTGGCAAAACGTTGTCCAGCTTGCTTGTATTTTCGGTACGTTTCAAGCCGACGCCTTTGCCATACACCTAGCGCGTCAACCTTTCTTATGATTTCACGTTTTTGCTATTTGCCACAGTGTGTAGAGTAGTGCGTCTTCGGCTTGTTCTGCTAACTTCTCTGATTGTCTTCTTCGGCTATATTTGCTATAGATGCTACGTGTCGCGTCTAATGTATGCTGTACAAGCTCCGACGAATCCAACAGCAGAACAAGAGAAAGACTTTTTGAGCAACTGCCTTCAATGGGCTCAAACGCGATCCGTAACGACAAAGGCGGAGTTTTTCGCGCCGCTGTCACATTATGGACGATAGCGCCTTTTTCTATGTCAGTTGATTGAACGCTTTTTATTGTTCTTCTAACTTGTATGTCATCTCCGACGCCTTCAACCAGCAAAAAAGCACAGCAGGATCGTGAACGTTCTCAGGAACATACCGCAGCGCTGTAATAAATGCAGGTCGAAAGTCAGTAAAAGCATGGGAGAGGGAAAGTCTCCATACGATAACGGGAACGAAGCCTTTCGGGCTTTATTGTCCCGACTGCGTTCTTTTATGGCCAGTGCCTATTTTCAGATACGTTCCTTCATTTATGTAGAGTTGGCGCCTTCTGTGTTCGCTTTTTCTAAACACTTTTACGGAGCTCTGGAAACGAAGCACATCGTTCAGCAGCTTGCGCTGCACACGACTTGGACGAAGACGCCGCAGGTGCTCCTGGTTATGGCTTTTCAAAGTAACTGCTGCTATGTATTGAGTAAATAACTACCTTCCTTTTTATTGGCGCTGTTAGCTTGCTCCTCTAACGTTAGCGAACGCACGTCACGGCTGAACTTTACGGGACGAGGATCGCGGCGCTATTGGAACCTCGTCCAAGATAGGCCCCCTGACTTTCATTATGGCGCTATAATTTATTGTCTACCGCTAGTCATATCTTTCCAGTCAATAGATTGAGCCCCAGCTTCCATTCGCTAACACATTGCACAACCATCTCGAGCAAGCGACGAATATTGGAGCAGCGAAGCCGAACGCTTACGGCTATCTTTTCTGCTTCGCATTAAATTTGCTTGGTTCGGATATGTTTGGCACTTGATTGCGATGCTCTCGACCATTGTTATAGATACCGGAACGGCTTAGCAAGTTCTCCCTCATGGAGTGGTCGCAGTTTATCTTCGTTTTCTTCTTGTCATTCGCTCTGCTTCCAGGATTGTTCTAATTCTTGCTACCAATAGGCTCTTCAAGGTTTTCACTGCATTGGACAAGCAACACAGTGACAAGCGCTACGCTGGGCTTCTCGCGTATACTGGTCAAAATTTTCGAGCAAGTGCGTTATCTCAGTCTGATTTGAATCATCTCGCATGCAAGAGTTTGCAATTTCTTCAAAAATGTCGCACGCAGCAACTGCCTGCAACAGCAGCGAACTCATCTGATTCTGAACATAGCGACCCGTCATCTGCTGAGTAGCAGCTTCCAACTTTTACACCTGTATATATCTGACATTTCTACTATTGATTTTGTGGCTAATACTGTATCACTGACCCGAACCGGTTGGCATATCCTTCGCGCGCGTTGCGTGCAAATACACGCCCGAAATTTTTTCCGTTGATTCATCGCAGTGTTCTCGACTCTCACGCTAATACTTTTACGCAAAACGTTCCTCACCCAAGCAGCGCATGTTTCGGATCCACGTTCTTGCTGGCACTCGTTCACAGATTCAACAAAGTAGAACTTGGGGTTATTAGTTCTTGTCTCTGCAATATTTCGCTCTTTCCTCTTAGTTCTTTCTTTCTTAAAGTCATCAACTTTGCCAGAAGATCACCACCGAAGTATCTTGGTTTCTCCATCTAGACCTTATACTTACACGAGACAGTCCGAAGTCACTTAATAAACTTAACAGCAGCGCAGGGATGTCGTCATCCCTGCGCTAGCCTGTGATACATTACTATAGCCAATACTTCAACTTCTAATTCTATGCAAAATGCAAAGTTGATATTTTTATCATATGTTTATGTAGAAAGTTCCAAAGCGTCTAACTCCCTTGAACTTTGGCGCTGTGTCGGAGAAAGCTTGTTTCGAGGAGGCCAGCTCTTCTTCTAGCTCGTCTAAATACCGTTGCGCGAGTCCAGGGGCTAAACCGAGTCCAACTTTTTTTTAGAGGATTCTATTGAATTCTTGTGATGAAGACCACTTCTCATATGTATGTCATATGATGAGCAACAAACTTTCTTGATCTTAAATGGAGGGAATCGAAATCATTTTCAATGTTTTTCATGCATTCAGCATAGCTTAAAGATGGCATCTTCCCCATTCTCTTCCATGCATTTTTTTAGACGTAGTGCTATTGAAGTACTTCTGGTAATGATGTTACTCGATCCAGGGTCAAGCGCTTCTATTCATCTACAGACATAATTATCCCAATGGACGACTGGAATTGCCCACGCTCGCATCAGTGCGATCAGCAACGCTATTTGCGACACGGCTGGGGTAGGTTTTTCAACTTCACCCGCGGGAAAGACCGACTCGAGTTCCCTGGAAATTTTGTAGTTTGTTAACGTTACTCTACAGACACGCACTGAACGCACTTACTAGAGCACGGCGGCGAGCCGTGGTAGCAGTTGTTCTCTCATGCGCGGCGGCGTCTGAGGTGGCCGGGGGTGTTAACAGATAAAGCCACCCGGAAAAACCCAAGGGAACCAGGCGCGAATACTCGCACCGACGCCCGGGCCGATGCCCTACCCTTGTCCATCTTCATGGTGCGCGGGCAGTGTCTCACAAAGTCGGCTTCTCCCTCCGAAGCCGCGCAGCCTGCTCCCCCCGTCGCGGGGTCGTTCTCATACCGTAGGAAGCGTGCTCCCTACGGTATGAGGATGACCCCGCAGCACCAAGCTGCTGCGCCCTAAATCAATGCCGCAGCTCTCCAGGTGGGAGGCATTTGCGCTATCCGCAACGTTTGCCGCAGTGACCGCCCTCGCGTGGGCCTTTGCCTTTTTTGGCGTATCCCTGTCACGTGGGTCTCCCCGTGAATAGAAGACGAGCCAGCGCGTCCATCTCCTGCACTGCCGTCAGACGCGGCTAGCAAGTTCAGCCAGCCACGCCGCACTCAGTGGGCCTAGGATGTCCTCCCCGCGTACGCAGCAGGTCATGCCCGTAAGGCATTTTCACCCCCGGCGTCTCCCATCGCGGGCCATGGGCCGTCTCCAGCCATCTCCGTGCGAATCCCGCCCCTTGGTCGGTGACGCGTGAGAATCTTCTGTTCTGTGTGAGGCTGCCTCGAGGGCGTAGCTGCGTAATACACTGATAAGACAAGCGCAGCCCTCTCACAACGCGGGCCCTATCGATCAAGGCACCGCGAAACCCCTCCTGCGTGTGCGTGCGGCATGCCCGTGGAGACCCCCCCTCGGCCTGGCGTGTGGCGGCAATGTGGGTCAGTTGAGGACTCATATGAAGGGCCAGAGGAGAGGAGAGGTCCACTATCTACGTGACTTCCCTTAAGTCCAACTTCTTGACGCGGTTGGACACAAAACCACCAAAAAACAAACAAGTACTTACTTGCTAGTTTTTCCGATGACTCTTGAGACAAGTGCTGTGTAAAGGTCGTCTGCAGTGATATGGTCCCGACGACCGAGAAGCAAACTCGCAAAGTGGAAAACGGAATTCGTTGGGGTGATGCCAATTACCATGCCGCTTCGTTCGCGAGCCTAGGATAGTGTGTGGGGTCGTAGGTAAAGGTAATCATGGCACGATCGATAATCATAAACATGATGAAAGTGTTAGTGTTAAGCGTATACGGTGTGGTTAAGGTTAAAGCTGCATAGTATAGAAATACATGATTATCCTGGACGCCTTTTCTTGTTCGTGTGGTTTCCGGGAAGACTGGCATACGCTCTCGAAAATCTGACTCCGTCTGTTAGAAGCCTCAAATAAAAATAGTTGAATTTTTATCATCTAGCGCATCTACTACGACTATGCCAGCCTAGTGGAGGGCTTAACTTTCTTCATTTGTAACGCCTCATGTCATATCATGACGCCTCACGTTACGTCTTTGGCTAACACGATGTAGAGGCCGTTGAATCATCCTGTGCCTTCATCTGAAGATTATAGTTACAGATGGAGTGAGTGTTCAAGCCTTCGCTCTACTTGTCAGATACTTACTTCAAGAACTACGTACTACTCTTACTGTTCTTCCGACCTCCCGACCGTAAATTTGCACTAGTAGTTTGTCCAATTCTGTCAGGGATACTGGATTTGGGTCGAGCGCTGTGAGTATTCTCCGGTCTTGAGTGATCAAGCCCATCAGCGCCTGCCCAACGAACCGTGGATCCTTCCGTTCTAGAACGTGAAGCACCGCTAACTTCTGGAAAGCCTGGTGAATTTTTCTAGAGTATTTAAGTATTAAAGCTATGCATCATCTATAACGAGAGTAGAGGTAGCTGCGATTTAAGTTACAATCCGTAGACACAGACAATACTAAAGTACAATTCTTAGACAAGCACCTTAGACATAAAAATCTATGTTCTTTATGTCTTGCTTGATGAATGTTGACAATATTCTTATTCATTGTTATTTACATTATTGAGCAGAAGTTGTACCTCCATACTCGCTTCTTCTACGAGGTGAACTTCGGAATGGCGATTGACGTACTGAATACTGTGTCCACCGACATCGAGGACCGCTGGCGGCAAGGGGTCTCGGTATTGTGGATGCTCCACGAATAGACCAAGCTGACCCATCACAGCCTCGTCACTTTGTGGTGGGACTTAGTGCGGAAAAAATCATGAATATCTTCATTACATATTACTATCTGAACAAAGATGTTAGTTCTAGTTGTTGGAGTTCATGACTTGTTATGCATGGTCGTGTAACCACTTCACAAGTAGTACTAGAACAAGAACAAGTAGAAGAACAGAGCAGCTTGCGCTCCCTCGTTCAACCGAAACAAGTTACAGTTAGTAGAGAACTTGTTAGTGTTAAGGACACCCTAAACCCGATTATTTAATAGAAAAATGCGGTGGTCATAAATGACACCAAAATCGATTACTCCCGTCTCGTTCTCGATTAGGAGACGCGCGTACTCGGTCACTGTTTCACTCGTGCACTTGCGAAAAATGGACGCTCCTCGAGCAAGCTTGTGCATCTGTGAGGGGGTGAAGGATGATCACTTTCACTCAACCCTCAACATCATTCTCAACGTGACATTCTCAACTACGTGCAATCATAATCCTTACCCTCCATCTAAGTGTATAATCATAATCTTGCTCCATGTTACTGTAGTTACCCTAAGCCCTAAGCCCAACCCCAGATATACTGTAACTCTAACTGTATAAGAAAACCTGATATGAAGTGGTGGCTTGTTCCTCTCCTTTTTCGGAAAGATCGATTGTTGTATCTGCCATTTCCTGTACTATAGCCTCAACAGCTTTCTGACCATCCGCCATTAAGTTTCGTACTGTCTGAGAGTGTCGTTGAAAAATGGATTTTCAGTTACTTCTCGTACTCCTACTAACAAGTACTCTGAGGGTGTTTTTGAAAAGTGGATTGTTCTCCACTAGTGCTAGCACTACTCCCAACTACTCAAGAGGACCCAGATGAAGCGTAATTATGTAAACGAAGATCCTCGTCTCCCTGCACCTGCAGCATAGAAATGGCATACGAGTATGAGCCACTAGTACAGCATCACCTAGTACTACAACTATCTCAATGGCCTACAGCGATAACAACATCGATCGAAAACAACAACAAGATTTTCCTGCTTCAAGAAACTTACTTGTTCTCATAGTACCCGCACACTGTGCTGCATCACTTCTTGCGAGAGTGTTCCGGTCCTTAGAGGAGCTTGCCTAAATTCTTCTCACGAGTTATGTTTCTTGGCGTATCTAGTTTCCCCTTACTAGAAAAGAGACGCAAGAAGAATCCTAAGACCACGCTTTTGAGTAGTTCTGACGACGAATTAGAGCGAGCCTTAACTTACCGTTTGCCCAATCACCTTTGATCCCCTCATCCCAGCAAACTAGAGCCTCTTTCTTGAAAACTATTTTGCCTGGCTCACCGTTGCTTCCCGTCATCACGATTGCAAGCTTGTGCATCATAGACCCTATGTCTATGGCAGCAGAAATTAGAAATCCTTCCAATTTTTATGTACTAGCAAGGTGAAGAATCTCTTCACTGAGGATGTTCATAAGGGAAACCATCGAAGCATAAAATGTCAAAAAGAAACCAATTATTTGTTTAGAAGCCTAGTACGTAGATCAAAAAGCATTTACGAACTGTAAATGTAAAAAATGTTGTGTTCGTTGTAGGAGTTGCAACAACTATCAAAGACAGTCATGAGTTAAATATGAGTTCTTGTACATTTTCTTGAAAGCGTGTTGATCTTGTATAGTTGGACAACGAACAGAGCCGCCATAAAACAAAGCGTGCGGGAAAATTTCGGAGGGATGGTTTGTTGCCTTCATCGGTCGTCCGGACATCGTGAATGGTAATATCTGAGTTCCCAGGTGCCAAGATGGTAATATCTGAGTTCCCAGGTGCCAAGTCCACTTGTCTTCTATCAGCTCTGCTACAACTGACATTAGCGATGCATGAGAATACCTATGCATAAATGTTGTCAGTACTACTTATGTACTAGTATGTCGGGTTGAGGTTGTGAAGACATGAACTGGGGCACAACAATACTAGCACTGTTCTTGAAGTATTAGAGAGAGAGGAGCGATTGAAGAGTTGAGGTTGTAAAAATAATAATGCAAGATGATGGAGGAAAGTGAAAGAAGAACAATGACTCACTGCGTCACGGCTCAGGCATTTTTTGTGAACAATGTGTAGCTGCAGAGGCCAAGCTTCTTTGTCTCCTTCGTAATATTTTCACTGGAGGTGGCGGAGCCTGATTCTCTACGTGAAGATCCATCGTCCTTTACCTCTTGCGCATTACTACCTTAGAGAAGGAGGAGGAGGACGAGGAGGCGGAGGAGGTTCAGGGAAACCCAACCGCTTGTAGGAAATTATAAGGTCTTTGTTGTCATTTCCTGTTTGAGAAGTCGTTTTCATTAGCAAGCGTGATGGGAGTTCGAACTTCTCATCATCATCATAAAAGGCGTTCGCCTCCTTCAGATGTGCGCAGCAGTGATGGTTACAAAGAGGACTGATTCAGGATTATTATATAGGTCAGGACTGCGTTCTTTGAAAAAAACTGTTTTACATCCTAAAAGAATTCTCGTGGTAGAAGTGGATCATGTGTCACTGTGCGGCACTGTGGATTGGTCGGGTAAGTTGTTGATGAAGTGGAGGTGTGTTCTTGATGAATCGGTGATGCAGCCGAAGTCCATTCATAAAAGGCGTTCGCCTCCTTCGCTGCTATTTCCTAAAAAAATGAAGTCCATTCATAAAAGGCGCTCGCCTCCTTCGCTGCTCGAAGCAGAGCATCTGCAGTTGAGTCGTTGTCAGGTGACTCCTGTGCGATCCTACACCTTCGCAGCACTCCTCTCTTTAGAGCTATTGCTATCTTTATTCCTTTGAGTGAAATGTGATTCCAGGAGTTCAAAACTCGTAACACTCCTCTTTTTAGAGCTATTATTCATTTCAAAGAAATGTGAGAATTCGTAACACTCCTCTTTTTAGAGCTATCAAAATGATCTCAAGCAAGAAAAATCTAACATCAAAGGAGATAACGATAGTTCAGTGTTGTGTGTCATCTTCATAGCACTATCATGGGCACCATTGCACATTTACACTTTTCGTCTCTTCCACTTCCTTCATTCCATTACTTCAGATCCATACGTCTAAGGTACCGGTAGCAAAATAGTTTGAGTATTTACGTGCAAAACATCGATGTATAAGGTACAAATTTGTCTACGACTAGAAACTGGTCTCGTTCCTAATGATATTCGTTTCTTGCGCGCACTGCTGAATGTTGCTAACGTGCTCGCAATAGCAGACCCGGCAAGTAATCCTACACTGCTCACTGCAGGCGGGGACCCGGCAAGTAATCCTCCACGTCTTGGATACGTTCTCACTACAGACTCTTGAGGTAGTTGTGACGAGGTAGAAGAGGCACTTTCGACCCTGTTGTCGAGGGAGTCTAGTACTGCATGAAGATTAGAAGAGAGATTTTCACTCACATCAATAGATTGATAAAGATCATGATAGATTTAAAGATATGAAGCTCTTCATTCAATGACTACCGACACTAGGAATCAGAACGTTGCAACCAGCTGGCCTTAGTAAACACCAGAAAATAGCAGGCGGAATACGATGCCCGGATCGTCAATACGATTAGAAATCAGATTTCAGAATCAAAAAAAAATCAATGTCGTAAAGTTCCCGCGTGGTGGTCGTAGTCGTGGCCTGGCCAATGGTGTTGATAGATATGGACTCCCCTGGGCTGCAGTCGAGGGCTGGATATGGGCAGCAGCACAGCCTTGCGCTAAAACAACAAGAAGGCGAGAACTAAGGATCACCATCCTTTTTTTCTCTTCAATTACTGAAACTTATCCAATCCCCGCAGTGACTTATTTATATATTATATGGAATATTACGAATTCCGGAGTGAAAGCCTCACTCGTCGGTCTTCTTGTCGCAGAAATCCTCTTCTAGCCTACAGGTGCTTTAAAATGAACTAAGGTGGTGCAACTCTAGTACATCAGACTGAACTGAGGGTGCATTAGAACTACAACTATGACCTACATCAAGCGCAGTGCAATAGAGTGGCAGTCTAACTACATCGACATGACATTGCGGACACAGACGTAGACCGAACGTAGATCGTGAACCTTTCTTGTCAAGTGCGTTTTTCTGTGGGAGCCTTGTTCCTTGATATAGGATCAAGACGCCTGATGTTGTCACGGCATGCTTTTTGTCTCAGAGGACCAAGAAATAGAAACCTCTGTCGATGAAAACATACTTAAGCCACATTCCTACCTTCTTCGCCTTTCATCACGGCGCAATGACTTTGAACAGAGAGGTTACGCACTTTGTGCTGTTTGGGAAAGTAGTTCGATTGTTTTCATCTTTGGATATCAAATCCAGCACAGTAATCTCGTAGGCCGACTTGTTGTTTCAACTTGTTTGGGGGGTTTGGTGTTTCAACTTTAGGGGGTAAAAATGTCTGTGAGTGAGTCGTGATCTAGGGCATCTTGTTGATTCATGTGACAACTTGAGCACGTTTTAGAATTATAATTAGAATAGCTCCTCCTGCCTCAGCCCTGCGCTTCAAGCACCGGATCGACAGAAATCGCCCGTTTAGCTCATAGTCAAATAACTCAAATGAAAGCACACATCTAGAAGTAATGGGTAATAGTAGTTAAGCTAGCTATTGTAGAGGCAGTATCATGTTGTGTACTTCTCAACCTACCCGATACTCTGGAGGAAGTGGAGGTGCAAATAATACGCGTCGGTGTAACTCGACGCACAACTCCATAAACTCAATTTATCATACTTACATTAAATGTCTTAATGGTACAAGGACGATCTTCTTGGTAAAAAGAACCTTCAGAAAGACACGACATGGGAAGAACAAGAAGGTTACACGTGAGACACGACGTTTACAGGTGAGACAGCAGCACCTTCATATGAATTATATTACATGTGAAAATAGTACAAGTGTTGAGGCAAAACGACGATCTTGTTTGGTCGATCTCGATGATAATCCCGCATAGTAATGAGGTTGATACTAGAAGTTATGACTTAGTAACGAGGTATAACGTTGTGTGGTGCCATGAATCATCTCAAATAATATCCACGAGAAAATAATACTACATGTACATCGACACTCTACGTAGATCCATATTATATATATTTCTCCACCTGATCCGCTTATTTGTATGAATATATTCTCATGTCTTAACAAGCACGGCCACGATATTGCAGAGACGTCATCCCAGACTGAGACAGGGATACCATATGCCTATGGTATAAACAGTAGCACTTCGATAATACGGCTAGCAATTGAACACCTTCAGCTCATGTCTTAAGAGGAGCGATCATTAAACCCGATAAAAATATTCTATTATGTTCATCTTCCTACGTTGTGCCACAGAAGGCGTAGTACGTAGATATGTCTCGACTATACCCATGAGCATGCTGCTCCTCCAGAGACGAAGCAACGAAAAGGGACTACTAAGGACTTGGAGCATGTAATAGAAACATATACAGCTAAACTTTTTTGCCCATTTCTGTTTCTCAATCTAATCGAAGTCTCCTGATGAATCTCAAAGACTCAGACAACTCATCAGCACACTGGTGCATGTATTCATATCTTCAATAAGTGATATCATGAAGTAGACGCTGGACGAAGAGATGCTGAGTAGAGTTCGCCTGCATAGGCCGCTACCACATTCTTGACAAGGTGGCCGCATGCAAACTCATCATTTGTAATTGATGGATTATTGGCAGCCTTTGCTTTAGGCGATAGCTTAAAGATGGAAACAAGCAGAATTTCTGCGCAGAACTTCTTGCTCGCTTCTACCAGTTCCTCTTCGGACGGCGCCTTTACAGCAAAGCCACGCCCACTTGTCAATGCGTCGCGCGTTATCACCTGCTTTTTCGATTCGTAGAGCAAAATCGATGTAGCTCCAGCGTTCGCTACTTCTCGTATTAGAATGGTGAAACTGAGGATCAGACTTAGTACGAATCATTTCATGTACAAAAACTAAAAAAATATTCTTCCAAAACAAACGGCAACCTTGGACGTAAAATCTTCTCTGCTCCCGGCTGCACCTGCCTCAATGATTGTAGCACTTTTCGGCAGCTAAATCGAGGAGCTGAGTTAAAGGTTTTCTCCGTTTGCTCAGAAAAAGCAGCCATGACCGATCTCTTCTTTTCATCATCCTTCTCGGCTAACAGCTTGTTAAATTCCTGGGTGGCCGCTCGCTCTCTCCAATCGATTGCTAACTCCGGTTGAGAATAATCTGTACCCCACAGCAGCCCCGATTGGTCATACGTTTTCCTTGAAAATCCGTTGCAGGCCATTGTCATCGCAGTAGCGTCGTTAGCAGTAGAATAAATTTCCGCTGGCGATAACTCCTCGCTGTCGCACAGATGATCGGTCACTGCAGCTGCAGGCGGGAGCGGGCTGGATTTCTGTGTTAGCAATTGCGAAATTGCCTTCGAGATCGGCAGAATGAAGTTAGCAACAAAACCATCACCGTCGATCGCATGCCACAACAAGACTGCGTTAGAGCTAGTGTAGTTACATCCCCCATCAAAGTATGAACATTCTTGGGCTGATTCTTGCTTAGAAATATTGCCAAGTATGGCATTGAGGGTCCAACAAAATGCGATACCCATAAAATTCCACGCTTTCTTCATTGCTGATAACACCTGGAGTCGAGTGTTCTTTACATCCTCCATGAGGGGATTTTGCGACTGCAAACTGCGAAGGAGGTCCTCCATGTTGAGACAGAGATTTGTGGCTGCGCTCGTGTACTTGACAATGCCCACTATGAACTTCATCATGGCGTCAGTAAATGCAATGTGTTTATGATTCGCTAAAGGCTCTAGCGGTTTTTGCCGTCCCTGTCTTCTGGCTAGATGCGATGACTCCGACAAGACGCCGCGAGGCTGGAGCGCTGGAGTCACTCCAGGCGAGAACGAGATCTGTATCAAGAAAAGGGAAAGGGTTGCGAAAATAATTGGGTGAAGTGAATGCCAATCGTGTCCGTCAAAGAGGAGAAGCTGACAAGGCTAGTAAAGAGAGATGCTGCAGTCGCAGTGCTACTGATGCTTATCGAATATACAAACTGGAGACTTAACCCCCGGGGATCCTAAATCTACTGGTGAGTTATACTTTTTAGTGCTGTGGCAGCACGGTAGGCTGGCTCGGCAGACCCAGGTCTTTGCCGGCGCCGGTCGTTGCACCTACGGCCCATAAGTTTGCCACGGAGCGTGGCGGGAGGCCTTTACCTCCCC